GCAAATCCAAGCACGAGCTTGCGAGATCCTATTGGAGCGTTCTAGCATGTATGCTTATTTCCGCTAGGGAACGCCTACTCTGTGAAGTGCGCATGTGCAATAACTAAACTCAGCCAAAAAATAAACGTCCCTTTTTCAGGACCCCGTCTTTCAAAGATAATTCGTAAAAATCCAAATAACTTCAAAGACCTTCATTGTAAAGGGTTTAAACACTGTTTCCCATGCTTGTTCAAATAACTATAAACAATTAATGAACATGCACCTGTGGAACGGTCATTAAGACACTAACAGCTTACAGACGGTAGGCAATTAAGGTCACAGTTATGAAAACTTAGGACACTAAAGAGGCCTTTCTACTGACTCTGAAAAACACCAAAAGAAAGATGCCCAGGGTCCCTGCTCATCTGCGTGAACGTGCCTTAGGCATGCTGCAAGGAGGCATGAGGACTGCAGATGTGGCCAGGGCAATAAATTGCAATGTCCGTACTGTGAGACGCCTAAAACAGCGCTACAGGGAGACAGGACGGACAGCTGATCGTCCTCGCAGTGGCAGACCACGTGTAACAACACCTGCACAGGATCGGTACATCCGAACATCACACCTGTGGGACAGGTACAGGATGGCAACAACAACTGCCCGAGTTACACCAGGAACGCACAATCCCTCCATCAGTGCTCACTGTCCACAGTAGGCTGAGAGAGGCTGGACTGAAGGCTTGTAGGCCTGTTGTAAGACAGGTCCTCACCGGCAACAACGTCACCTATGGGCACAAACCCACCGTCGCTGGACCAGACAGGACTGGCAAAAAGTGCTCTTCACTGACGAGTCGCGGTTTTGTCTCACGAAGGCCTCCTGTAGCTCAGTTGGTAGAGCATGGCGCTTGCAACGCCAGGGTTGTGGGTTCGATTCCCACATGGGGGCAGTATGGAAAATGTATGCACTCACTAACTGTAAGTCGCTCTGGATAAGAGTGTCTGCTAAATGACTAAAATGTACAAAAATGTGATGGTCGGATTTGCGTTTATTGTCAAAGGAATGAGCGTTACACCGAGTCCTGTACTCTGGAGCGGGATCGATTTGGAAGTGGAGGGTCCGTCATGGTCTGGGGCGGTGTGTCACAGCATCATCGGACTGAGCTTGTTGTCATTGCAGGCAATCTCTACGCTGTGGTACCCTTCCTGCAGGCTCATCCTGACATGACCCTCCAGCATGACAATGCCACCAGCCATACTGCCCGTTCTGTGCGTGATTTCCTGCAAGACAGGAATGTCAGTGTTCTGCCATGGCCAGCAAAGAGCCCAGATCTCAATCCCATTGAGCACGTCTGGGACCTGTTGTATCGGAGGGTGGGGGCTAGGGCCATTCCCCCCAGAAACGTCCGGGAACTTGCAGGTGCCTTGGTGGAAGAGTGGGGTAACATCTCACAGCAAGAACTGGCAAATCTGGTGCAGTCCATGAGGAGGAGATGCACAGCAGTACTTAATGCAGCTGGTGGCCACACCAGATACTGACTGTTACTTTTGATTTTGACCACCCCTTTGTTCAGGGACACATTATTCAATTTCTGTTAGTCACATGTCTGTGGAACTTGTTCAGTTTATGTCTCAGTTGTTGAGTCTTGTTATGTTCATACAAATATTTACACGTTGAGTTTGCTGAAAAACCCCCCGCAGTTGACAGTGAGAGGACGTTTCTTTTTTTGTTGTTTAAATTCGCCCTTGCAATCCTTCTAAAGAACAAAATTTTTTGAAACTTTGGCAAATGGTAAAGTCTACTAAACTTAGTCCACTCTGTTCGTAACAGATTATAGTTTTGGAAACAGAACTGTATTGAGATCAATGTTTCATCGATGAGAAAATTAGCAGAATGTCAGCCAAAATCCTTCTTGCTCCATCTTCTCCCACTGCCGGCCACTGGGCTTCCTCTCATCACCATATTTGGTAGTGAGTGGAAACGCCAACCCGATGCTTCACATTTATACATCCGATAAAATATCTGGCTCATTGTTCTATCTGTGACGTAGAGCTCGCCAGCTTGTAGTCCTAAAACCCGGAAATGAGTAACCTCTGGTTCGCTCAGCCATTCCTATGGGGAAAATGAATGGGAAAGAATAGGGTTTTGGGATAAACGGCTAAAATAAGGTTTGAGGTTAATAACACAGGCTTAGGGGATCTTATACGTTTTGTTCTATGCAATAATATCAGTCAGTTAAGATGACCTTTATGAATTATGTCTTTATGTGATTTATGTGCTTTTTTTTATTACATAAATTCATAGGTGAAGTTAGCTGATGAAGATTATCTCATAGAAACAAAACGTATATGATCTCCTAAGCCTGTGTTTACCGCATACCTTATTTTCACAGTTTATCCAATAACCCTACAAAAACTCAATTTTCCCATAGGCTTTGTAAAACGAACCATGGCAGAATTAGTGCCTACAAAAATACGCCATTACTATTGCTCTCTTTTGATGAATGGAACAAAAAAGTCTCTAAGGATCATGGTGAAAGTGGCCATAACTTGCAAAGGGTCATGGTTGATATAGTCATTTTCATCCTGCATGAGAGAGTCAACTGGGAGCCTCCCATAGCTCAGTGGAGCCTCCTCGTAGCCTAGTTTGGTTCACAAATTAATACATACCATACGAAACGTGACATATCTAAATTGGATGTCTCGGATTTAAGTACAGAATAATACGAAATGCTCTGAGACCAGGTTGCGTAGCGTGCAGGCCCGTGATGGCAAATGGTCCTCTGTGACAACAAACGGTGTAGTCAGAATGGATCACTATTTAATTAAATATCTCGATTAGAGATGTGTAATATCATAAGTCATGTATAGATGGCTTACCCGGATTCGCTGTTGTCTTAACTTTTATCCCCTGTCTAGTTTACTCCCCTGGTTAGTCTGTTATCGTGTTTAGTGTTTTCCCTGGTTAGTTTACATTTTAGTCATTTAGCAGACGCTCTTATCCAGAGCGATTTACAGTTAGTGCATATGTTTTTTTATTGTTTTTTTATACTGGCCCCACGTGGGAATCGAACCCACAACCCTGGCGTTGCAAGCGCCATGCTCTACCAACTGAGCTACACTGTCCTTATGTTTAGTGTATGTTTTTTTATGCTTATTTTAATGTGTGATTTCATTGCATTTTTTACTTGCTGATTATGTTGTATGTAAAGTGACTTCGGGTGTCTTGAAAATTGCTTTAAATTTTTTTATTATTATTATTATTAGATGTGTAAAAACATTGGGTCTTGTTTTTCATATTGGCTCTCGGGTAAACATGCTTTATAAAACTAGATATCGTAGTCTATGCTGAATGGATAGATAGGAAAAATAAATTGAAACACATTTTATTTTACATCCGACAAAGGAAAGCACTCTTCTGGATACCAAATTGTTACAGTATATTATGGCTGTGTGCAGGTGGCAAGCCTTATCAGTGTTTGTGGGTTGTTATGCTTGACATAAGACATCTCCTTAGAGAGTAGCAGCATCCTCCTCCATTAAGGTGAAGGAAATGGAAACTGAGTCATATACCAAAGTCAATTAGCAGAGTATGAAACTAATCAACACTCCTGAGAAAACACAATTGGCAAAAAGGTGAGCTCTCTCTTTCTCAGCACGGGATGTGTGCTCTGCCACTCCAACATTTAAATTTTAGTCATTTAGCAGACACTCTTATCCAGAGCAACTTACAGCTAGTGCATTCATCTTAAGATAGCTAGGTGGAACAACCACATATCTCAGTCATAGTAAGTACATTTTTCCTCAATAAAGTAGCTATCAGCAAAGTCAGTGGTAGTAGGGGGGGGGGGAGTCAAGTGCGAGTGTTAGTTCACGAAAGGCATTATTTGTGTGATTATTTAAGATACTCTTTGAAGAGGTAGGGTTCCAGATGTTTTCGGAATCTGAAGATGGGCAGGGACTCTGCTGTCCTGGCTTCAGGGGGAAGTTGGTTCCACCATTGGGGTGCCAGGACAGAGAAGAGCTTAGACTGGGCTGAGCGGGAGCTGCCCTCCCGTAGGGGTGGGTGGGCCAAGAGACCAGAGGTGGCAGAACGGTACTCGGGTTGGGGTGTAGGGTTTGAGCATATCCTGAAGGTAGGGAGGGGCAGTTCCTCTTGCTGCTAGCACCATGGTCTTCTAGTAGATGTGAGCTTCAACTGGAAGCCAGTGGATGTGCGAAGGAGCGGGTTGACATGGGTGAACTTGGGAAGGTTGAAGACCAGGCGGGCTGCGGCATTCTGGATAAATGCCAACATTCAGCCTGATACTGTCAACCTGGTTACCATGGTCCCCACAAGACAAGGAAGAAAAAATATTGAACACTACAAGCCTCTTTATTTGCCTTTTTTCCCCCTCAATATGAGATGTAGAAATCCTCTCAGATGTTCATATTTTTTAGGTTATTGTCACCTGGAATAGATTTTACACAGAGCTGGAGAACTCTCTCCTCTTCCTCTCTCTTTTCTCCCATGCTTCCTGTATATTTTCCTTTCTAATTTGTTGACATATCTTCTAATAGAAAATAACAAAGACAACCAATTTCAACCAAATTGTTGCTAAAAGTTATTCTTGCTATGTTTGTCATTGTCAATCTACTGAAATTAACAGCTTGTGTTTTCATGCTACTACAATTCTGGGCCCAGATGGAAACATAAGGCTTTCAGATTGTTTTTCTTTTTAAGACAAATCATTGCAGCCAGGGATCTCTGACTCCCAACTAGGCTAGTTCATCCTTCATCATCATCATCCTCATTCTCATCATCATCATCCTCACCACTAGCAGCATCACTAGAACCAGAATAAGTGATTATCATACCTTCCCTGTTATCAAATTATGACCCATAATTTCATGACTTTTAATTAGTTCATGATAGTAATATTATCTGTGATACTTTTACGCTACTGCTACTGCTATAATAATAATAATAATAATAATAATAATAATAAAAATACTACATAAAGGTCAAAGGTGAAGGGGCGTTTATTCTACCCACGTGACACCAACACATGTGTCCTTCGTCCTCCCAGAAATACTTCCTTATTCCTGCAGACGTTCCACACGTTTTTCAGAAATTAAAGGTAGCTCGTTTTTCAAACAAAGTGACAATGCCAAAAGCCAAAAAGAAAAGTAAAAGAAACACGTTTGATTACAGTAAAGACAGAAAGAAACTGAAAAAGCAGTTTAAGAAAAGGGAAGCCCCGAGAATTGAGTGGTAAGTCGAATACTGATTATGAAAAACAGTCGATGCTAGCAATGCTAACTCCATGTTCTAGCGAGCTGTGATGCTGACGTTATGTTTTGTCTGTGTGGTTGAACTAGCTAGCCAGCTAACTTTACTATAACATGTTATCTGGTCTATTCCCTTGTTTGTTATCAATGGTTGTCAAGCTGGTGAAATAACATAAGCTAGCTTGCTAACGTTAGCTACTTGCTTTGTGCCAGGGCAGGGCGTCGTTTGGCTGAACATATTTGATTCGTAACATGAATTGTTTGGCCTAGTGACTGGCAGCGGTCGGCTTCAATATACTTTATTAACTCACCAAAGTAAACATATTGGTAGAGACAGTACTGAATACCATTTGTCTGTATACGCAAGGTGGCGACTTTTCTGAGCAAGTTGTAACCGCCAGACTAGTTCTGGTAGAATTTATATTTTACCCTTATTTTACCAGGTAAGTTTATTTTCAAGTTTTAATGTCACATGCACAAGTACAGTGAAATGCCTTTCTTGCAAACTCAAAATCCAACAATGCAATAGTCAATAACAATGTATTACTATATTTTTTCCAACAATTGTTTACAGACAGATTATTTCACTTATAATTCACTGTATCACAATTCCAGTGGGTCAGAAGTTTACATACACTAAGTTGACTGTGCCTTTAAACAGCTTGGAAAATTCCAGAAAATGATGTCATGGCTTTAGAAGCGTCTGATAGGCTAATTGATATTTGAGGTGTACCTGTGGATGTATTTCAAGGCCTACCTTCAAACGCAGTGCAAAGAGCTTGACATCATGGGAAAATCAAAAGAAATCAGCCAAGACATCAGAACAAAAATTGTAGACCTCCACAAGTCTGGTTCATCCTTGGGAGCAATTTCCAAACGCCTGAAGGTACCACGTTCATCTGTACAAACAATAGCACGCAAGTATAAACACCATGGGACCACGCAACCGTCATACCGCTCAGGAAGGAGATGCGTTCTGTCTCCTAGAGATGAACGTACTTTGGTGCGAAAAGTGCAAATCAATCCCAGAACAACAGCAAAGGACCTTGTGAAGATGCTGGAGGAAACAGGTACAAAAGTATCTATTTCCACAGTAAAACAAGTCCTATACTGTATCAACATAACCTGAAAGGCCGCTCAGCAAGGAAGAAGCCACTGCTCCAAAACCGCCATAAAAAAGCCAGACTACGGTTTGCAACTGCACATGGGGACAAAGATTGTACTTTCTGGAGAAATGTCCTCTGGTCTGATGAAACAAAAATAGAACTGTTTGGCCATAATGACCATCGTTATGTTTGGAGGAAAAAAGGGAATGCTTGCAAGCCGAAGAACACCATCCCAATCGTGAAGCACGGGGGTGGCAGCATTATGCTGTGGGGGTGCTTTGCTGCTGTAGGGCCTGGTGCACTTCACAAAATAGATGAAAATTATGTGGAAATATTGAAGCAACATCTCAAGACATCAGTCAGGAAGTTAAAGCTTGGTCGCAAATGGGTCTTCCAAATGGGCAATGACCACAAGCATACTTGCAAAATGGCTTAAGGACAACAAAGTCAAGGTATTGGAGTGGCCATCACAAAGCCCTGACTTAACTCCTGAGTGGCGCAGTGGTCTAAGGCACTGCATCGCAGTGCTAACTGTGCCACTAGAGATCCTGGTTCGAATCCAGGCTCTGTCGCAGCCGGCCGCGACCGGGAGACTCATGGGCGGCGCACAATTGGCCCAGCGTCGTCCAGGGTAGGGGAGGGAATGGCCGGCAGGGATGTAGCTCAGTTGATAGAGCATGGCGTTTGCAATGCCAGGGTTGTGGGTTCGATTCCCACGGGGGGCCAGTATAAAAAAATAAATAATGTATTCACTAACTGTAAGTCGCTCTGGATAAGAGTGTCTGCTAAATGACTAAAATGTAAATGTAAAAATCCTATAGAAAATGTGTGGGCATAACTGAAAAAGCGTGTGCGAGCAAGGAGGCCTACAAACCTGACTCAGTTACACCAGCTCTGTCAGGAGGAATGGGCAAAAATTCACCAAACTTATTGTGGGAAGCTTGTGGAAGGCACCCTGAAATATTTGACCCAAGTTAAACAATTTAAAGACAATGCTACCAAATACTAATTGACTGTATGTAAACTTCTGACCCACTGGGAATGTGATGAAAGAAATAAAAGCTTAAATAAATCATACTCTCTACTATTATTCTGACATTTCACATTCTTAAAATAAAGTGGTGATCCTAACTGACCTAAGACAGGGAATTTGTACTAGTATTAATTGTCAGGAATTGTGAAGATCTTTAAATGTATTTGGCTAAGGTGTATGTAAACCTCCGACTTCAACTGTATATACAGGAAATATTCTAAGTCAGATCCAATACCATATTTACATGTGCAGGGATACTGGAGTGATGGAGGTGGATATGTATAGGGGTAAGGGGACTAGGCAACAGGATATACGATAAACAGAGTAGCAGCAGCTTGTATGTGAGTGGTATGTAGTCAGTATAAATGTATGTGCATATTGTGTGTGTGTTGGAGTGACTGTGTGTGTAGGGCCCTGTGAGTGTGCATAGAGACAGTGGAAACATCTAGTGGAAAGCCTTCCCAGAAGAGTGGATGCTGTTAGCAGGAAAGGGGGGACCAACTCCATATTAATGCCCATGATTTTGGAATGAGATGTTCGACAAGCAGGTGTCCACATACGTTTGGTCATGTAGTGTAGCTTGCATTGCAGAGCAGCTAGCTAGCTAAAAGCTAGGCTATGTTGAAGATACCATTGTAGCTAGCGACCTCCACCTAATAATTATCATCAAAAACAAACATCATTACCATCACAATGAACTTAAAGGGGAGGCAAGTCATAGTATAATTGGCTTAACAGCCAATGTGTATTATTTAACATTACATTACTATTATATTAATGATAATTGTTTACAAGATGCTAGCTATCCCATGACGCCATCACCGATTTATAGTGCAGATCCGACACGTGTGTGGACCAAAGCATGTCTGGCGCTAAACAAAGTGCTCATGGCATACATAATACATCACAAGACATACAATACCCACTTATCAGAAATGTATGATCTAGCATGAGTAAATGGCTATAGTTGTGTAACTAATTGTTTATTTCAAGTCATCAGATCCGAAATGCCTGGAGTGACAAGAAGTCTGTGGCAAGGAACTTGCGAGACATGGGTCTGGCATTTGACCCTAACCGTGCCCTCCCAATTAAGACACAGACCGTGAGTATATCCTGTCCATCATGGTGATATACTATACATTCACAAGTTATGGGCTAATCTCTTAGAGTGAATTGTGATGTATAATTGACATGTCTGCAGTTTGCTGCTGTGGAGAAAACTGAAGAAGCTCCCACCCTCAAATTTGTAAGGAAGCCATACGTTCTCAATGGTAAGGAACCATTAATAATTTATTGTTACACAAATCAACATGTGTTTTTTGTGTTATTTACATATACAACGCTTCACCTATTAGATTTTATTAGAAGATCTGTTCACGTAGACTCATGCATGACGACTTGTTTTCAACAGAACTTGTGGCAGAGGCGAATCTCCCAGAGAAAGACACAAAGACCTTATCCACAGACTTGATCGAGTACGTGCAGTACATGGTCAGGGAACACAGCGAGAACTACAAGGTAAGTACAGCTGATGAGGAATTTCACCTCACCTAACTTGATCATCTCTGTACAGTAGTATTTCACAAAGGATGGGCTGGTATTCCTGTAGTTGCAGTTTATTGCAGCGGAGTCACTGACCACCTTCTGGAGACACTTGAAACCCTACCTCTTTAAGGAATACCTGGAATAGTAATCCTTCTACCCCCCTTTACTACCACTGTCTTTTGTCTAAACTAACACCTGACTTATTTCACCTGCTAGCACTGACTTGTTCAAAGAAATGTACTTATTATGATCGAGATGTAGTTGTCCCTGATTGCACTGACTTTGCTCACAGCTGCTTGTTTGAAGAAGTGTACTTACTGTGATCAAGATGTGGTTGTCCCACTGGCTATCCTAAATTGAATGCACCAATTTGTAAGTCGCTCTGGATAAGAGCGTCTGCTAAATGACTTAAATGTAATGTAAAATGTATTGCCTTTGGGTCATGGCAATAAGTACTGTATGTTCTTATGGGTATTGAGACCACATTTGTTTTATCCCAACCTAATTTCTGCTTCTGTAGGCTATGGCCAGAGATGAGAAGAACTATTACCAGGACACGCCCTCACAGATCAGGAGGAAAGTGGACCAGTATAAACGCTGCCATCAAGAGGAATACAACACCTTCGTGGAGTCTCTCAAAGGTGGGAAACCTGTTTCCACATAACTGGGCCTGTCTGTGGTGGTCAAAGACTTTCAGTGTAGAGAGGGAGATTATTCCTCTCCATCAGTGGAGGCAGTCTGGGAGCGCTGACTCACAATTATTCTGTTTCTTTGATGGACAGTAGAGGGAGTCATGGTGCACTCAGCAACTCTCCTTCAATCAGAATGGATGGTAAATTGGGATTTTAGGAACTGTAAACATTTTAGAAAAAGACCAGACACATTTTCAACATGCATAAAATCAAACACTTTATTATATTTGTTCATACTTCCCGTATGTATCCCAAAAATAGTTACACAAATTCCATACAGTAAGAACATTTAAGACTGCTTTTGTAATGAAGTGAACATGTATATTTGTAAGGGGAAATTCCACGGTAAGAGTGATGGTGAGACTAAGATTTTTCACTTTAAAGTGCATGCCAAACAAAAACCAATGATTGCAAAGTTAAACAAACCATACAACTGGAAATTGTTAGATACTTAGGGATTTGGGCAATGAGGCCTGTTATATACTTCCCCAGAGACGGATGAACTTGTAGATACCATTTTTATGTATCTGCGTGCGGTTTAAAGGAAGTTGCTAACTAACGCAATTGCTAACTAGCGTATCTGCGATACCCACAGACTTCCATTAATTGCGCTAACCCTAGTTAGCATTGGCTTGTGAAACTACCTCTAACTTTCTTCATGCTGGACACAGAGACATAAAAATGGTATCCACGAGTTCATCTGACTCTGGGGAAGTATATAACGGGCCTCATCGCCCAAATCCCGAAGTATCTCTAACAATTTCCTCTGGAAATTTTACAAAAACACATTTACTTGAAGAACAGTGCAGATGCAAAGTTTGGTAACAGAATGATGGAACAAGCTGTAATTCTGTTACCAAACTTTGCATCTGTACTGTTCTTCAAGTAAATGTGTTTTTGTAAAATGTTCTGTGCAAATTGTTAAAAGTAGTCCTTGTGCATAGAGTTGCATGGTTTAACTTTGCAGTCATTGTTTTTTGTTTTGCATGCATTTTAAGGTGGAAAATCTTAGTATCGGCATCACTTTGATACCGTGGAATTTCCCTAAGCCTTTATCAATACATTTCCTTTTTTGGATAACAAATAAGATGTATAAACATTTGTCAAGCTTGTGCAAAGGGTTGTAATATGTCACTGCAAAAATAAAACAAGAAATATAAGACATCTGAGTGCGTTAAACCCTTAAAGCAGCATATAAGTATTACAACTGAACACAAAACAAATATGTAAAACATGCTCTAGAGGATTATCAAGAAACGATGGCGATATCAAGGTGTAGGGATGGCACGGTTATTGGAATATCAGAACAGAATACATTTTTGAAGAAGGAAAAAGTGTGACATTGTTACACAAGGATATACCATGACATTTGAAATTCTTAATTGAATAAAACTAAACTTCTGAATGCAGTTTGACAGTGCTACTGCTGCTTCAAACATCTTGTGTCTTTGACAGAACATTGTAGCCTATAGTTTGTTGTGCACTGTAAATGTAGCCTACAGTTCTTAAGACGCACAAAGTAATTGTTTTATTTTCAAGCTCATTTTCTCATGTTGCATTATATTTTCATAGTGCATTTAGCCTTCCAGTCAGCCCTGACATCTGTAGCCTATGCTTTTTCCCCCACTTCAAATAGTGATAACAGGTATGCACCTCCTTGAAGTTCCACAAGGCCTGACACAGATCAATGCAAAACACTCACCAGAAAACCTTTTTGAAACAATCTATTCTATCATGGTGAACATCAGACTTCTTTCACTGTTGCTGAATGTTAGCCAAAACTACTGGAGAATAGCAGCCAAAAAACAACGGAGCACTATCAGCTGTTGTGGTACCGGCATTTGCTTAATTCTGATTGGTCCAGAGATTCAAGAGCAACTTTTTTGGGCGAGGGGAATTTTGACAGTCCGGATATCTGGAAAAAAATGCATGATTATACAAATAGTGAAATAATGTCATATGCCCATCCCTATCAAGGAGGGGTTTGTCCTCATCTTACGATACGTTTGTTTATGTGCACATCAGGTTTGAATACACTAGATTTACTGTATCTCATTAAACAATGTTTTCAACAAATGGGAAATGTCTCCAATAAATCTAACACTTGGTACATTGGATATATTTGGTGAGATGTTAGACATGATATTTGATTAGGTTGACCAATAACCCTGAGCATTGCAGTTAAGAACCTTTTTTTAAATTGAATGTTTTATCAAGACAGTCAGGAAACTGCATTCAGATGTCTTGAGTTTGCCTGTAGTGAAAACACCAACACATTAGCTGACCTATTTCAGTATGCTAGTCCTATCTGTTCTCATCAATTATTTACAATCTCATTTCGGGGAGCAACCAAGTGCTTAATTGATGACTATTAAAGCGTCTGGAATGCCTCACTGAGTACATACAGTAATGTAATAGTGGCAATAGTATCTGCTAAACTGTTTGGACAGGGCAGGTTGTTGTGTTCAAACTAACCTACATTGGCATGGAGTTGGGAAAAAACAAGTCTACAAAGTCAATAATTCTATATGCTAGATAATGACTGCTCAGCAAAACAGCTTCCTGTTTGAGCACAACTTTGTCCTATAGTACAAAACGTCAAAACAAGCTTATATAAGCCTACCTATAGATTTGTTTCCCCCTTAGTTGTTTTTGTATTGATTTGTTTGGTCAGAGATGGCTGCAAGGAAAATGGTCCTCTGTTTTTTCCCACTGGGTCCTTAAATGGCCTGATTTCTTTAAATCGTAGGTAAAGTTATAATTTTAACAACCACATTTCAGTTTAACAGTCAAACAAAACACCAGGAGGTGCCACTGCAGTAGAAACATGGCATTATAATTCATACATGCTTTAGGAATGACTGGTCATTGATCGGAAGGTTGAAGATAAGATTGAAAGGTATGTTTTGAATAAAAGCTGGCTACTAAACAACTGCCTCCTATAAGTGAAAACATGCAACTATTACAAAATTCCAACGTAGAGCATGAATTTCTCAAAGGAAAAAAGTCATCTTAAAAACTGCACTCAGTTTACACCTATTAACATTAATCTTACATCAATTTACATGGACTTAACTACAATAAAACTTAACACTCAATAAAATGTCTCCTTTAAAGATAATAAAATGCCATGATGTCATTATTGACTGCATTGACCCTAGCTCACACATGACATTCCCACAATGAGGAGCATTGAAGCTGTATTGTATTGACACTTATGCTACAATACAAATGTAACAAGCTTCATGCTTGGTAGCTAGATGCATGATCTACACTGAGTATACAAAACATTAGGAACACCTGCTTTTTCCATGACAGACTGACCAGGTGAAAGCTAGGATCCCTTATTGATGTCACTTGTTAAATCCACTTCAATCAATGTAGATGAAGGGGAGGAGACAGGTTAAAGAAGGATTTTTAAGGCATGAGACAATTGAGACATGGATGGTGTGTGTGCCATTCAGAGGATGAATACGCAAGACACTATTTAAGTGCCTTTTGAATGGGGTGTAGTAGTAGGTGCCAGGCACACTGGTTTGAGTGTGAAGAACTGCAACACTGCTGGGTTTTTCACGCTCAACAGTTTGCCATGTATCAAGAATTGTCCACCACCCAAAGGTCATCCATCCAACTTGACAACTGTCAACACGGGCCAGCATCCCTGTGGAACGCTTTCGACACCTTGTAGAGTCCATGCCCCGATGAATTGAGGCTGTTCTGGGGGGGGGGGGGGGGGGGGGCAACTCCAATATTAGGAAGGTGTTCCTAATGTTTGGTATACTTAGTGTATATTGAACCCTGTTACTATTGTAATGATCAATGATTCAGTGAAGACTGTTTTTGGTCCCTGACTCCCAGAGTGCCCTGAAGGATCTTCTCTAGTTGAAAAGTATTCACACGCAATCATTGCTACTTGCCACTGGTCCTTACATGCGGGCTCACCCATGGGCCTCTCTCCCCATCCCACCTGCATGGTCAACCCCTCCCCCCCCCCCCCCCCCCGTTCAACTCATCCTGTCCTAGGGAATCAGACGAGCTGTAGGATCAGGTCCTGGAAGGCCTTCAGATTCCGGGAGCCAATCAGGCCGTCTGAGCCCAGCTGGGCAGCCAGGAGGAACAGCCTCCTCTCGTCAGCCACCGCCCCCAGAGACAGGGCCTCATGGAGCTCCGACATACTCATGGCGTTGTGCTTGTCCTGGGAGGGGAGAGGACACACAGGATGGACAGTGAAGTCTACTGCCAAGTCACTCTGGGTTTGATGAGCATCTGTTAAAATGACTAAATTGTAAATAAAACAGTTTGACAATCTAAGCATGGATGTATCACAACACTGGTCATGACAGGCGTAACATCACGCTTATAACAGTATTACAAATTATTTCTAACACAGCTCAAGTGAGGTGTTACTAACATGTACTCACTGGAGAACATACATTTATCCATGTCCAAGACACTCGTGTTGCCCACAGTAATAACAACAAACGTGTTTCTATAGAAATGGAATGAGATTCCATTCGTTAGGTTTTTCTTTTTCTAATGGCATCCGCCCAAAGACAGTATCAGACAGCTCAATAGTCAAGGTCACCTGTTTGTTCCCCAGGACCACCACAGGAAGTTGTGAATCCAGTCTGAGAAGGCGATGCAGCTCAGCCTTGGCCTGTGGGAGACGTTTTCTGTCAGAGGAGTCAACCACGTACACCAGGACATGCGTCTTCCTCAGGTACTCTGTCCAGTACGTACGCAAATCCTCACCCCCTCCAACTAGAAGACAGCAGACAGAGGTAGGCCGGTTACTTGAAGTGTTGCTAGGCAATTAGGAAGATGTATGAACTTGTGTTTTACACCTTCTTATTTGTTTGTCACACTACAAAAGGGCTAAATGAATTATTCCACTGAAGAAAAAGTAAATGGTGCGTGTTGTCCAAACATGTATGACTGAGTGTAAGCAAAGGCACATGATTATAATGCTTTTGGTAAGGCCACTGGTATTTTGAGGGCCAAACTGATAGCTTACAATGTGACACATTTTAAGGTCATAGAACAGCCTTAAAGCCCTCTGCATGGAGTCTTACAGGCCGGTTGAATTACCCTACAAGCATATGCAGAATTCTGGTGGTGTGCAAACTGCACAGCTTACTCTCAAGGAAATCCAGCTGACAGGCAGGGGCACTGAGGCTCATAAAGTTGAAGCCCCTGGTGGGGCGGCAGTGCCCTCTCTTGCCCCCGTCTCCAGCTGTCAGCCCCTGCAGCATACTGCTCTTCCCAGCGCCGTCTAGGCCAAGGACTAGCACCTGGCGCTTTCCACGCTCCTCCTGCTCCTGTTCAACACACCGCAGGAGGTCATCAGAACACCTGTTCTCTTAACATCAGCAACATGAAGTTATCTTATCCCATTTTACTTTTTTCTCAAGTCACAGATATATAGATCATTGTTATTCTTGTAAAGTGCCGAACTGCAATATGTTTTGTTTACATACATCAGCATTTTCATTATCTATCCCTGTAGGATTAACATTGCACTATAGATAATGCTGCAGTATTTCACATTCACTTGCATTTGTGTGCAAAGCAGCTAGCAGCCTCTGTTGTGACCCCCAAATCCCCAATACATTTTTACATTTTAGTCATTTAGCAGATGCTCTTATCCAAAGCGACTTACAGGAGCAATTAGGGTTAAGTGCCTTGCTCAAGGGCACATCGACAGATTTTTCACCTAGTCGGCTTGGGGATTAGAACCAGCGACCTTTCGGTTACTGGCACAACGCTCTTAACCACTAAGCTACCTGCCGCCCAATAAGCTGTCTACTTGGCCCACAATAACTGCATAAGCTCTTTGACCACTGTAATGTTATGAAACATAATAATCTTAGTTTCCCATGAATGTTATTTAAATCAGCTCTGTACCATCTCATTGGTTTTTGAGTGGGACACTTTAGGCGAGTGGCACACTTTAGGGGAGCTACACACTTGAGTCAACAAATGTCTCAGACGTTTTTGCTTGATTACATTAACGGTAGCCTTATCTTGTCTCCTTGATTTAATCAATACCTTTGAAGCTCCTGAAAATCCTATTAGTTAATTTCAGGTAATGTCCTATGGCCCTATAGGCTATAGTCAGATGAAATGTTTCTATAGGCAATTATTATTATGATAGTGTTACTACTTTGGAATGATTTGCATATATAAACCATTTTTCCTTCAACATGAAACGGGCTATATTTTCTTGTTGCCCTCTTGGAGCCTAAACCTGTATGAGTCCCATTATGTGCATCAATCTTTATCACAACCCATCATCATCACCATGCAGTCAGTTTGTGATCAACATGATCTGGGATGAAGGCTCAGCATTCATGTCATATGTATTGTATGGGCTGGAAGACCACATCCACGTCTAGACAGAAGTGATTTGTGAAGTCCTATCTGCGTTCGATGCTACTGGCGCCTATATAACTTTCACTGATCTGGCATAAAGAATCCGGCGATAAACAGTGAAAACTGTGAGTCTGACCCCCCCCCGATTGCAACAGAGTCATAAACGTATGCCGACTGAACATTCCTAGATGGCAGAGAATAAGAGTTTACCTCTTTTATCATGTAATATTCCGCTTCCGGAGACCATATTCGCCTTCTGTAGAAATAATTCAAGGCAATAAACAGCGCGGACCCGAAGGCAGCCACCGCGGCGGTTAGGGCGATGGATATGTGCCGAAGCAGAACCATGTGGCACTGCTGGAACGCCGGAGAATGTTGTCTTCCTGGACACCTCAGCCAAGAGCCAACGATGAAATTATCGAATGATTTCCACTGTAACCAGTGCACGTGATATCTCTTCCTTGTTTGTGTTGAAAAGAGCCCCGCCAGCGCTTGTACCCTTCAATCGGTTGGATTCGTGACGGCAGAGTCTATGGCCTGGGCAACAGCTACTTGTGTAAAGTGGATGAAGCCTCTGAGTTTTAATGTAATTGCAAAAGGGTATGTCGGTTCCCTTAAATCTAGTTATTATAATAGGGCCTAAATATTTCGCATAAAGTGCAATTTACTACACAGATTCTGGTTTCTTTTGGACTGGATTTTATAAATTTGACGGCCTATAATGAATAAGACAATTCCAGTTGTGTTTAAAATGATCAAATAAATATTTGTAACCTAGAGTGAACAGTGAAATCATGGTCAATACAATGAGGAACACCGTCAATAAAAACTGTCCATGGGAGGGCGTAATGCACTTGTCTCAGAAGTTTGCCTGATGAAGTAGAACTAACACAGAGCAACATTTATAATTTTTCACCAAGTAAATTATTTAATTGTCTCGTGTGTCCGTCATGTTATAACGTAAGAGTTACACATTATTCCACATTTAAAACCAGACAAAATGTCATTGTAGGAAAAAGCACCTGTATGACGTAATTCAACAGCATCGCGAGCCTTCACGACCGACCGCGGCAAACAGTACTCTGGAGGAGAGGCTTGCTGCCCCTTTAAGTAACAAACGATTATAAGTAAACAACTTCAATGTGGATTTATCGGAATTTTGCAGGAACATTTACCGTGAATGTGAAGATAAATGCAGCTTAATTCTGTGGAATGGGGTAATTTCTGGGTAGAGCACGAGAGGGTTACTTGCTAGCTGACTGGTTAGCATCGTTCTCGCTAACTAAACATGGTGGCCAGTGAACGAAAAGGGCTCTAAAATATTTAAGAAAAGCTTATTGCTGAATGGTGAGACATTGTTGTAATATTTCTACACATACAAAAAACATTGGGTGGATTTGCAGACTTCAAATGCACTTTTCGGTTAATCTGAATATCCAGAAAGGAGTCAAGCTGTCCCAACACAATTAACATGCCTTGGACCATGGACAACCCGCTTGAAAAGTTATTCGTTATGTTCTAGAATGTATTATACATAATTAGACGAACACAAACATTGAACAACGATGACTTCAATTGCACATAAGGGATTTATCTCGTGAAACACCACTCTCTCAATTCCAATGTGACTGGTTGTAACATTGTTACTGAGTTGAGCTAAACGGCTACAAAATAACCTTTATTCTGCAGAGAAATCATTTGCGCATCTGTGCTGGAAATATTGTTTCATTAAGGAAATTGTATCAGATTGCTTTGTTAAGAAAACAACAACTGTTTGGCAAACATTTCTACTCGTACTCTGAGAACATGTACTGCGAGACGTTATGGATTATCACATAATCCAACACGCACACAAACCAGAATTTGTGAATTGGAACCGAGTGATGATTTTAAGATACTCCACACAACAAGACATTGTTTACCTTCGATAGAATTTAGAGGACTTGCAGAGAAAATTACATGGAGACTCGTCTGACATGCCAAGGAAGGAGCTACCACTACCAGAGGGTTGGGAAGAAGCCCGGGATTTTGACGGGAAAGTCTACTATATCGACCACATCAAACACGCTACTAGTTGGATTGATCCAAGAGACAGGTATGGTATCATATGGACAGCGCAGTGGGGGGAAAAAGGGAGTGATAAAAATTTCCCCGTTTTATATTTCTCATACCGTTGATGTACACGTCTTTCGGTGAGTTTATCAACTTGCTTGATGGAACAGAGATGGGCAGTATTTATGTTACATGTTTTTGAAATACGTTTTTCAATTACTTTTGAGTATTTTGTGTAATTTATATTTCACTGGCCTGAATGCAAGGCATTTTGTAATAAGTTACACAATTTCAAAATGCAAAATACTTTTCTATACCATTTTTATAGCGGCTATCACCCCAGATTTACTGCATTGGTGTCAGAAGTGTGATGGCACTATGGTGTGATAAAAGCATCTGCTAAATGACCAAAATATTATGTGAAAATGAACACTTGCAAAGCACACTGGGTATTATTCTAATGGTTGGTGGCTGTCATTATTGCAGTCATCATTATAAGACCAAGAACATGACATACACAAGGCCACCGATCTGCCCACCTCCCTGGTGAATTGTCACAGGTTGGCTTGGTAGCAGCAAGACCAAGATGACAGAACTTTGTAAACAAAGATCTTAACAGACATTCCTAAAACACACAGCTGAGGAGGGCTGAGCACAGAGGCTGGGAAAGTAAAGACTGATTATTTAAAATCCCTTTCACTGCTTGCCAAGGTGCACAGGGTCAAAGTGCAGCATGAGGCCCTGCTAACCTTTAACTAGGATGTGGAAACCAGAGCCAGTCAGTGCCGGAAGGGATTCATGTATAACCTCTCCATTTCTGGGGCCATGCATGCATTTCTTTACAACAACGAGAGGAGAGGGGTTAAATCAAGTGAGGAACATAGGCCCTTCACAGTGACAGGCTATCTCCTATACTGTTCACTGGTCTGTTTGGGGCACAGTAGAATGAAGCCAGCCCAGAATACTAAGTCTGAGATGAGACACAGCCATACCCAAAAGCTGTCATTGGAGTTTCACATCTCTTTCCACTGCAGTTCAGCACTGGGACATTTCTGTGGCCTTGCTACGGAACAGCTGATGGGGAGTTATGATAAGGAGGCCTCTTCCTGATCATGATAATGAATTCCCATTAGACTGGGCTGCCCTATTGGTGGAAAAGGTGCTGCCACAAATGCATTCTGATTGGCTGGGCCTAGCTCCCCAGTGGGTGGGCCTGGCTCCCAATTGACTAATTTCATTATATGAACTGTAACTCAGCGAAATCTTTGAAATTGTTGTATGTTGCGTTTTTATATTTTTGTTCAGTATACATTCATCTAATGAGCCTCTGCCCTGTCAGTATCTCTGTTGGCTGCATTCGCATACCTCAGCCAGCCATATTGTTTATCCACCCTCATGGTGACGCACCCAACGCATTCTGTCAGGTGAATGGAATGTTATCTCCCAGATACTGAGCCGTTGCCAGGGGGGAGCTGAAGCAGCTAGCAGCTCTACTTGATTGTTGGACCTTGAGCGCAATGAAATGTAGGTTGGAACCTCATACATTTGACTTGAGGAATTTATAGTGCTTTGACTGAAAGTCTCTGACTCATCTTTCAGTTATGCTCCCCCATGTTTGCACTCGGCCGCACGCTTTGTTGCTTTGCATTAGAGCATGTGCCAGGGTGTTTGACTTTGTTTGCAAGCCTGCCTAGTGTTTTTCACCACCGACACTCACTCAACTAAGTTGTAATGCTGCTGCTCACCAGGAAATGCCAGACCCCCGGTCTTTGTGTGAAACACTTAGCTAGAGGTTAAACCTGAAGAATCATCAACTAGGGCCTCAGAAAGCTGCTCTCGCTATATAGGCCCACTACCAGTATTGTAAGGAACTCACACAGTTCAACAAAAACAGAATGTTGATAAACCCTATCCTCCAGGGGAGTGCTTTCCTAATGTAGGGTCACGGCTGGTCTTTCCTGGATCACACAGTTTATGGAAAAGGCTGGAAAGAAACAGGATTTATTTTATCTTGCGGGTCACAAAAGACAATTATAGAAGCCTTAGGCGGGTCACTCACTACCCAAGATTAGTTATTTAAGACTCATCACTGTCTGAAGAGATGAAGAGATGTCTAGCCTGGTATCCTCTCCAGACAGACTGGGAGAGGTCTTGCATTCCAATGAACAACCAGTGAGTGCCTCACGCTAAGCTCTGGGCCTATTTAAAGCCCTCTGGTTGGCCGAGTGAGACAGTGATTCAGCGCTACTTGGAGGGTAATGATGATGAGTGATGAGTTCGGCCATCAGCTCAGAGTGATAAGGGTTTGAATTTGCAGGGGTGAGAGGAAAGCGACAGTGGAATTAATAAAATAATATGATGATGCGCACACAGTCACTCAAAGGACCCCGCAGCCAGCTTTTGGGGGATTTGCGTTTGTTCTCCACAAACCTTTTCCTCCGAGAGATACATTTAGTATGGGGCTAAGGGGGTCTTTGCTGGCCCTTTTAATTATTCATAAAGTGAAAAAGGAACCTGTTCAGTTTCACCCTGAGCAAAAGGCTCTGTGAGGATGGTAATATCTGCAGTCTTCAGAACAGAGTTTGAGCAAAAGAAAAGACTAAGACAAGTTTTCCTACACTCTTAGAAAAAAGGCCTCCAAAAGGGTTCTTCGGCTGTCCCAATAGGAGAACCCTTTTTGGTTCCAGGTAGAACCCGGAACCCAAAAGGGTTCTACCTGTAACCAAAAAGGATTCTACCTGGAACAAAAAAGTGTTCTTCAAAGGGTTCTCCTATGGGGACAGCCGAAGAACCCTTTTAGGTTCTAGATAACACCTATTTTTCTAAAAGTGTACATGTCGGCTGTGCCACTGATAACTTTGTCAAAAACTTGGACATTAGCATAATTTGTATTCTGTCCTTTAGCGTAGGGGTTTATGCCATAGGAGGTTGTGCCAAGTTAGACCAGCATGAAAAAGACAACAGTAGCCTATCAAAATCACCTCAAATCAGCTAATGTAAAGACCCAGAGAGGCTGATTTTTGGACCGTTACTCAGCAAATAGGCCCCTTCACTTTTTCCGTTGGCACATTGCACATTGGTCCTGTTTGTAGAGTCCTTCTGAGGTGCTTTGTGTGTGGTGGCCACTGAGGTCCTACTGGGTCTCCTGTGATCCAGAGCTCTGGCCTTGTGTTGGAAGGCCTGGATTGGTTGCCTCAGAAACCTCCAGGCGATGTGTTAACTCTACTTGTGGAATGTCAGGCCCCAGCTTCCGGCTATTGTGCTTTGCAAGCCAGAGGTGAATAGAGACCCATTCTAACTAGACCCCCCTATTAGAGAGACACACACACACTGCAATGGTGGTAGCCCTCAGTGACAACCAAATTATCTATCTTGGCATGAACCCTGGATGGCCAACTATCTTGGCATGGTCATCCTGATTTACTTTTGCTGTGACACCTCTCTAATTCTTAACATCAGTTGACTGTTGTTTCTTGTGTGTGATTTTCAGGCAGACTAAACCTCTGACATTTGCTGATTGCATTGGAGATGAACTGCCAGTGGGTTGGGAGGAGGCCTACGACCCCAATGTCGGGGCCTACTATGTGGACCATAACACAAGTGAGTCCAGATATGCAATACTCCATAACTATAACTTCCAGCACCCATATTCATCACACATTTGTGGGAAAACAAATGGCCGGTCAAATCATGATCCAAAATTGTGATTAGAATAAATATATATTATCTCGTCCATTCTTGTTTCTTATGTTCTGTCTCCCTGTCCTCTCCAATTGATTGCCCTCTTTCCTCATCCCCCTCGCTTCCCACATCAGAGAGCACTCAGCTGGAGGACCCACGGGCCCAGTGGCAGCGGGAGCAGAAGGTCATGCTGCGGGAGTACCTGGATGTGGCCAAGGACGCGCTGAGTGCCCAGAAGGAGATCTACCAGGTGAAGGAGCAGCGCCTGCGCCTGGCCCAGCAGGAATACCTCCAGCTCAACAACACCTGGAGGGACAAGTCCACCTCCCAGACCAGCTGTAAGGACCTGGACCAGCCAGGGGGGGCAGGGAGACAGGGTTATGGGGTGACAGAAGGGATAGGCGGCAACGGGGAAGAGAACTAGAGTGATAGGGGTTGTCTTTTATAAGACTAGTCTTTTAGTCTTCTGAGTGATGAAATGCTTTTGACATCTCTGTTGGGAAGGTGCACATCAATTTGATCATAGGATTGCAGCTCATCATAGTTTACTCAAGTTGTCAGTTATAATAAAAGTTTGAATACATGCTACAATACTTAACTTGACTCCATTCTTAAGAGGAATCCTCTGTCGTTGCTCAGACTTGAAGTGGTGATTTACAGTAGTTTGAAAATACACAGGGGATTGATGAGAAGGGCCTTGAAGTTGAATAAAGCAACGTAGTGGATTAGATAACGCCCCGGCTCACCCTCTCATCTTATCTCCCACAGTGAATTCCAGATCATCCTCCAGCAGTAAATATGACCCAGAAGTCCTCAAAGCCGAGATAGTCACTTCCAAAAGTAGGGTAAGAAACCACTCTTTCAAGTTTTTGTCATGTACAATGAAATGCCTTTTTTGCTTGCTCTTTCCCAACATTGCAGTAATCAATATCAGTAGTACTATACAAAAAAGATATACAGTACCAGTCAAAAGTTTGGACACACCTATTCATTCCAGGGTTTTTCTTTATTTTCACTATTTTCTACATTGTAGAATAATAGTGAAGACATCAAAACTATGAAATAACACATATGGAATCATGTAGTAAGCAAAAAAGTGTTTAAAAAATCAAAATATATTTTGTATTTTAGATTCTTCAAAGTAGCCACCCTTTGCCTTGATGACAGCTTTGCACACTCTTGGCATTCTCTCAACCAGCTTCACTTGGAATGCTTTTCCAAACAGTCTTGAAGCAGTTCCCACATATGCTGAGCACTTGTTGGCTGCTTTTCCTTCACTCTGCGGTCCAACTCATCCCAAACCATCTCAATTGGTTAGAGGTCGGGTGATTGTGGAGGCCAGGTCATCTGATGCAGCACTCCATCACTCTCCTTCTTGGTAAAATAGCCCTTACACATCCTGAAGGTGTGTTGGGTCATTGTCCTGTTGAAAAACAAATGATAGTCCCACTAAGCCCAAACCAGATGGTGTCACCAGCAAAGCACCCCCACACCATCACACCTCTTCCTCCATGCTTCACTGTGGGAGCTACACATGCAGAGATCATCCGTTCACCTACACTGCGTCTCACAAAGACACGGTGGTTGGAACCAAAAATCTCCAATTTGGACTCCAGACCAAAGGACAGATTTCCACCGGTCTAATGTCCATTGCTCGTGTTTCTTGTCCCAAGCAAGTCTCTTCTTCTTATTAATGTCTTTTAATAGTGGTTTCTTTGCAGCAATTTGACCATGAAGGCCTGATTCACACAGTCCCCTCTGAACAGTTGATGGTGAGATGTGTCTGTGACTTGAACTCTGTGAAGCATTTATTTTGGCTGCAATTTCTGAGGCTGGTAATTCTAATGAACTTATCCTCTGCAGCAGAGGTAACTCTGGATCTTCCTTTCCTGTGCCGGTCCTCATGAGAGCCAGTTTCATCATAGCGCTTGATAGTTTTTGCGACTGAACTTGAAGAAACTTTAAAAGTTCTTGAAATTGTCCGTACTAACTGACCTTCTTGTCTTAAAGTAATGATGGCTGTCGTTTCTCTTTGCTTATTTGAGCTGTTCTTGCCATAATATGGACTTGGTCTTTTACCAAATAGGGCTATCTTCTGTATACCCCCCCCCCCCCCCCCCACAAATTAACTTTTAACAAGGCACACCTGTTAATTGAAATGCATTCCAGGTGACTACCTCATGATGCTGGTTGAGAGAAAGCCAAGAGTGTGCAAAGCTGTCATCAAGGCAAAGGGTGGCTACTTTGAAGAATCTCAAATATAAAATATATTTTGATTTGTTTAACACTTTTTTGGTTACTACATGATTTCATATGTGTTATTTCATAGTTTTGATGTCTTCACTATTATTCTACAATGTAGAAAATAGTACAAATAAAGAAAAACCCTGGAATGAGTAGGTGTGTTCAAACCTTGGACTGGTACTGTATAAGTAGCACAAAAACAGTTGTTTTTTTTACACTGTCTCTGTACTTTATCTATGGCCTGCATTACTTGTGTTCAGTCACATTAGGAATGGATGTGTATACCCATATGTTCTTAAGGCTTCTGTTGGGGCTTAATTCTCATCCCTAAGCAGACATTAGTGCATGAAATAGGCTTAGTCCAACGGGCTGTTGCTAAGTGACTGAGTGTCCAACTCTCTTTCTCATTGTAAAGGAGGAATGTGTGTAAGTGACATCTTTGTCTGAGACCTGCACCCAGGGTTGCGTCCCAAATGGCACCTTATTCCCTATATGGTGTACTACTTTTGACCAGGGCCCATAGGACTCTGGTCAAAAGTAGTGTACTACATAGGGTGCCATTTGGGACACGTCCCAGAGCTGCCAGTTGGTGTTGCGTAACAGTAACACACTCTGTTGGATTATTTGTCGATGTTTCCCCCCCTCACTCCTCCACATTTCATAAAAAAACAATAAGCAAATGTTTTGTTTTAATCATATTTATTCATATTAGATGCGATAAGGCGCATTATCAGTTATATCCTACTTATTTTTTCTGCATGGAACAAACACAATCGGTTCTATTTGAATCAGCTGTTCCCAAATATAGCCAAATAATCATTCTCCGTAATCAATTGTATTACAACTGGACATTTTTAATTTCAGTAAATCATACTGTGTGTTTCTCTCGGGTGAATCCGCCGAATATAATCATATTCCCAGTAATCAATTGTATTTTGACTTGGGACATTTTTTATTTCAGTGAAATAACTATATTCCTGTGTGTTTGTCTCTTTTAGGTGAATAAGCTGAAGAGGGACCTAGCCTGCATGAAACAAGAGTTGCAGTACAAAGAGCAGGGCTTTGAAACGCTGAAAGAGTAAGTGCAACCCGACCTCGTTACACAATCACAATTACACTACACCGTAGTAGTAGGCTTCTGCTTTTTTCGATACAGTTGCAGAAAGATTCCCGTTGTCAACACATCAACACACTCGAAGCTCTCAGCTCTCACTATGGTCGAAATGGCAACTCGCTGACATTTACAAACAGACAGTGAATTAAATTGTAATTTCATGCGTGACCTTCAAAATGGTCAAATATCACTATTTTTGCCTGCGAAGCACAATTCTCTTGGAGTGCCTGAAGTGCTGCTTCTACAATGTGTCTTGTGGAAAAAGCCGGGCCCTGGCTCATTTCTGTGATTTCTTTTGTTTTTTGTTTGTTTTGTTTTTGTAAACGAACGACAAGATACATAGTGGTTCAGTTGGATTCCAATCCGTTCTTCCGTGACCTTCATTTGATATCAAAGACTTTTACCAACCCTCATGAAACAATAATAATAATATACTAACACAGTAACATCCTATGTCGGTCCTAAGCTCTCCTTTCCCAAAGAAAATACCTTAGGGTCTTTATAACATAAGACCGAAATAGAATAAGAGTATCTATTCTAACAGCCAGGTGGAAAAGGCTTACAGAGGCTTCACTTGTTCTAGTTCTCCTTGGCCTGTAACGGAGGAGTGCTGCTCCCCTCCCTCGCACCCTCCCTCCCTCCTTTGCTCTCAGAAGAATGTGGAAAGACCTGTTGTTCCACTGCACGCATGACTTGCTGATGATTGGCTTTACATATTTGCTGCTGTCGCCACGGATGGATGGTCTCTCTCCCTGTGTCGCTGACGGGCTCTTTCCTCTCTCTCTATACCTGTGGCCCTTTAAATCCAGTTTGACTCCTGTAATAGATCCTTAGTTTTCTTATTGTTCACTGCTGTCTAGATTAGATCAGGATTGTTTGAAAGTGACACAGTAGGATTATCATAGTGAAAATGAAATGTGTTTTTTAAACAACATCCCTCCTTTAACAAACCCCAAACTAAATAATAATAATCTGAGAGCAAAAATGTACAACTCAGATGGCACTATCTTCAGGTGTACTATTTAAAGACCGTTTAATAACTCACTCTCTGATCTGTTTCCACCGTGTGCCTCCCTCCAGGATCGACCACAAGGTGTCCAGCGCACCTTACGGTGTCAATCTTCACGAGGCGCAGGCCATCCTGAATGAGGTGAAGTCCATCCGGGATGCCATCAGCTCCGGGGAGAAGGAGAAACAGGAGCTCATGCAGGCAAGTAGGGATGGGATGAGAGGGGGATGAGGGAGGGAGAGGGGTTGGTGAATGGATAAGATGGGATGGCGGTCAGGTGTTGTGTGCGGAGATATATAGGAGACAGCCTCATATGAGGCTATGGGGAATGGAGGGAGGGGGGAGAGTGTGGCTGTTTAGAGTTGGGCTGACTGTCAGGGAAAGGAAGGAGAGATGGAAAGGAGCGAGGGAGGGAGATGGGCTGGACTGACTGTCAGGCAGGGAAAGAGAGGGGGAGAGAGAAGGAAGAAGAAGGGGAAAGAGGACAGGGAGGTGGTAGACAGGTACTGCAGAGTCTTGTCTCAGTCTTGTGTGCCTCTTCGTCTCACACGGCTCAGTTTTCTCTCCGCCTGGGTATCACCCTCTCTCCCACCCTCCCTCTTTTCCTCTGTCCCCTGCAACCTCTCCGTCTCCCCTCTCATGTCCCAGCGTCCCCTGGGCTGAGTGACAGACAGACAGACGGACGGACAGACTCATACATATTCCTGCCATGACTTTGCTGCTCAATCAATGATGCAGCAGCAGGCTGAGACTTGGTGCGTGGTTGGTATTTGCCTGCCTACTTCATGCTCCCAACTCTGCTGAGGACACATACACACGCACACACACATACACGCCCCATTTTTAATCTTGGTGGCAGCAATTGTAGAAAACAACAAACGTGTTTGTTAGTAGGGGCTGGATTGTGTTTAATAATGCAGAGCCCCCATGATTCACTCTCTCGCTCCCCACACTGGGATGCCTCCCCTCCCCAGCCTTCTGCCGCTGACAGTTCAGTTGTATGTGTGTTGGCTTTGTAGTGTCTGTTTGACTGCAGTGTATGAGTACATTTACATGCACACTAATAATTCGATATAAAACTGATTATGGGAGTAGGCCGATTATGGCATTAGTCGTGTAAACACCTTACTCTGTTTATCTTAATCCGCGTAAGGTCATAGTTGAAGTAAGCATACGCCGATTAAAACACCAGATTTTCTGAGCAATTCTTCGAATTATTAGGACATGTAAATACCTTCATCAGCGTGATAGAGGTGTATTTGATCTGCACGTGTGCTAGCACGAGCTTCCTTCTTTTGCGTGACTGAAGTGATTTTGGAAAAACTGAAAGTATGCATCTTAGTAGTTTTCACATATAAACTTTACACTACATGGCCAAAAATATGTGGAAACCCCTTCAAATTAGTGGATTCGGCTATTTCAGCCACACCCGTTACTGACAAGTGTATAAAATCGAGCACACCGCCATGCAATCTCCATAGACAAACATAGGCAGTAGAATGGCCCGTACTAAAGAGCTCAGTGACTTTCAACGTGGCATCGTTATAGGATGCCACCTTTCCAACAAGTCATTTTGTCAAATTTCTGCCCTGCTAGAGCTGCCCTGGTCAACTGTAAGTGCTGTTATTGTGAACTGGAAACATCTAGGAGCAACAACGACTCAGCCGCGAAGTGGTAGGCCACACAAGCTCACAGAATGGGACTGCTGAAGCGCGTAGCGCGTAAAAATCGTCTGCCCACTGGTTGCAACACTCACTACCGAGTTCCAAACTGCCCCTGGAAGCAACGTCAGCACAAGAGCTGTTCGTCGGGAGCTTCATGAAATGGGTTTCAATGGCCGAGCAGCCGCACACAAGCCTGAGATCACCATGTGCAATGCCAAGCGTCGGCTGGAGTGGTGTAAAGCTTGCCGCCATTGGACTCTGGAGCAATCTGGAGTGATTTAATCACTCTTCACCATCTGGCAGTCCGACGGACGAATTTAGGTTTGGCAGATGCCAGGAGAACGCTACCTGCCCGAATACCTAGTTCCAACTGTAAAGTTTGGTGGGGGAGGAATAATGGTCTGGGGCTGTTTGTCATGGTTCGGTCTAGGCCCCTTAGTTCCAGTGAAGGGAAATCTAGACGATTCTGTGCTTCCAACTTTGTGGCAAAAGTTTGGGAAAGGCCCTTTCCTGTTTCAGCATGACAATGCCCCCGTGCACAAAGCGAGATCCATACAGAAATGGTTTGTCGAGATCGGTGTGGAAGAACTTGACTGGCCTGCACAGAGCCCTGACCCCAACCCCATCAAACACCTTTGGGATGAATTGGAACGCAGACTGCGAGCCAGGCCTAATCGCATAACATCAGTGCCCGACCTCACTAATGCTTTTGTGGCTGAATGGAAGCAATTCCCCGCAGCAATGTTCCAACATCTAGTGGAAAACCTTCCCAGAAGAGTGGAGGCTGTTATGCAGCAAATGGGGGACCAACTCCATATTAATGCCCATGATTTTGGATTGAGATGTTTGTCGAGCAGGTGTCCACATATTTTTGGCGATGGAGTGTATATTATGTCCAAACTCAGAATCAAATATGCGTCACAAAAATAACATTAAATCAAATCTATTTTTATTGGTCACATGCACGTGTTTAGCAGATGTTATTGCTGGTGTTCCGAAATGGTTGTGCTTCTAGCTCCGACAGTGCAGTAATATTTAACAAGTAATTTCTAACAATTTCACAACATATGCCCAATACACACAAATCAAAGTAAGGAATTTATTAAGAATATATACATATATGGACGAGCGACGTCAGAGCGGCATGGACTAAGATACAGTAGAATAGTATAAAATACAGTATATACAGTTGAAGTAGGAAGTTTACATACACCTTAGCCAAATACATTTAAACTCAGTTTTTCATAATTCCTGACATTTAATCCTAGTAAAAATTCCCTGTCTTAGGTCCGTTAGGATCACCACTTTATTTTAAGAATGAGAAATGTCAGAATAATAGTAGAGAGAATTATTTATTTAAGATTTTATTTATTTCATCACATTCCCAGTGGGTCAGAAGTTTACATACACTCAATTTGTATTTGGTAGCATTGCCTTTAAATTGTTTAACTTGGGTAAAACGTTTTGGGTAGCCTTCCACAAGCTTCCCACAATAAGTTGGGTGAATTTTGGGCCATTCCTCCTGACAGAGCTGGTGTAACTGAGTCAGGTTTGTAGGCCTCCTTGCTCGCACACGCTTTTTCAGTTCTGCCCACACATTTTCTATAGGATTGAGGTCAGGGCTTTGTGATGGCCACTCCAATACCTTGACTTTGGCTTGCAAGCCACCCCCCTTTTCCTCCAAACATAACGATGGTCATTATGGCCAAACAGTTCTATTTTTGTTTCATCAGACCAGAGGACAATTCTCCAGAAAGTACAATCTTTGTCCCCATGTGCAGTTGCAAACCGTAGTCTGGCTTTTTTATGGTGGTTTTGGAGCAGTGGCTTCTTCCTTGCTGAGCGGCCTTTCAGGTTATGTTGATATAGGACTCGTTTTACTGTGGAAATAGATACTTTTGTACCTGTTTCCTTCAGCATCTTCACAAGGTCCTTTGCTGTTGTTCTGGGATTGATTTGCACTTTTCACACCAAAGTACGTTCATCTCTACGAGACAGAACGCGTCTCCTTCCTGAGCGGTATGACGGCTGCGTGGTCCCATGGTGTTTATACTTGCGTGCTATTGTTTGTACAGATGAACGTGGTACCTTTAGGCGTTTGGAAATTGCTCCCAAGGATGAACCAGACTTGTGGAGGTCTACAATTTTTTTTCTGATGTCTTGGCTGATTTCTTTTGATTTTCCCATGATGTCAAGCTCTTGCACTGAGTTTGAAGATAGGCCTTGAAATAAATCCACAGGTACACCTCAAATATCAATTAGCCTATCAGAAGCTTCTAAAGCCATGACATCATTTTCTGGAATTTTCCAAGCTTTTTAAAGGCACAGTCAACTTAGTGTATGTAAACTTCTGACCCACTGGAATTGTGATACAGTGAATTATAAGTGAAATAATCTGTTTGTAAACAATTGTTGGAAAAATTACTTGTGTCATGCACAAAGTAGATGTCCTAACCGACTTGCCAAAACTATAGTTTGTTAACAAGAAATTTGTGGAGTGGTTGAAAAACAAGTTTTAATGACTCCAACCTAAGTGTATGTAAACCTCCGACTTCAACTGTACATATGGGATGAGTATTGCAAGATATGTAAACATTATTAAAGTGACTAAGGTACCGTAGAATAGTATAGCATACAGTATATACATATGAGATGAGAAATGCAAGATATGTAAACATTATTAAAGTGGCTAGTGTTCCATTTCTTAAAGTGGCCAGTGATTTCTAGTCTATGTCTATAGGCAGCAGCCTCTAATGTGCTAGTGATGGCTGTTTAACAGTCTGATGGCCTTGAGATTGAAGCTTTTTTTCAGTCTGTTGGTCCCAGCTTTGATGCACCTGTACTGACCTCACCTTCTGCATGATAGCGGGGTGAACAGTCAGTGGCTCGGGTGGTTGATGTCCTTGATGATATTTTTGTCCTTCCTATGACATCGGGCGTTGTAGGTGTCCTGGAGGGCGGGTAGTTTGCCCCCGGTAATGCGTTGTGCAGACCGCACCACCCTCTGGAGAGCCTTGCGGTTGCGGGCCGTGCAGTTGCCGTACCAGGCAGTGATACAGCCTAACAGGATGCTCTAAACTGTGCATCTGTAAAAGTTTCTGAGGGTTTTAGGTGCGACGCCAAATACTTTAGCCTCCTGAGGTCGAAGACTCGGTGTTAGAACGTTTATTTTGATGGCTATTTTCAAAGTCCCATCAGGTAGACTGATTTCAGATGTGTCCATTATTAGGGAAATCGTTCTTCTTGCAAAGCATCTAAACGTTTAAATCGATCTATACTGAACAAAAATATAAATGCAACATGCAACATTTTCAACGATTTTATTGAGTTACAGTTCATATAAGGAAATCAGTCAATTGAAATACATTTCACATGACTGGGCAGGGGTGCAGCTGTGGGTGGGCCTGGGAGGGCATAGGCCCACCCACTGGGGAGCCAGGACCTGCCAATCAGAATTAGTTTTTCCCCACAGACCGAAATACTGCTGAGTTTCTGTCTGGGTGGCTGGTCTCAGACGATCCTGCAGGTGAAGAAGCCGGATGTGGAGGTCCTGGGCTGGCGAAGTGGTCTGCGGTTGTGAGGCATGCGGCTTATGGTAGAGAAATTAACATTCAATTCTCTGGCAACGGCTCTGGTGGACATTCCTGCAGTCAGCATGCCAATTGCACGCTCCCTCAACTTGAGACATCTGTGGCATTGTGTTTTGTGACAAAACTGCACATTTTAGAGTGGCCTTTTATTGTCCCCAGCACAAGGTTCACCTGTGTAATGATCATGCTGTTTAATCAGCTTCTTGATATGCCACACTTGTCAGGTGGATGGATTATCTTGGCAAAGGAGAAATGCTCACTAACAGGGATGTAAACAAATTTGTGCACAACATTTTTGAGAAATAAGGTTTTTGTTCAGCTCATGAAACATGAGACCAACACTTTACATGTTGCGTTTATATTTTAGTTCAGTATATTATATTATTCTGACCATTCACAATAATCGTATCATTGTGTGCATATATGAAGCCTGCCCTACTCAGTATTGTGTCCAAGGGGAGCCTCGGTTGGCAGTCTTCTCTATGCTGTTTTTACTTGAAGTGTTTACAATAGTCAAGATAAGGTTCATTCCACTCCATGTTTCAGTGCTGAGCCATGTATGATATTTATAAACAACCTTGAAGATCAGCACTGATTTTTATCACAGCACAGATATAAGTAGGTTACTGTTTTTGGCAAATGTTGCAAAAAGGGTTCACATTTCAAAAACACATCTTTATGCAATGTACTCGTCTACAGGTATCTGCCAAAATAATGAAACACTTGAGTAAATGAGGGAAACAAAGTATATTGAAAACAGGTGCTTCAAACAGGTGTGGTTCCTGAGGTAATTAAGCAATTAACATCCCATCATGCTCAGGGTCATGTATAAAAATCCAGGGCACGAGTGGTCACTGAATGGTTTGATAAGCATGAAAATGATGTATGCCATGGCCGTGTCAGTCACCATACCTCAACCCAATTGAACACTTATGGAAGATTCTGGAGCGGTGTCTGAGACAGCATTTTCCACCACCATCAACAAAACACCAAGTTATGGAATTGCTTGTGGAAGAATGGTGTCCCATCCCTCTAATAGAGTTCCAGACGCTTGTAGAATCTATGCCAAGGTGCATTGAAGCTATTCTGGCTCGTGTTGGCCCAACGCCCTATTAAGACACATTATGTTGGTGTTTCCTTTATTCAGGCAGTTACATGTATCTCTATCTATCTCTGAGTGTGTTATAGATTTAAACCATAGGACAGGAGCTTTGTGAATGTAAGACACACAGACACAGCAAAGGATATAAACATACTAGCCGTGATTCAATTTTGATTTCACTATCTCTAATTTGTCAAACCTGTGTGTGTCGGTCGGTCTCTCCCTGTAGAAACTAGCAGTGCTTAAGGATGGCTTCCAGCTGGACTCAGTGGGTTCTCAGTCTGACCTGTGGGGCAGCAGCCCCTCCCTGGCCAACTCTGAGCTGTTCAACCCTCGCCTCTACTCCGAAGCCGGATCCCAGACCAACATACCTGCTGAGGTGAGCGGGGGTCTGTTCAGTTGGCACGGAAGACAATAGACTGAAATTGTGAGGGTATACCTGGACTTGTCCAATAGGAAATGCTTGTTTTAATTTTCAGTTTCAAAATGTTTTCCTTTGGTGTGCCCTAATGAACAGGACCCAGGTGAAACCTTTGGAAGCGTGCCATGGAACGATGCAGAAACTGGTTGCGTCATTAATTGATCAGAATGTAGCTTTGTCACACCGCCTTGATTTTTGTTATTCTTTTGTTTGATATAGTTTGTGACAAACACCAACAACTTGGCAGAGAAGGTGCGACTGAGCCTGAAGTATGAAGAAGCAAATAGAAGGTAATTTGTATAACCCAGATTACTCATTCCCAACACAACCCATCAGTCTAGTGACTTTATAACTCGTTATAAGCATTCATGAGCCCTTATAATGACTTATAAGGCTTATCATATGTTATATCTCTTTTAAACCTTCCCTCCTCCACACAATTAAATAGAACATAAGTAAGTAGCCTTACACGAAGCATTGGCTTGTGCGAGCGGGAACGGCTCGCAGGAGCCTTTTTCCTGTTTTTGTAGCATCAGGCAGCTTGATGTACAAGTACACCCCCTGGACTCTAGTCTATTGCAGGGCCTTAGAGCAGGAGAACATATAAATAAAACATAATAGAACATTAAATATATGATCTCTGCTCTCCTCCCTCCACCTCCAGGATTGCCACCATCGAGGTGCAGATAGCCAAGCTGGACAGTGAGGCGTGGCCGGGGCTGCTGGACCCAGAGCGCGACCGCCTCATCCTCATCAACGAGAAGGAGGAGCTACTCAAGGAGCTGCAGTACATCAAGCCCTGCAAGAAAGCGCCCAATGACCAGGAGAAGATAGAGACAGAGAAGAAGAGGCTTGAGAGAGACCTGCAGGCTGCCAGGGACAACCAGAGCAAGGCTCTGACCGAGAGGTGAGGAGGGGGAGGGGATTTACAGCTGCTTGGTGGGGCACAAAGTCGCTAGAAACAACATTGTAGGCAGCAAACACCAAATTGTTTAATTAGAACAGTGTGAGGCTAAATGGTTTGGGCAGTAAAGGTGGGGGAAACATTGGTCAGCATGGGGCTTACAGACATATTGAGTGATGGCCATCACTCCATCCCTGGGTAAGGTCAGGGTCATGGCCAGGGAAAGAGGGATAAATGAGAGAGGGAACAGAGCTGTACACCAGGAAAGCGTCATGGTCACATACAATAATACAGGAGATGAAATTAAAGTCACCCACTCTTCTCTCTTAACAGTGAACTTTTATTGCAACTTTTTTGAGTTTTTGTTCCATTAGTCAGTACCTCGCCAAAAGAGTGCAATTTTTAATTTCTTTATACAGCACATTTTAATGCTAGCGAGGGAACGGGTCGGCGCGGCTGTTGTGTGAAGGACAGAGGGGGCCATTGGAACCCCGCTGGAACTAGGCTACAGTATATTCACAGACAGGGAATAGATAGGCAGAGCAAGGCCCACATCCCTGCTGATAACAACATACTGTACTGTACTTTAACTGCAGTGAAAATACATGGTGTAAGTGATATGACTGTTACATAAATACAGGTCGTCTACTCCCTGATGGGGACCTGGTGTTAGACGGGGCCCCTTGGCTCTGGGCCTACAGATAGCTAAACAAATAGAAATCAGACTGAACACTAACTATGGAAAACATATTGACCTCTTTAGCAGGGTTCAATAAACACTACTGTCAACCAGGTTGAAAAGCACTGCTCTCTATGTTTACAAAATGTTATGTCTGTCAACCCTGTAAGATTTACTCCAAGACACACAACACACGGTTACCTCTGCACCTTTTGTTGTGTTTGATGCTTTGATCCGCATAGCCTTTTTTCATGACATTCGTTGTTCATGGTTGTGATTGGATCACAGACCATAGATGTTGATAGTGTAGGTAGTGTAGTGTAGTGTAGAAACCCCTCCCACTTACCTGTCACTAGCCTTCTCTAAGATGCATACTTACTCTTTAGTGGTTGGACATCTGCACTCTGAATCAGGTAACCAAGGGGACTACATTTACATTACATTTACATCATTTAGCAGACGCTCTTATCCAGAGCGACTTACAAATAGGTGCATTCACCTTATAGCCAGTGGGATAACCACTTTACAATTTTGTTTATTTTTTGAAAAAAAAATGTTTGGGGGGGGGGGGGTGGGTTACTTTATCCTATCCCAGGTATTCCTTAAAGAGGTGGGGTTTCAAATGTCTCCGGAAGGTGGTGAGTGACTCCGCTGTCCTGGCGTCGTGAGGGAGCTTGTTCCACCATTGGGGTGCCAGAGCAGCAAACAGTTTTGACTGGGCTGAGCGGGAACTATGCTTCCGCAGAGATAGGGGAGCCAGCAGGCCAGAGGTGGATGAACGCAGTGCCCTCGTTTGGGTGTAGGGACTGATCAGAGCCTGAAGGTACGGAGGTGCCGTTCCCCTCACAGCTCCGTAGGCAAGCACCATGGTCTTGTAGCAGATGCGAGCTTCAACTGGAAGCCAGTGGAGTGTGCGGAGGAGCGGGGTGACGTGAGAGAACTTGGGAAGGTTGAACACCAGACGGGCTGCGGCATTCTGGATGAGTTGTAGAGGTTTAATGGCACAGGCAGGGAGCCCAGCCAACAGCGAGTTGCAGTAATCCAGACGGGAGATGACAAGTGCCTGGATTAGGACCTGTGCCGCTTCCTGTGTAAGGCAGGGTTGTACTCTCCGAATGTTGTAGAGCATGAACCTACAGGATCGGGTCACCGCCTTGATGTTAGCGGAGAACGACAGGGTGTTGTCCAGGGTCACGCCAAGGCTCTTCGCACTCTGGGAGGAGGACACAACGGAGTTGTCAACCGTGATGGCGAGATCATGGAACGGGCAGTCCTTCCCCGGGAGGAAGAGCAGCTCCGTCTTGCCGAGGTTCAGCTTGAGGTGGTGATCCGTCATCCATACTGATATGTCTGCCAGACATGCAGAGATGCGATTCGCCACCTGGTTATCAGAAGGGGGAAAGGAGAAGATTAGTTGTGTGTCGTCAGCGTAGCAATGATAGGAGAGGCCATGTGAGGATATGACAGAGCCAAGTGACTTGGTGTATAGCGAGAATAGGAGAGGGCCTAGAACTGAGCCCTGGGGGACACCAGTGGTGAGAGCACGTGATGCGGAGACAGCTTCTCGCCACGCCACTTGGTAGGAGCGACCGGTCAGGTAGGACGCAATCCAAGAGTGAGCCGCGCCGGAGATGCCCAGCTCGGAGAGGGTGGAGAGGAGGATCTGATGGTTCACAGTATCAAAGGCAGCAGACAGGTCTAGAAGGACAAGAGCAGAGGAGAGAGAGTTAGCTTTAGCAGTGCGGAGAGCCTCTGTGACACAGAGAATAGCAGTCTCAGTTGAATGACCAGTCTTGAAACCTGACTGGTTTGGATCAAGAAGGTCATTCTGAGAGAGATAGCAAGAGTTGGCTAAAGACGGCACGCTCAATAGTTTTGGAGAGAAAATAAAGAAGGGATACTGGTCTGTAGTTGTTGACATCAGAGGGATCGAGTGTTGGTTTTTTGAGAAGGGGTGCAACTCTCGCTCTCTTGAAGACGGAAGGGACATAGCCAGCGGTCAAGGATGAGTTGATCAGCGAGGTGAGGTAAGGGAGAAGGTCACCGGAGATGGTCTGGAGAAGAGAGGAGGGGATAGGGTCAAGCGGGAAGGTTGTTAGGCGGCCTGCCGTCACAAGTCGCAAGATTTTATCTGGAGAGAGAGGGGAGAAAGAAGTCAAAGCATAGGGTAGGGCAGTGTGAGCAGGACCAGCAGTGTCATTTGACTTAACAAACGAGGACCGGATGTCGTCAACCTTCTTTTCAAAATGGTTGACGAAGTCATCAACAGAGAGGGAGGAGGGGGGGGATTCAGCAGGGAGGAGAATGTGGCAAAGAGCTTCCTAGGGTTAGAGGCGGATGCTTGGAATTTAGAGTGGTAGAAAGTGGCCTTACCAGCAGAAACAGATGAAGAAAATGTAGAGAGGAGGGAGTGAAAAGATGCCAGGTCTGCAGGGAGTCTAGTTTTCTTCCATTTCCGCTCAGCTGCCCGGAGCTCTGTTCTGTGAGCTCGCAATGAGTCATCAAGCCACGGAGCTGGAGGGGAGGACCGAGCCGGCCGGGAGGATAGGGGACATAGAGAGTCAAAGGATGCAGAAAGGGAGGAGAGGAGAGTTGAGGAGGCAGAATCAGGAGATTGGAGGGAGAAGGATTGAGCAGAGGGAAGAGATGATAGGATGGAAGAGGAGAGAGTAGCGGGAGAGAGAGAGCGAAGGTTGCGACGGCACATTACCATCTGAGTAGGGGCAGAGTGAGTAGTGTTGGAGGAGAGGGAGAGAGAAAAGGATACAAAGTAGTGGTCGGAGACTTGGAGGGGAGTTGCAGTGAGATTAGTAGAAGAACAGCATCTAGTAAAGATGAGGTCAAGCGTATTGCCTGCCTTGTGAGTAGGGGGGGACGGTGAGAGGGTGAGGTCAAAAGAGGAGAGGAGTGGAAAGAAGGAGGCAGAGAGAAATGAGTCAAATGTAGACGTAGGGAGGTTGAAATCCCCCAGAACTGTGAGGGGTGAGCCATCCTCAGGAAAGGAACTTATCAAGGCGTCAAGCTCATTGATTAACTCTCCAAGGGAACCTGGAGGGCGATAGATGACAAGGATATTAAGCTTAAATGGGCTAGTGACTGTGACAGCATGGAATTCAAATGAGGAGACAGACAGATGGGTCAGGGGAAAAATTGAGAATGTCCACTTGGGAGAGATGAGGATTCCTGTGCCACCACCCCGCTGACCAGATGCTCTCGGGGTATGCGAGAACACATGGTCAGACGAGGAGAGAGGAGTAGCAGTGTTTTCAGTGGTAATCCATGTTTCCGTCAGCGCCAAGAAGTCGAGGGACTGGAGGGTAGCATAGGCTGGGATGAAGTCTGCCTTGTTGGCAGCAGAACGGCAGTTCCAGAGGCTGCCTGAGACCTGGAACTCCACGTGGGTCGTGCGTGCAGGGACCACCAGGCTAGAGAGGCAGCAGCCACGCGGTGCGAGGCGTTTGTGTAGCCTGTGCGGAGAGGAGAGAACAGGGATAGGCAGAGGCATAGTTGACAGGCTGCAGCAGATGGCTACAATAATGCAGAGGAGATCGGAATAAAATGAACTAAACATCTGGGAAAGGAGAGAGCGGGGCCTCCCTCACCACAACTCCCAAATATAACTCTCCCAACTTCCACCTCAGAAACTATAATTGTTGTAAACTACAGCGGCTCAATGTTTTCTAGGAATAGACTAACCTAGTTTATTCAGCTAGCTAACTAGGTGCAGTATTATTCCGTGAAAAACGTCCGGGCACCTCGTCATAAGACGCCACAGCCAGCTAGCATGCCGGTCTCCAACAGCAGGGTTTAGCGCCAATACTCAGCCACAACAACCACCAGTGTATCAACACACAAGCAGATCGTCCGTGTCTAACGTTGTGGGTTAGTCCCAACAGCTTGAGCGAGTCCGTCGTCAACTTATTCAGCCAGTTAGTTAGCTAGAATAGTTAGCAAACTAGCTAGCCATTGCTTTCAGACAAAGAAGAACCCCTCCTTTCACAGCACGAACACACAGAGAGAGCCAAACTAACGTTAACTAGTCACCCATGTCCCGAATTCCTTGAGCGACTCGGGCTATCAATATGTAAAAAACAAAACACAAGTGTAGGTTATGACTTACCCCTAGCAGCTAATGTTAGCTAGCCAAGTGCAAAGCTAGCCACTGAATTGACTCAGCCAGTTCGCGTCTGTTCGCTCGGTCGTTCCAGCTATTGTTTACAAGTAGCTATCCAGGTTGCAACAAGCTTGCTAATTTTCGAGCACAGTAGCCACTTGCTGCCTAACGTTAACGGTTCAGACAATGAGGTTATAAAACAGCTGAATGGTAGGCAATTATTGTATGTAATTATTGTAGGCAGCCAGCTGGCGTAATTACAGGCACTCTCAGGCGTGAAACAACTATACCGTTGCTAATAGCTACTCGCCAGCTAGTCCAGGTGGTGAGTTAGCTAGCTAGCTTCGTGCTACACCCGGCACCGCCGAATACAACACTAACCTACAATAATTACATACAATAACTTCCTACAACAACCCACGATACCTACCTACAATACCTAACTACAATCTAAATACATAGTTTAAGCCTTACTCGACAAAGCCCAAGCTATGTATAAAGCCAAACTTACCCGACTCCAAGCTCCTCACCTGCTCACCTGCTCACTCACATGTAGACTACACCAATTAGGCCCCTTTTCTCTGCCTCTTTCTCTCTCTCTCTTTCTCTTCTATATATCTCTTACTTTCTCATCCTCTTTCCTTCTCTCTCATTTTATTCTCTCTCTCTCTCTCTCTCTCTCTCTCTCTCTCTCTCTCTCTCTCTCTTTTATATATATGTAACCCGAGCATCACAAACAGGGCTTGTGAATGTATTCACCCCCCTTGGCATTTTTCCCTATTTTGTTGCCTTACAACCTGGAATTAAAATAGATTTTTGGGGGGTTTGTATCATTTGATTTACACAACATGCCTACCACTTTGAAGATGCAAAATAATTTTTGGGGTGAAAGAAACAAGAAATAAGAACAGAACTTTAGCGTGCATAACTATTCACCCCCCCAAAGTCAATACTTTGTAGAGCCACCTTTTGCAGCAATTACAGCTGCAAGTCTCTTGGGGTATGTCTCTATAAGCTTGGCACATCTAGCCACTGGGATTTTTGCCCATTCTTCAAGGCAAAACTGCTCCAGCTCCTTCAAGTTGAATGGGTTCCGCTGGTGTACAGCAATCTTTAAGTCATACCACAGATTCTCAATTGGATTGAGGTCTGGGCTTTGACTAGGCCATTCCAAGACATTTAAATGTTTCCCCTTAAACCACCCAAGTGTTGCTATAGCAGTATGCTTAGGGTCATTGTCCTGCTGGAAGGTGAACCTCCGTCCCAGTCTCAAATCTCTGGAAGACTGAAATAGGTTTCCCTCAAGAATTTCCCTGTATTTAGCGCCATCCATCATTCCTTCATGGTATGGGATGGTGTGCTCGGGGTGATGAGAGGTGTTGGGTTCGCGCCAGACATAGCGTTTTCCTTGATGGCCAAAAAGCAAAGTTTTAGTCTCATCTGACCAGGATACCTTCTTCCATATGTTTGGGGAGTCTCACACATGCCTTTTGGCGAACACCAAATGTGTTTGCTTATTTTTTCTTTAAGCAATGGCTTTTTTTCTGGCCACTCTTCCATAAAGCCCAGCTCTGTGGAGTATATGGCTTAAAGTGGTCCTATGGACTTTGCAGCTCCTTCAGGGTTATCTTTGGTCTCTTTGTTGCCTCTCTGATTAATGCCCTCCTTGCCTGGCCCGTGAGTTTTGGTGGGCGGCCCTCTCTTGGCAGGTTTGTTGTGGTGCCATATTCTTTCCATTTATTAATGATGGATTTAATGGTGCTCCGTGGGATGTTCAAAGTTTCTGATATTTCTGTACTTCTCCACAACTTTGTCCCTGACCTGTTTGGAGAGCTCCTTGGTCTTCATGGTGCCGCTTGCTTGGTGGTGCCCCTTGCTTAGTGGTGTTGCAGACTCTGGGGCCTTTCAGAACAGGTGTATATATATATATACTGAGATCATGTGACACTTAGATTGCACACAGGTGGACTTTATTTAACTAATTATGTGATTTCTAAAGGTAATTGGTTGCACCAGATCTTATTTAGGGGCTTCATAGCAAAAGGGGTGAATACAAATGCACGCACCACTTTTCCGTTATTTATTTTGTAGAATTTTTTGAAACAAGTTATTTTTTTCATTTCACTTCACCAATTTGGACAATTTTGTGTATGTCCATTACATGAAATCCAAATAAAAATCATTTAAATTACAGGTTGTAATGCAACAAAATAGGAAAAACGCCAAGGGGGATGAATACTTTTGCAAGGCACTGTAGGTTGGATGCAAAATAGCGTTTTTTAACAAGCTGGTTTAATATTAGAAGTCAGAAGTATCTGCTCATTGAGGAAGAAAATAGCCTTTTGCTCTTATAACTGTTTATAATGCTGTAATTACTCTAGTTTGTAAGAACATTATATTAAGATGTTACATAGTAATTATGTAATTGTATGGTCATGTAGTTGATTGTTTTTTTTTTGATTACTCAAGTAGAATAGGGCCTGTTTCTTATGCTTGTGTGACAACAAAATTGTTGTGATTCGAGTTACAACTTTTCTTTTAGCTAACATTTCTGATGTTTTGTCTTTTCTATCAGATTGAGGTTGCACTGTAAGAGGAACAAGCTGGTGAGAGAGCTGGAGGAGATGGTTCGCCTGGCATCATCACTACACACTCAGCTCAAGAGGTACATTCACTCACCTAAACAACACATTCAGCAACTGTCAACCAACTGTAACACAGCACTACCACACTGCCAGTTCAGGAGGCACAATCACTTAAATGTATCTACTTAAAATGTAAACTCCTATTGCACAACTCAATGTGCACATTCCAAAAGAAAAATTAATAAGAATACATTTTATTGTCTACATGGAGACACGGGCAACGTTTTAACCTTGGAGGTCTTGGTCAGGTGAGGTGAGGTTACAGTCACCAAGGTGTAACAGTACATCACTACTGTACTCTCTCAGCTCTAAAGTTATTCACTAATAAATAACACTGCTATTAGCACAAGCCTCTTTGTCCTCTCCTATCTTGCCTCTCACATCTCAAATGGGCCTAGTACATTCAACACCTTCATCCAACTAACCCATTTGTCTGCTGAGGCCTGTTGCAAGCTGTTACATCAGGCATTTTAGATATACCTCACAACCCTGCCTAGCCTGGTGCCTTGAGCCTACTTACAACCTTTTGAGGGGGAAGAGTGAAACTTCAATCCAAGGTCTACATTTACCTCATCTTAAAGGAGTGTATCTTTCATTTATAGAGCTCCATAAATTCACACAAGATTCTAGACCTCTCGAGTGGCGCAGTGCTAGCTGTTCGAATCCAGGCTCTGTCGTAGCCGGCCGCGACCGGGAGACCCATGGGGCAGCGCACAATTGGCCCAGCGTCGTCCAGGTTAGAGGAGGGAATGGCCGACAGGGATGTAGCTCAGTTGATAGAGCATGGCATTTGCAACGCCAGGGTTGTCGGTTCGATTCCCACGGGGGGCCAGTATGAAAAATAAAATACAATAATGTATGCACTCACTAACTGTAAGTCGCTCTGGATAAGAGCGTCTGCTAAATGACTAAAAAGTAAAATGTAGACTACAGTATTTTATCTACTGAGTGGCTCATATGGTTCATTCAGTTCTATGAGGGAGTGTTGGTCTTAAAATAATATGAGGGAGGGATAGGACTTTGAGTATTTAACCTTTTCTCTAAAAGCTCAAGATGTGTCTTGAATTTCAGTTCTGAAACATGAGTGTGTGTTTCAGAAATGGACTCTGTTAAACTGAAGCTGTGTTTTATAAGATGATGCGAAGTCTCTGTTAGAGAACCATATATGTATTAAAGCCGTTTTCAAAAGACTCTCTTTTAATCAAATAAGTAACTTCAACAATAGTGTTAGTCTCTTTTTCTTCTCTTTCGCTCTCTCTCTCTGTTTTTGTTATCTTATCATGCCTAATTCATCCTCTGTTTCTAGCTGATATAAATCAAAGGGCTGTGATGCAGAGAGAAACTCCCCTGTGTCTTTCCTAATGAGCTTGCCAAGCTTTAATTACTATGTTTTCTGTCGAGCAGACACTGCATTTGAAGTTACTGAGGGCTAAAAGATGGGAACAGAGGAGAGGAGATGAAAATGAGGAGAATAGGTTTTCCAGTGCCCACACAGATGGCTATGGAAGGCATAGGTCTGCCTGGAGTATGTTCCTAGCTCTTCTAACGCTGTGGTCCTCTCTCTCCCTCTTGGTCCCGCGCTCCCTTTATCCACCGTCCACTCCGCTTTTCTCTCACTCCTTTTTGCTGCCCCCAATTTTTTTTCTCTCTCTCTCTCTCTCTCTCTCTCTCTCTCTCTCTCTCTCTTCTCTCCTTCTCCCCATCCAATCCTCTCTGATTCTCTCGCTCTCTCCTCTCCATCTCCTCTCTTTATGCCTTCTTTCTGTCTAATTTTCTTTCCGTCCTCCTCCCCCTCCAATACTCTCTTCTCTGCCTCTCTCTCCTCCCTCCTCCCCATCTCTCTCCCTGCAGTCTTTCGGCCAGCACACTGTCGTGTTCATCAGGCAGCAGCCATGGCTCTCTGACCTCCAGCCGTGGTTCTTTAGCCACCACGTCCTCCCTGGGCTCCACCTCCTCCCTGAGCTTCACAGATATCTACCTGGAGCAGCCTGAGCTGGGAGACCCTGACTTCCAGAACAAACTGGACTCCCTACTGCAGGAGGGTGGCCCGGGGGTCAGCTACCGGCCCTCCAGCTCCATCACCACCATCCACGAACATGAGGTGGTCCCCGGAAAAGTGTCCGGAGAGAGAGCGGGCGATAAGGGGGGTATTGTCGGTGGGGGAGCAGAGGCCAGAACCAGGCTACAGGCGCTGAGACTATCAGAGACACCGAGGTCGATGAGTTCACTGTCGCCGAGGTCTTCGCTGTCGTCGCTCTCACCGCCCTGCTCGCCACTGGTCACAGACTCCATATTCCTCTCTGGTGAGAGGTTTATGGGGCCGGGGGGCCCTGGTGGGGGGCTGGACATGGAGCTGCATAGCAGGCTGACAGAGCTAGGGCTGGGGCTAGACAGGGAGGAGCAGCAGCACCGTGGAGGGGTGGAGCAGGATGCCACTATCATAGCTGGAGAGATGTTTAAAGGTACAGTCACTTTCTGTCTATTATCTGACATTATTAAAGCTCTCTTTTAATGTCACGAGAGTCAATGTATTGACTGCTACTGTAGACTTGTGTAGTGTTGGTGTATAGTGGAGTATATGGTCCTCATGTCCATTGTGAACCATAAATAATTAATATGTTTAAGTTATACGATCTACACAAAACACATTACAAATCATAGCAATATCAGCAACACACTAAAAAAGATATGAACATTAGGAACACCTGCTCTTTCCAAGACATAGACCAGGTGAATCCAGGGGAAAGCTATGATCATTTATTGATGTCACCTGTTAAATCTACTTCAATCAGTGTAGAAGAGGAGGAGACAGGTTGAATAAGGATTTTTAAGCCTTGAGACAGTTGAGACATGGATTGTGTATGTGTGCCATTCAGTGTGAATGGGCAAGACAAAATATTTAAGTGCCTTTGAATGGGGTATGGTAGTAGGTGCCAGGCGCACCAGTTTGAGTGTGTCAAGAACTGCAACGCTGCTGGGTTTTTCACGCTCAACAGTTTCCTGTGTGCATCAAGAATGGTCCACCACCCAAAGGTCATCCAGCCAACTTGACACAACTGTGGGAAGCATTGGAGTCAACATGGGCCAGCATCCCTGTGGAACACTTTCGACACTTTGCAGAGTCCATGCTCCGACGAATTGAGGCTGTTCTGAGGGCAAAAGCAGGTGCAACTCAATATTAGGAAGGCGTCCTTAATGTTTTGTACACTCAGTGTATATGGGTGTTAGAGTTTACGTCAGGGAGTAGGTTATAGGTTTCCAGTAGTAGTAGTAGTAGTAGCAGTCGCAGTCGTAGTCGTAGTAGTAGTAGACTTGCATAATGGCAAGCCTGCACAGTGTGACCCAGAGAGAGAGAGAGACAGGGCTGTATTAGTGTACCCTGCTGATGTAACACACACCTCCATTCAACACTCTACCTTTATTGGACTGGAAGGTCAGTCTTCCACCTCTGTAGTAGGTGTGTTTACGTGCGTGTGTGCATGCACCTCGTGAGGAATTCAAGATTGCACCTGAAACCTGATTGCCAGTGGGGGCACACCGGGGGGAGGAGGGAGAGAGAAGGGGTTGAGTTACAGCCCACTGTTACCTGTATGGTGTACTCCAGCTATGCAACTCAGCACCGGTTCCCATGGCCGCCATGGGGGAAAGGTTGTGACAAGGTGTTGTTCGTCTACACTCCTCTTCTCCTCCCCCTGTTTTCCTCTCCTCTTCCCAACCCCCTCTTCCCTTAGATGCCATAGTGCAGGTCAGAGGTACGGCAGGGGCGGGGCCTAGGAAGATGGGCGTGACGTCAGCAGTGTCTGATGAGTCGGTGGCGGGTGACAGCGGGGTGTACGAGCCCTCAGAGAGGAGGTGGGTACTGTAGAAAGCCATTGGGTCACCTGGAGGAGAGGTGTTTACCTAATAACTTTACTCTGGAGCAAGGCTTAAGACCATGTTCAGTAGCCTGAACCTTCATGGATAGTATTGAAAGATAGGGGTGTTTAATGAAGAACTATCTGATCCACTTAATATTGAACTAATGTTAGGAGGGCGTACAGTAGATCCAGTAATTAAGGTCAAACACACCATGTTGTAATTTGCTTGAGATTAGGTCAGGGCACCCAGTAACTACTAGATGTGTATGTAAATTAAGTTATTCATAAAGCTAGACCTCAAATTGTAGAGGTATGATCTGATGGTTTATCTATTAATTTATCTATTTTTCGATTACTATTAGAAAGTGACAAGCTGTCTGCAGTACTATGTTTTGTTTGACCCTACAACCTGAGGGTCTTTTTGCCATATGTTGCCAGTCCCTCTCATAACTTACTGTGGTGTTTTGAAGTCTGGTAGCCAGATCTGTATAGACTGATATCACCACTATAATATCAATGACATGACTTCAAATGTAAGGTTGATGGCTAAAGCACAAACCAGGTCTTGCTTCCAGGTACTGTATTTGATAGCAGCTTTGTGGATCTAACCCTAACCCTGTATGTGTCACTGTTCCCAGGTCAGTCCTCCCTGCAGAGCTGCTGCTGGGCTGTGAGGAGAGGGGAGGACCACTAGGCTGTGCCCAGGTCAGGCTGGGCCTGAAGTACGAGGTGAAAGACGAGCGCTTCACTGTGTTCGTCATGCAGCTCTCCAACTGCAGCGCCCTCGCCCTGCCACCAGACCACAAAATGTATGTAAGCAAAGTTACCTTTTCTCTTTGCTTTAGGAGTGAATGACTGCCATTACTTGGTTATGTGAAACACCTCTCCGATGACTGTGCATATGCTGTGTGTGGATGTCTTTGTTACCGCTTCTCATAATCAATTGTTTGTTTGTTTGTATTGAGTAAGTACTGTATGTTTCCTCTGTCCTTAACTGTACACTCATCTGTGTGTACATTGTCTTTAGGTGTTTAACTGTCTGTGTGTCTCCTCCATAGATACATCCGTGTGGTGGTGCTCCCGTGCTCAGAGCCCACCTGCTGCCTCTTCCGGACGCGCGGCTCTCTCCCACAGGACACCGTGGAGGTCAGCGAAGTCTTCGGTGTCCAGATGGCCCACAATGCCCTGCGGCAGAAGACCCTGAGGGTGGACATCTGCCACACCAGGCCGTCTGGCCGCGAGGAGTGTCTTGTAAGTGTAACGACCATTGCTGGTCTGTCACTCGTCTCTCAATTCAGCGTCAACATAACAAACAGTCCACACCCAGATAGAGTGCAAACACTTCTACGGTGGTGTATTTGCTAAGTGTACATTGAAATGCCTATGTATACCTTTTAGCTTTCCCTTGTGTTGTCATTGAATCATATGACAGTGGTTTATTGCTGTTAGTGGATAAGAGCTTTTTGTCCTTCCTAACACTCTGTACTGTCTCATGCATGAAGTCTGTTACAACCGTGTATAACATCCTTCAGTAGACTGCCTTTTAACTCTTATATGGCTTCCTGCTGTCCTCTGGGCAGGCTGGTGCTCAGATAAGCCTGGCTGATGTCAACACCTCTGGGGAGAGATGTGTCAAGTGCTACAACCTCCTCAGCTACTCCTTCATGCCACAGATCAATAGCAAGGACAAAAAGACTGGGACGACTACACAGTCTGAAAGGGTAACATAGACATTCATTCATCATGTATAACAATGGCCTGCATTTCAAAAGGAAATTGATCAGTTATTGTGAATCTGAATAGAAGTGTTATGAATATCTAAACATACTGTATCTAATGAATGGATGTAACAGATGAGTAACAATGTGTGTGTGTTTGCTGTGTGTTCCAGAGCTCTGTCCCCACCACAGAGAGAGTAGCAGGCAGTCTGGAGGGTGCATCAGAGGAGGATGAATGGTGAGCTCTCCCTTCACTAACAGCAGCACCTTTATCCCGTTATTCTCCTGTCTTCTCCTCCTCCCAATTTTAACCTCTACAGAGGACATTCTTCCATACTCGTCACAGTCAATGAGGGAGATATTGTGTCTCACAGTTGAATAACTGTTCCCTCCCTTCCCCCTCTCCCATCTGTCTTTCCCATGGGAATAAGCTCAGACGTTTAGTGGAAATTTTGAAAGCCCAGTGGCACACTAACCACCCCTCCTTCCCCACAGCCCCTTGCAGGTAGAATGGGGAAGGTGAATAACTGACAGGTTGCTCCCTCTCTCTCCTTACCTCCCTCCCTCCCTCTGTCGGTCTGACAGTGTTTCAACCCTCTACAGGCACAGTGAAGAGCTGGAAGGAGAAGGGTTTGAAGACGAGGAAGACAACAACACAGAGGGGGCGGGGCCTCTAGAGGAAGAGGAGGGGCTATATCCTGACAGTAGCCAATGGGAGGGAGAGGAGGTGACAACCAAACCGACTCAAACAGGAACCATGGCGGAGAGGGTAAGTGGAGACTCCATCAACTGTTATAAATACTATATGAATAAATGAATACTATTTTATTTGATATTATTTAATTATTTGACCTATTTCCAGATGACGTTAATGGGAAGTATTTGAGTGAAAACATGTATATTAATTTGATTCAAACGCAACAGTTCTACAAACCCAAATTGATATACAGACTAACAAATGTGCTGTATGACGTAACTATGAATGACATGATTAGAGTTGTAACAGTAACTGAACATAACAGTACATTTGTAAGCCCAGCTTGACTATGTAAAACAGACTTCATTCTAAACTGCTCTCCTGCTCCGTCCCCAGGTGAACAAGGAGACCAGTACCGGCCACCACCACCACCATGCCTCCTCCTGGGTGGTCCGGCCCAAGGAGCGTCGGCCCCACGATGTGCCCCAGCAGAATCCCTTCATCCGGGGCAACGCCATCATCCGCTCCAAGACCTTTTCCCCTGGGCCCCAGAGCCAGTACATCTGCCGGGTGAGGGCAGGCACTCTAGTGCATACAATACATGGACATATTTAGTACATATCTAGTATATAGTAGTGCATATCTATGCTAGATATACATTTATATTAGTACATATCTACTCTCAAACACATTCAGACAAACTTGTTATTTAATTCCATCTGCTAAATGACAGAAATTTAAAATACAGTTCACTTTGACTACTGTTTTCCGTTGTGCTAGTTCACTTTGACTACTGTTTTCAGTTGTGCTTAGCTTTGGAAAGCATCCCTAACCCAACGAAAGCTGTCATTCATGTCCTTCTTGTTCTAACTTTTTTATTTTGAATGGTTTGTTTTTGCCTTTCTACTATGTGATGATCAGATCAACCGCAGTGACAGCGACAGCTCCACTCTGTCGAAGAAGTCTCAGTTCGTCAGGAACGCATCAGAGAGACGCAGCATGCGCATGAAGAAGGTAGACACTACTCACTTAGTATCCATCCCACCATAGTACATAGATCAGGGGTCGGCAACAGGCGGCCCGTGGGCCAAAACTGGTTTGCAAGTGTTTTTTTTGGGGGGGGGGGGGGCAAAGTTGAGTTTTTGGTCAGGATTTTAGTTTGGGGGATTTTTAGTTTTTGGTCAAAATATCCTGTACAATCACTAGGAATGAAGCTAAACAGGAAATCTGGTCTCAAGTAATGAAATGATTGTTATTTTCAAATACAATCTCTTTTTGGGCTTAGTTGTGGTCAATTTGCAGTGTACAAATTATTATAATTATGTTCCGACCATCCGCTCCGACAAAAATCGGCCCGCGGCTGAATCTAGTTGCCTACCCCTGCTGTAGATCCTATCTATCATTCTTTATTTTTATACTGAATAAATACCCACTTTGTATTCATCATTTTACACAGAGATCCTATCTATCGTTTTATATTTCTATGATAAACCACTCACTGTATCTATCCCACCATAGAGATACTATCTGTCATTCTTTATTTCTACGCTATAAATACCAATTTAACTTTCCATTTCTGTCTGTTAGCCAAGGTTCTCAGTATAACAAGTACATTTTCTTCCCGTTCAGTCTCTCTCTCTCTATTCCTTTACTCTGTTCAAACTGACAGTCTAATAGTGCAGTCAAGTCTCAGGCTGTGGCCACATTAGTTATTCTCAAAGGGAGACATTTACATTTTTGCTTTCCCAGACCTAGCGAGACCCAGCCTTCAGTAAAAGTGAGTCTTAATATTTAATGGCTGGTTGAATTTTTAATGCAGCTTGACATTCTCTGGCCTCTATTAATGCAGGGAACAGGAGTGAACTCTGTCCAGGACAGATCTGTCTGTCTACCTGCTGGGAAAGAGGAGGAGAGTGGAGGAGAGGAGAGGCCACTGGGAAAGGGCTGCTTTGTCTCCCTGTACCTCCTTATGTGTGTGTGTGTGAGAGAGCGTGTCTAATGTATAAATTACTAACCCACCATTTCCCTCTTCCTCCTCTCCTCCCCCCAGCCGCCGGTGCGGGGCCTGGACGGGCTGCTGCGGACCAGTTTGGACCTGGAGCTGGACCTGCAGGTGTCCAGGACTTGCCACACGCGACTGGCCCAGGAGCTGCGGGTCCTCAGGGAGCTCAAGGAGCAGCTGGAGAGGGCCCGGCAGCAGGGCACCAGAGACCTCCCCACCTGGGTGCAGGACGACGAGCGCTTCCGTCTGCTGCTCAGACAGGCCGAGAAACAGGTGGGAGAGGGAGATACACTGATCCCCCCCAACACTCCATCACTAATAAGTGCTCTATATAGGGAATAGGCTTCCATTTCAATCAAAATCAAATTCTATTTGTCACATGCGCCGAATACAACGGGTGTAGACTTTACCGTGAAATGCATTCAGATGCAGACTTTATGAGACAGATGGGAGGCTGTATGTATGTAAATCATTGGTCCAATACACACCTGTGAAATATGAAGTGAGGGGTTAGATGCTGTTCTAGCTGGTGACTGGCCAGGAGGAGTTGTTAAGGCCTATTATCCAACTTCTCTCTAAGCATCTGTGTGGTGGTGTTGTCTGCAGACCCGTGAGGAGCAGCTGCAGGAGCAGAGGGTGGAGAAGATGATGCGTGCTGCGGCCAAGGACGTCCACAAGATCCGAGGCCAGAGCAGGAAAGAGGTGCCCGAGGTCCAGTCCTTCAGGTCAGTACTGTAGAATACATTACATTACATGGTACAGCAACAGTATAGTGTAACAGACCTCTTGTAAGAGGAGTTGGTCCATTAAGCCTTTTCTCTTTCCCCATGTATTAGATGAATGACAATGTTTATATTTTATTTAGCTTCTCTCATAGGTCTCAAAGCATTAGGTTCAGTTGGATGGACTACAATTTGTCGTCCATTCCATTTGTATACCAGTTAGTCTAGGAATGTAAGATTATATGGAATTTTAAATTGGGAAAATGGCAATTTTTTACATTTTAGTCATTTACAGTGGGGGAAAAAAGTATTTAGTCAGCCACCAATTGTGCAAGTTCTCCCACTTAAAAAGATGAGAGAGGCCTGTAATTTTCATCATAGGTACACGTCAACTATGACAGACAAAATGAGATTTTTTTTCTCCAGAAAATCACATTGTAGGATTTTTAATGAATTTATTTGCAAATTATGGTGGAAAATAAGTATTTGGTCAATAACAAAAGTTTCTCAATACTTTGTTATATACCCTTTGTTGGCAAGGTCAAAAGTTTTCTGTAAGTCTTCACAAGGTTTTCACACACTGTTGCTGGTATTTTGGCCCATTCCTCCATGCAGATCTCCTCTAGAGCAGTGATGTTTTGGGGCTGTCGCTGGGCAACACGGACTTTCAACTCCCTCCAAAGATTTTCTATGGGGTTGAGATCTGGAGACTGGCTAGGCCACTCCAGGACCTTGAAATGCTTCTTACGAAGCCACTCCTTCGTTGCCCGGGCGGTGTGTTTGGGATCATTGTCATGCTGAAAGACCCAGCCACGTTTCATCTTCAATGCCCTTGCTGATGGAAGGAGGTTTTCACTCAAAATCTCACAATACATGGCCCCATTCATTATTTCCTTTACACGGATCAGTCGTCCTTGTCCCTTTGCAGAAAAACAGCCCCAAAGCATGATGTTTCCACCCCCATGCTTCACAGTAGGTATGGTGTTCTTTGGATGTAACTCAGCATTCTTAGTCCTCCAAACACGACGAGTTGAGTTTTTACCAAAAAGTTATATTTTGGTTTCATCTGACATTCTCCCAATCCTCTTCTGGATCATCCAAATGCACTCTAGCAAACTTCAGACGGGCCTGGACATGTACTGGCTTAAGCAGGGGGACACGTCTGGCACTGCAGGATTTGAGTCCCTGGCAGCGTAGTGTGTTACTGATGGTAGGCTTTGTTACTTTGGTCCCAGCTCTCTGCAGGTCATTCACTAGGTCCCCCCTGTGGTTCTGGGATTTTTGCTCACCGTTCTTGTGATCATTTTGACCCCACGGGGTGAGATCTTGCGTGGAGCCCCAGATCGAGGGAGATTATCAGTGGTCTTGTATGTCTTCCATTTCCTAATAATTGCTCCCACAGTTGATTTCTTCAAACCAAGCTGCTTACCTATTGCAGATTCAGTCTTCCCAGCCTGGTGCAGGTCTACAATTTTGTTTCTGGTGTCCTTTGACAGCTCCTTGGTCTTGGCCATAGTGGAGTTTGGAGTGTGACTGTTTGAGGTTGTGGACAGGTCTTTTATACTGATAACAAGTTCAAACAGGTGCCATTAATACAGGTAACGAATGGAGGACAGAGGAGCCTCTTAAAGAACAAGTTACAGGTCTGTGAGAGCCAGAAATCTTGCTTGTTTGTAGGTGACCAAATACTTATTTTCCACCATAATTTGCAAATAAATTCATAAAAAATCCTACAATGTGATTTTCTGGATTTTTTTTCCTCATTTTGTCTGTCATAGTTGACGTGTACCTATGATGAAAATTACAGGCCTTTCTCATCTTTTTAAGTGGGAGAACTTGCACAATTGGTGGCTGACTAAATACTTTTTTCCCCCACTGTAGCAGACGCTCTTATCTAGAGCGACTTACAGTTAGCGAGTGCATACATTTTTCATACTGGCCCCACGTGTGAATCGAACCCACAATCCTGGCGTTGCAACTGAGCTACAGGAGGCTGCATGGCTATGATATGGATTGGACGTTTCTCCATTTAAATTTCATGACCAATGCTAGTCCTTCTAAGTCGACTGGGATTGAGTAACTGACGCTGGCTCTGAAGCAACTGAAAGACGTTCGCCTCAGTGAACACACAGCCTAGCATTGAAAAATAAAGATTTGCTCTGTTCACTGTACAAAAAGGGAGGTTAGTTGTGTTTTTTGTCTCGTTAAGATAAGACTTTTCTCTTCTGATTTAAGAGAGAAGATGGCCTTCTTCACTCGAGCAAAGACCAACATCCCTGATCTGCCTGTCGACGATGTGTAGCGCATTTCAAGTATTCCACAGTCTTAACTGCTGTTTCCAAGGAGATGACTCTGACGCAGACTTCTGGTGGTATTATGAAGAATGGAGAATAATAAAATAATCATGTATAGGAAAAAATACCATCACATCTTTTTAGATCTCAAAGTTGCTAATCTGTATAGTTTTTTTATTAGCAACAAGAGCATTGTTTTATTTTCGTCCTCCACTCTCTCTCTAGCATTATTGTTACTGTTACCAATAAGTGGTTGTTGGAAGCGACCTTTAGATGTTTTATGGTAAAATCGTCATTCCAATACACACCAGCCCTTTCTGTGTGAAATTTGAAAAGATTGTGAAGAGAAATGCTGTTCTGTTCATTAGCCAGGACCACTTACTCGCTGTAATCTAAGATGTGAAAATAGACCCCCAGAGGTACTTTACTTGAACATTATTTATAGTGCAACAAATCTACAAAATCAATATTCTGATTGTATGATGGTGTACTATGACCGAATGTGTGGTTGGTTGTACAGTATACTGAAACTGTCTGTCTGTCCCTAGTGGCATTGTCTTTTCCTATTTCTGAACACACTACTGTATATGGCATCAGTGTCTGTAGTACCAGTCAGACCATCTATACTGTACTTTACTGTACATGGCTCTTGTAGTAACTATCTCTCAGCATTGTGTAGGAACTGCACTAACTCTCACGTATACTCAGGTAGTTTATCGGATAGTTTGTGCACTTTTAAAATAGGAATCTAAAAAAGAGGATGGAGGCGTTGAAGAAGTGGGAGGAGTACTCCACTTCAGGCTGGAGTGATTGTTGAATCACCGCTTAACGAAGCACATGATTGTGAAAGACAAAAGAAGTGGAGAAGATAACTCTTGTATTTTAATGAAGATAATTGCTGGCGATAAACTCCCCATTGACTGCATGATTTAAAACGGTAGTGAAGTGATCCAAAAACTGCGAACTCCCAAGTATATCTTAGCTTAAAGTCTGATCATTTTTCCCACTCTCATCCCTTTTACCCCCCTCCCTTAAATTCCTTGTAACTGGACATTTACATTTACATTATTTAGCAGACGCTCTTATCCAGAGCGACTTACAAATTGGTGCATTCACCCTATAACCAGTGGGATAACCACTTTACAATTATTATTATTATTTTTTTTAAAGGGAGGGGGGGGGGGGGGGGGGGGTAGAAGGATTACTTTATCCTATCCCAGGTATTCCTTAAAGAGGTGGGGTTTCAAATGTCTCCGGAAGGTGGTGAGTGGACATTTTGAAGAACCATACAAACAGTATCCCAATCGTTCTTCTGTTCTATTTTTTGCATCTCTCAACTGGACTTTCTATATGTGAACCTTATCACACTAACTGGGATATTTGTCAATGAGCCCCTTCCCTTCCAAAGAGGATCTTCCCTTCTAGTCTTGGGCAGTACTAGGGACCCCTGTAGCACACTGGCAAAGCTTTAGTACATAGAGAGATTAATAAGATTAGGTCTGTCTCTGTATCCATCCTGCATGGAGCATTGTCACATCAATGACCACAGGAATTGGCGAGACCGCACAAACAGATCTGGGACCAGGCTACACTTCTAGTCTAGCACCACATGGAGCTGTTTAAACCAGCCATATTCCCCAATATCTCTCTGTAAGCAGACATGACAAAGTCCTCCTGATGATGTCTCTTCATCTCTGCGTGGTGCCTTGCCTGGCAACACTGGGTTTGAGTGCTGCTCTCTGTGTCAGAGGTATAGTTGAGCAGGCTTACTGTTGCGAGTACATATCTGGCTCTGTGAATGATCACGTCTGTGATCTTCACAGGCGACTCATAGTGTCTGTGTTAATGAAATGTGATGAAGAAGTGAAATGTGTAAGTGGATCAACAGGCAGTAGAGGGAGAAATCAGAGCGCTTTAACTAGGCTACTGGAAACTGTACAGGGAGAGAGATGTAGACTAGATCAGAACAGTCGGCTTGCTACTCTCTCTCCCTGTAAACACTCAATAATGGATGGCATTTCAGATGATAGAGATGTGTTGGATGTGGGTTTGAAGGTGTGATCATAAGGGGATATGTACAAGTGCCCCTGTTCACATGCTTAACACAGATGCAAATGTCTGGAGTGTTTTGAAGATTTTAGATGTTCGTGATTAGTTTTGCTTATCAACAAATCCTACTCTCACACACACTTTTTTGTGTTGACCAAGCATGATCGTGTGATACCAATTATATTAGGCCTGAATTACAATCTACTGATACTGAAGTAGCTAGAAATGTAACCTACTTTTCATCAGAAACATAGCTAGCTTCTTTCCCTCTCAATGGAGCACTTTTTAGCACCATACGTAGAGAGCACCCCACTTAAAGCTCAATTCAACATTAGGCTAGTTATAACTGTGGTGCTGTACCGATTTGTCCAATCCACAACAGTCAGGATGACATTGAAACAGGTTCATGCGTCATTAATTTTGCCATAGAATGTTGAGCATAATGACTCTGAATACGGAGAGGAGTCAGAGTGGAATTAAATCACATGCCTAGGAACTCAATTTATGTAATAGCACAATACCTTGGTTGGATTTTTTTGATGGTCATGAATGGGCATGCATTCACAATAACATTCTGCAAACGATGAGTAGAAATCACTGGTGTCAAGTGTCCCACCACAATGGACATTGCTCTGTAGTTTGATGAATACATTCCATGTTTCATACTCTTTACAGACAAAATGATACCCTGATTTTGAACACCAGAAATTATTTTCTAATCCACCCCATACTAATAATGTTAGATCAGACAGTTTCATTCCTTCACTACTTTTTTCCTTACTAATAGTCTGTGAAGTTCACATGCCATTCCATAATGCACTGGTTATCTTTTGCCATCTTCTTCTTCGGTATCATGGCGTTCGCACATTTTGTTTGCATGCCGCCACCGTTACACGTAAAAAACATTTAAAGGAGAAGGGGGAAAAAAAGGAAAGTATTGCACCACCAACTAAAAGGTGCTGCATGGTCAATCTGACGTCTGCATTGTCCGTGCAGCATTTACGGTGAAAAGGCCTCTGCAGAAGTCAGGGCATTCATATTTATTGCGCTTCGCGGAGCAGTGCAGAGCTGTTGAGCAGAGCTGTTGTGAAGGAAGTTGTCAAGGAAGTGAGTTTGTGTTTATACAGGACCTCCCACCCTCACCTACCATCAACCAATCATGTCAATGTGGAGCTATACGGAGCCCTCCGCATTGTTAAAAAATTTGAGAGGCGCACGGCAATGCGGTACGGAGCTTGATTTGGCCTCTGGAGGCTCCGCAATTGCGTCACATCTCCATATGAAGCCTCCGACCATATTTTCGGATCAAGCATAAATTGCCTTTAACCCTACACCTATATACCACTATTCCATAAAAATCACCACCCCATTCCACTACTTTCACCCTAACTGATCCTACACCAGGCCGACTGCCTGGGAGGACGGGACTCTTGTTCAACACACCTTGTAACTCTTCTGCAGTAAAACCTTGTACACCCAAGTACTTCTCTGCAGCTGCTACCGCAACATCTATTTTCTGTGATTTACGTTCTACTCTGACCCTTGCAACCTCAACCTGTCTCTCTCGCACCGGGCACTTCTGATCCCCAGCAACATTGGCACCCCCACAATTGACACACAGTTTCTTCCACCGATACTACACATTCCTTTGTCCCTTGCCCTCATGCACACTTCTCACAATCTCCCTCCTACACACTGCTGCAACATGACCATAAGCTTGGCATCTGAAACACCTTGGTGTGTTCTGCACAAAGGTTCTCACGGGATAGCTGACATATCCTAACATTACTTTATTAGGTAAAGACTCTGCTTCAAAACTCAAAAGGACAGACAGCATCATCTCAGTTTCACCACGCTCGCCACCGGGTCTGCGTCGCACAGGGAATCTTCAATTTCAGTTGCTCCACCTCTTAACTTAACGCCACCCTAGTAATCGCTCCTTTCAAACCTCTGGCCCAACCCATCGGTTTCTAGACCAATCAGACGGCCCCGAATATGTCACATTTGGTGAAGTGTCAGGAAGGTATTCAGATCTAGACCCTAGAGATAGATAGAGTAATCATCTTTGTATCTGTGCCATTATAGTGTATGTGACAACATGGGCAGCGCCATGAGGTGATCTCCATTTTGAAGTAGTTAATTTTCTTCACGATTTGGCTGATCTCTCCTGATGACCCGGTTGGACATGACTCCAACAGGGTCACCAGGAGGAATCAGCCAATGAAGTTGGAAGTCCCACCCAGCTGACTACATTAAAATGGTGGATGTCCTCGATGGCGCTGCCCATGCTAATACAGCCTTTTGGCCACTAGAAGTCTCTATCTTTCTCTATGATCCAGACTCATTGTGGAGAAGAAACAAACGTCTGTGGTCGTGGCGTAGTGTTTGTCTGGAGCAGGAGTCTGGGTAGCCAGGCAAATCAGATGGCACCATCAGACCCAACTCCTTGAATGCCCTACTCCTTGAAGTTTGCAGTTGTAAAAAAAAAACACTTCTGCTCAACCATTTTTCTTTTACCTTTTAGTTTGTGTGCTTTAATGTATTTATACTTGGCCTCCCGAGTGGTGCAGCGGTCTAAGGCAGTGCTAGAGGCGTCACTACAGACCCTGGTTCGATCCCGGGCTGTTTCACAACCGGCCGTGATCGGGAGTCCCATAGGGCGGCGCACAATTGGCCCAGCGTCGTCCGAGTTAAGGGAGGGTTTGGCCGGGGTAGGCCGTCATTGTAAATAAAAATGTGTTCTTAACTGACTTGCCTTGTTAAATAAAAATAACAACTTGGGATATCGCTTTTTAGTAGGAAAAGTAACGAAATCTCTGCTGGAGGACGTCTTTTTAAAATACACTACATGACCCAAAGTATGTGGACACCTGCTCGTCGAACATCTCATTCCAAAATCATGGGCATTAATATGGAGTTGGTCCCCCCTTTGCTGCTATAACAGCCTACACTCTTTCTTTGGGAGGCTTTCCACTAGATGTTGGAACATTGCTGCGTGGACTTGCTCCCATTCAGCCCTAAGCATTAGTGAGGTCGGGCAATTATGTTTGCAGATTGTCATGCTGAAACAGGAAAGGGTCTTCCCCAAACTGATGCCACAAAGTTGGAAGCACAGAATCGTATAGAATTTCATTCTATGCTGTAGCGTTAAGATTTCCCTTCACTGGAACTAAGGGGCCTAGCCCGAACCATGAAAAACAGCCTCAGACCATTATTCCTCTCCACCAAACTTTACAGTTGGCACTATGCATTGGGGCAGGTAGTGTTCTTCTGGCATCCGCCAAACCCAGATTAATCCGTCGGACTGCCAGATGGTGAAGCGTGATTCATCACTCCAGAGAACGCGTTTCCCCTACACGAGTCCAATGGCGGCGAGCCTTACACCATTCCAGCCGACGCTTGGCATTGCACATGGTGATCTTGGGCTTGTTTGCGGCTGCTCGGCAATGGAAACCCATTTCATGAAGCTCCCGACGAACAGTTCTTGTGCTGACGTTGCTTCCAGAGGCAGTTTGGAACTCGGTAGTGAGTGTTGCATCCGAGGACAGACGATTTTTACGCGCTACACTCTACTTCGCGGCTTAGCCGTTGTTGCTCCTAGACATTTCCACTTCTCAATAACAGCACTTACAGTTGACCGGGGCAGCTCTAGCAGGGCAGAAATTTGACGAACTGACTTGTTGGAAAGGTGGCATGCACGTTGAAAGTCACTGAGCTGTTTGTCTGTGGAGATTGCATGGCTGTGTGCTCGATTCTTATACACCTGTCTGCAACGGGTGTGGCTGAAATAGCCGAATCCACTAATTTGAAGGGGTGTCTACGTACTTTTGTATATATAGTATATAAGTTGTTTGTTTTTTTCTCCTTTGGACCATTTCTATCCTTTTACAATTTTACAAACTGTACAATGTTGCACTTCACCACTGTAAAGGAAAGACACTCTTCATGGCACAGCAATTTATTCTACTGGAATAAGACATTAACTGTATACTGTGAATGGATCCTTTGGAGAGTGTGTCTTTTTAGATTAAATATGATTTAAACCTGAGGCGAAAATGTGGTCACCATCCAAAAACAGAACACTACTTTTTGTTGCCTCAAATAATGTGTACTGTTTGCATTTGAATGTGAACTGTTTACTTTTTAAAAAATCATGATTTACTCCAGTGTAGAGAGAGTAAACCTATCAGAGGTCTTATATTAGGACTTCTTATTGGATTTCAGTGTCTAGATGGAACAGTACTATCTATATGTGAATTAACTGAAGCTAGTCACGATTGACTAGATGGTTTGTAACTATTGAATCTAAAGGCTTAAATGTACTTCTATAACACCACCCAGCATGTATATTGTTGACAGAAGTGGTGAAAATAATCAGAAACTAACGATGAAGTAAGTCTTGCTTCAAGTAATCAAAACCATCACTGTCAGAAACTGAAGCTAGTAGTTATGAATGATTTGTTGTCATGTAGGATGTGATATAATTCTTGTTTGTTTTGAAGTTCAAGTGCATTTTTGTTTGATTATTATGTTTTAATCTGTTGTATTAAGGATGGCAAAGAGCCTGGTATGTGTATGGAAATGGTTTGAGAAACACGTATTTATTGCACTTTCTGATTTGGGTGTGTGCTGTTTCCTTTCTCATGAGACTCCTGAAAGCTGTGAATTGTATCATGGACACTGTACTGTCAACCAGAATTGTAAATATTTCACCAGCACAAAAAAAAATGTTTTGTAGTTTCACAACAAATAAAAAAAGTTTTTGTTCTACTCTTGCCTGTGCTTTCTCCTCTTTGTGTATCTGTGGTGTATTCAATGTCAATTTTGAAGGTCATTTGCAGAGCATTGCAATTTGAGAATAAAAATAACAACATTGTTGCTATGTTTTATGAAAGTTAAAGCATAACTTTATGGCCCTTCCCATAGGGAGGCGCACAATTGGCCCAGCGTCGTCCGGGTTTGGCCGGTGTAGGCCGTCATTGTAAATAAGAATTTGTTCTTAACTGACTTGCCTAGTTAAATAAAGGTAAAAAAATATATATATATGGCTGTTGTACCTATTCGTCTGTGGTAGTACCTTGAGTACCCACACGAGGTCGGTAAATGGAATTTCCTACATTTTACTTCATTGCGACTCTGCCTCATCTAGGTTCAGAAACACATTTAGCTAGCTAGAAACACTCATCTAGGCTCAAACTCATTTAGCTAGCTAGAAACAAACACAAATGTACTGTTCTAACGTTATACTTTTACCGAAAATGGGAGATCCTGTGGCTGAATACACGTCCCGACTTCAACAGCAGGTCAGCTCTGATACTTTACAAAGACCTCTTGGTTTGCAATAATGTACTGAAGTTAAGCAAATGTAGGTAGCTACGCTAACGTGGACTCGTTTCTGTCGTAATGTGTGGCAACTGGCTAGCTTGCTGGCTGACTGGCTGGCTAAACATTGCAGCAACTTGCTAGCTGCCTTGAAATGTGCTATAAAACGTGTAAAATCAGCCTGATGCTAGGTAAGTGTTATCTTTGTTGTATTCTAGCTAGCTGTATTCAGTGTGTGTGTTACTGCAAAGACTGGTTACAGGTTAGCTGTCACTCATGATGTTGAAAATGCAGCCATGCATTCAGTGTACGTACGGCCCTTCCCATATAGACGTTTCCTGATAACTATCAATCATGACATACTGTAACGTTAAGGGACAATTATTAGCTAATTTAGCTGAAGCTTTCAGTTTTGTTCTGACGGGTGTGGCATCATGTGATTTTCTCAATATCTGCTATCAGTAGCTACATTTATGAGTTTGAGTCAAAGTCCTGAATATTGTCATTGCACACTGTACCTCAACCAATCCTGCATTTGTGCTGTTTTCGTAGACCGGGTATAGGTGTAGAGGCAGGACATTTTCTTAACAGTGAACCCTTCGTCTGTCTAGGAGCAGGATATCCATTCCCTGACTTCTGAGATCGAGAGCCTGAAGAACCCACAGAACCTGAGATCGTTCTCACACCTGGATGGGCTGAGAGAGGAGAACGCCAAGCTCAAATACCGCCTCAACGTCCTCAAAAGGGTGAGTGATCACTTGCATAGGTATTTCCACACTCCACGCTGGGTACATTAATGTTATGAGATTGAGCTATCTTATTCATTCACAGGATTACAGGCAATATCCGCACTGAGCTAAAGGGTAGAGCTGCCGTTTTCAATGAGCGGGACTCTAACCCGGACGCTTATAAGAAATCCCGCTATGCCCTCCGACGAAGCATCAAACAGGCAAAGAGTCAATACAGGACTAAGATTGAATCGTACTACACCGGCTCCGACGCTCTTCGGATGTGGCAGGGCTTGCAAACTATTACAGACTACAAAGGGAAGCACAGCCGCGAGCTGCCCAGGGACACCATAGACCCACTCCAATTTGCATACAGCCCCAACAGATCCACAGATGATGCAATCTCTATTGCACTCCACACTGCCCTTTCCCACCTGGACAAGAGGAACACCTACGTGAGAATGCTATTCATTGACTACAGCTCAGCGTTCAACACCATAGTGCCCTCAAAGCTCATCACTAAGCTAAGGACCCTGGGACTAAACACCTCCCTCTGCAACTGGATCCTCGACTTCTTGACAGGCCGCCCCCAGGTGGTAAGGGTAGGTAACAACACATCTGCCACGTTGATCCTCAACACGGGGCCCCTCAGGGGTGCATGCTCAGTCCCCTCCTGTACTCCCTGTTCACCCATGACTGCATGGCCATGCACGACTCCAACACCATCATTAAGTTTGCCGACGACATCAGTGGTAGGCATGATCACCGACAACGATGAGACAGCCTATATGGAGGAGGTCAGAGACCTGGCCGTGTGGTGCCAGGATAACAACCTCTCCCTCAACATGATCAAGAGAAAGGAGATGATTGTAGACTACAGGAAAAAAAAGAGGACTGAGCACGCCCCCATTCTCATCGACTGGGCTGTAGTGGAATAGGTTGAGAGCTTCAAGTTCCTTGGTGTCCACATCACCAACAAACTATCATGGTCCAAACACACCAAGACAGTCGTGAAGAGCAGCTGCACCATCGAGAGCATCCTGACTGGTTGCATCATCCTGACTGGTTGCAAGGCCCTAAAATGTTTCTAAGACTCCAGCCACCCTAGTCATAGACTGTTCTCTCTGCTACCGCACAGCAAGCAGAGATCCAAAACGCTTCTTAACAGCTTCTACCCCCAAGCCATAAGACTCCTGAACAGCTAATCATGGCTACCCGTACTATGTGCATTGTCCCCCCCCACCCCATCCCCTCTTTTACGCTGCTGCTACTCTGTTTATTATCTATGCATAGTCACTTTAACTCTACCCACATGTATATATTACCTCGACTAACCAGTGCCCCCGCACATTGACTCTGTACCGGTACTCCCTGTATATAGCCTCCCTACTGTTATTTTATTTTACTGCTGCTCTTTAATTATTATTATTTTAATTTTTTTGCTTATATATATATATATATTTTTTTTTTTTTCTTAAAACAGCATTGTTGGTTAAGGGCTTGTAAGTAAGCATTTCACTGTAAGGTCTACACCGGTTATATTCTGCGCATGTGGCAAATACGATTTGATTTGACATACAGGAGGTGACTAGATCAAATCAATTGTATTTGTCACACGCGCCGAATACAACCGGTGTAGAGCTTACCGTGAAATGCTTACTTACAAGCCCTTAACCAACAATGCAGTTCAATAAATATTTAAGAAAATATTTACTAAATTAAAAATTAAATTAAAAGTAACACAATAAAATATCAATAACGAGGCTATATACAGGGGGTACCGGTACCGAGTCAATGTGTGGGGGTACAGGTTAGTTGAGGTAATTTGTACATGTAGGTAGGGGTAAAGTGACTATGCATAGATAATAAAGAGCCTGTTGGAGGAGAGGAGAGAGGCTAAGTAGCTATCTATAGATTGTCCCCTATACTTTGTATTGAAGTGCTCTCTATCTATCCTCCCTCCCCAGAGTCTGCAGGAAGAGAGGAGTCGGTGCAGTAAGACCATGATGAACATCAACCAGCGTCTGCAGGAGATCTTTGGTGAGGCCATCCGGGAGGCCTGCCCTGACCTGGAGAACCCTCCCCTGGCCGTCACCCCCAACCAGCAGGCCAAATTTGGGGACTACCAGTGTAACAGCGCTATGGCAATGGCCCAGGTGGCACAACAACACTGATGGATCTTATTCTCTTTGACGCTTGTTTCTCTGCACATCAGCCAATTAAAATCGTGGACATAGTTGCACGTGATAAAACGCTACGTTAGCTGTTCCCATTAGATAACCTGGCACATTTAGCCCTATGCTAACCTAACCAGCTGGCAGTGATTATTTCCTGTAACAAATTCCGCAGCAGCCTATCAAAGATCTTAGACTATATATCCAACAACCAATGGCATTTCTTAAAATAGGTCAACTTGGACACCAGAAGTATACATTAACCCTCCAAATTCAAGGTTGACTTTGTTCCAATTGGTCTGTCACGTGTAGTGTGCCAATATAGCATGATGCATCCTTGACCAGTTTACTAGCTACTAACGTTAGACAAAATTCTAAAGTCAAGTTTTCGCATATATGACAAAATCCCACGTTTCACACAACCATGTGTTTTTACGGGAAAGAGATAAAGGAGGTCTATTCAACATTTGTGACCGACTGCCTCGATTCGGTCTTATGTAGCAACATTTGAAATAGTGTTTTTTACATTGGATAAGTAGAGACTCAAAGCTAGAAAATGGTATATCATACACTACAGTTGAGGAACAATGGGTAAGTAATTCTGCTTTGAAAGTTGATAAACTTGTAACCCCACTTTTGAGAAAATGGCCCTTGAATGTTTTGGTACACCTACTGGAGAGCTCTTTTTTGTCTACACCCATTCAGCATCGTTCACATGTTCCAGAAGGATTTTCTGCCAAAAAACGCATTTTGATAAAAAATAAATGTTAACATTCTAATGCTGCTCCTGTGAAGTAGTGACGTGTGACGACATCCTAGTTTCCTGAAACGAGTCACATTTGAAGTTTATTGTACATCCCCCAAAAAATGCCTAATGGTCTTGTCAAATAGCTGTCATATAGCTCCATTACTATCGCTGCCAGGTGGCATACTCCGCTAAACCGGGTAACTGTGAATCTACTGGGCACAGTAACCGCGGGTTTGAGGCCCCCTCACATTAAGCGTTTTTGTTAAGGATTTTTTTTTTTTTAAACTGCTGGTCACTATGCTCGATACAAATAACGCGTATGTGACAAAGTGGATAATTCGAATAATGCATATAAAACATTGTACATTTAAGTGTAGCCCGGTGGTTCCCAAACCTTTTTTAACCATGTTACACCTTTGATGGGATATCAAATTCTGTGGCACCTAAAATTCCCCTATTAATTAATTTAGTGGTAATGACCTCCATCTCATCTGGTCCATACTGCAAATCATCTATTTTCTGTGACATAAAAAAAAAAAAAAAGATTTAAAATAGGGTTTATTTGAAATTGTTTCATGGTTAATTTGTGTGTACTCCTTTTAAGAGCGTCCTGCGAATCTGTGCCAGCAAGAAAACAATGTAGCTCCGGTAAAAATAGGTGTTTAGTTTTGAACGGTTTGAGCTAGAGGCAAGTGGTTTTCTGCATTGTAAAGATGCAACTACGAACACTAAGCCATGCTCCATTTGTTTCTATGGCAGAGGCTGTGGTATAGCTAAGCCCAGAGCAATATATGAAGAAATAAATGACTCTGGCTAATCAGACTTGCTTGTGCTAATGGTTTTCACAGACAAAGTAAAATTATACAAATGACTTTGCTTGTAATGCGCGCACATCAAATTATACAGCCTGAGCAAACTGGACTTGAAACAATGATACAGATGTAACCATGTGCCATTTAATGTTTATAAGTGAGTGTTACATTTTTCGTGGCACACCTGAACATTTCCTCAAAGCACACCAGTGTGCCGCGGCACATCGGTTGGGAACCACTGGTGTAGCCTACACGTCTATGTAATATATGTAGGCCTAATAAACTTGATTATAAGCAGTGTTCTTGTCTATAAGGATGAAGAAAGATGCAGCTCCTCATGAAATATATTCTTATTCTTCATTTTCAATGTGTTGTATGGACTTCCCTTCTCAACACACTAACACAATAAATGTAATTCTACATTTCAAAGGAATACACTATCTCACCTGGGATTTGAACTTGCCGCAAACTGCGAAAAATTACCAGGAGCCAGGTTCGCTACACTTTGAGCTATTCATACAGGTGAAATTTCTAGCGTGTTTTAGTCACTTTGCAGGGCTCAACATTAACGCTTGTCCTCTTGTCCGGGACAAGAAAACATTTTTTTGTTTGACAAGAAGAATATAGATTCAATTTGTCTGAATGGACAAGTTAAAAAAAATCCCACAAGTCACTATCAAACAATTACTCCGATCAGAATTGGATCAAAGAGGCCAACATTGGAATAATATTCAAATCTGTTTTTCATGTAAATAAATAAAAAGCCTACGTGCATATTGGCTACAGCCCAAACCGATGCTGACATGAGGTACAGTGAGGGGAAAAAAGTATTTGATCCCCTGCTGATTTTGTACGTTTGCCCACTGACAAAGAAATGATCAGTCTATAATTTTAATGGTAGGTTTATTTGAACAGTGAGAGACAGAATAACAACAAAAAATTCCAGAAAAACGAATGTCAAAAATGTTATAAATTAATTTGCATTTAATGAGGGAAATAAGTATTTGACCCCCTCTCAATCAGAAAGATTTCTGGCTCCCAGGTGTCTTTTATACAGGTAACGAGCTGAGATTAGGAGCACACTCTTAAAGGGAGTGCTACTAATCTCAGCTTGTTACCTGTATAAAAGACACCCGTCCACAGAAGCAATCAATCAATCAGATTCCAAACTCCCCACCATGGCCAAGACCAAAGAGCACTCCAAGGATGTCAGGGACAAGATTGTAGACCTACACAAGGCTGGATTGGGCTACAAGACCGTCGCCAAGCAGCTTGGTGAGAAGGTGACAACAGTTGGCGCGATTATTCGCAAATGGAAGAAACACAAAATAACTGTCAATCTCCCTCGGCCTAGGGCTCCATGCAAGATCTCACCTCGTGGAGTTGCAATGATCATGAGAACGGTGAGGAATCAGCCCAGAACTACACGAGAGGATCTTGTTAATGATCTCAAGGTAGCTGGGACCATAGTCACCAAGAAAACAATTGGTAACACACTACGCCGTGAAGGACTGAAATCCTGCAGTGCCCGCAAGGTCCCCTTGCTCAAGAAAGCACATATACAGGCCCATCTGAAGTTTGCCAATGAACATCTGAATGATTCAGAGGAGAACTGGGTGACAGTATTGTGGTCAGATGAGACCAAAATCGAGCTCTTTGGCATCAACTCAACTCACCGTGTTTGGAGGAGGCGGAATGCTGCCTATGACCCCAAGAACACCATCCCCACCGTCAAACATGGAGGTGGAAACATACTTTGGGGGTGTTTTTCTGCTAAGGGGACAGGACAATTTCACCGCATCAAAGGGACGATGGACGGGGCCATGTACCGTCAAATCTTGGGTGAGAACCTCCTTCCCTCAGCCAGGGCATTGAAAATGGGTCGTGGATGGGTATTCCAGCATGACAATGACCCAAAACACACGGCCAAGGCAACAAAGGAGTGGCTCAAGAAGAAGAACATTAAGGTCCTGGAGTGGCCTAGCCAGTCTCCTGACCTTAATCCCATAGAAAATCTGTGGAGGGAGCTGAAGGTTCGAGTTGCCAAACATCAGCCTCGAAACCTTAATGACTTGGAGAAGATCTGCAAAGAGGAGTGGGACAAAATCCCTCCTGAGATGTGTGCAAACCTGGTGGCCAACTACAAGAAACGTCTGACCTCTGTGATTGCCAACAAGGGTTTTGTCACCAAGTACTAAGTCATGTTTTGCAGAGGGGTCAAATACTTATTTCCCTCATTAAAATGCAAATCAATTTATAGCATTTTTGACATGCGTTTTTCTGGATTTTTTTGTTGTTATTCTGTCTCTCACTGTTCAAATAAACCTATTATTAAAATTATAGACTGATCATGTCTTTGTCAGTGGGCAAACGTACAAAATCAGCAGGGGATCAAATACTTTTTTCCCTCACTGTAGGTGCCAGAAAATGTAGCCAAACTTGAATGACTTTTAATTACATAAACATAGGCTAAACGCCAGTCATGTTTGACAAATATAATGAAGGATAATTAACATTAATGTCTAAAGGCTTGATTCTGTCGACAAGGCACGGTTCGTTCAGATCAAATGGTCAAAAGACCGGAGAGTGAAGGACAATGCCTGTTGCTCACTGCACATCACCCACCTTGCAATCTGAGCGGAGGCGGTCAGCATTTAAAAAAATGATTTCACCATAAACTTCATTGTTTAAAACCTGGATGTTTAATGTCATTTTATGAAGCATGTCTTACCTTGTTTCAAAGTAGCCTAGCCAAAATACGACCATAGAAATGTTGAGGGCATTATTTCATAAACACTTCACATGCCGTTGAAACCAGCATTTTTCTCGTGTTCTATTGGTTTTCAAATCAACATGATTTTATTGTCCAGCAGCCAAAGGAATAATCCTAGTCATATTAGTAACCCATGCTAGTTGATGCATCTTTAGATCTCCCCTTTTTCTTAATCTCTAACGGATATTTTAATCTGTGTCACATGAAACTGCTCACGCGTGGTGTGCTTTTGAGAACTGTTTGTTCCCGCTAATTCATTTTGGAACATTCCTGAGTAGCCTACTGCCATGTGTGCATTGTTGAGCTTATAATATGAAGAAATAAAACTTTAGAAACATTTTAAGCTGATCTGTTGCATCAGCCTCATTGCTTTTTTAAATGTTTTAATGTGCAGTGGTTGTATGAAATTTGGATCTGTCGTTCCAGAACTGTCCCCGAGTTTTTTTTAAACCGTAGACATTTTTTATTGTCCCAGGGACAACGGGACTCCCTTAATTTCGAGTCCTGGAGGGAATTATTTTATAAAGACATAAAACTATTTGGTTGTAATTGTAATGTTGCAATATTTTATAGGCTACCAAGGGTGGCCAACCATCCTCCAGGAGAGCCTTAAAAGGGGAGTGTTGTATTTTGAGACGGGCTTGAATATGAAAAGAAGCCAGTAAGCAGAGTGTAGCGAATTTTTTTTGTCTGATTCTCTATGGTAAAAAAAATGTACTAATACATTTTATTTTGTGTGGCATCCTTGCATCATACAATTATGTGTTACAGACCTTTTTCTGGGGGGGACAAGTGACTTGAGCTTTTGTAAAAAATCTATCCTAAAATAAGCAGATCGTACCGTTTGAAGTTTGTTAAGGACATTTTCATGAAATAGTGCTAGTTCACGTCCAATTAAATTTGTAATTTGCCGATGCAGAATTTGTGACATGGATATAATCATGTCCATCTAGTGATATTAGCATAGTGCAAAGTGCGCCAGGTTAACTGATGAGAAAAGCTAATATGTAGCGTTTTATCACGTGCAACTACATTGACGATTTTAATTGGCTGATGCGCATTTTGAGACTGAGAAAGTTTAAACTGAAACTTTTTTCTAATGTTCAAGTATGGACCCACTTTGTCTTCTTTTGTTACCTGTTTTGTTATGCGTTTGTGTTGTCTCTCTGTCCCTGCAAACTCTCTCCCACTAACTATTTATTTCAGTCTGTCTCTTGCTCTTTCTGAGTTAGGCATATAGCCTAAATATCAACAGCTCAACTTTCATTTGAGCAGTTAGGGGGTGAATGAAATGGGAGTGTCATTGTTTTCGATTTATTGTGTTTCAGATGATGAAATCAAAGGGCCTGAAAGTGAACCCCAGGGAGATCGCCGAGAAGATTCAGCAGAACATTCCAGACAATGAGCTCATTGAGAAGACCGAAATTGCTGGACCAGGTTTGTGAAAATTCACCAAACAAGGAGGTGGGCAGAACTAGCAAGGAGGTGGGCAGAGCCAAGCACGAGCTAGCAAGATCTTATTGGCATGTTTTAGCATGTATTTGCATATTTCCGTTAGGGAACGCCTACTCTGTGAAGTGTGCATGTGCAATAACTCCATTTGCCCTTGCACTCCTTCTAAACAACGCAAAAGTCTACAAAACTTAGTGTACTTTATTGATATTAAATGTTTCATGATGAGAACATTTGCAGAATGTCGGCCCAGTTACATCTCGCTCCATATTCTACCACCACCGGCCACTGGGCTTCCTCTCCTCACCATAATTAGTGGGGAGTGAAATTCCAACCGATGCTTCAGATTGATACATCTGGTGAAACTAGGGTGACCACATGTTCAGGATTGTGCGGGATAGTCCCGCATTTTAGCCCTTTGTCCTGCAACTAAACAGTCATGTCCCGCATGTTATCAACAAATTCAAACCCCACTAATTTAGAAAAAAAGGTTGATTTGTCCCGTATTTCAGACATTCCAAACTGTCTCTTGCAGTCACGTTGCGCTTATTAACATATATATATATATATTATAAGGATGTGGTCTGTTAAACACTTCTCCAGTTATTGTTGAGATCTGATATTCTATCATCAACCAATCTCATTTCTCAAATCTTTTCAGACTAAATTCCAGTTAAACTTGGAGAGGACACTTACTTACAAAATGCATGTTTCTGACGAAGAGCTACAAAAGTTAATTGCCGTATTAGACAGAAAGATATAAGGTCATTTTGTGAAACTTGAGGTGTCCATGCTCATTACTTGCTCATTCAACATATTTGCTGCTACTTCACACAATCCCATTTTAAAAGTATCCCTTTCTAACTGTTTTACATTCCCTGAGACCAACCAGAAATGTTTCCTTTGGGAAAAATATTCCCAGATTTATAAAACAGCCACATATCTCGTTTCTGCATCACCACATTTTCCGTGAGGCATTAGAGTAGGCTACGTGCACTTAAACCAGCTCATTCGGTGTAGGGGTATAGTGCTGCCGGAGGGTTATCGCTCCGCCACTTCTCACAATGTTGCTTATTTAGTAAAGTTAGATCAAAGCTGAATCAATGTCTTGGAAGATCACATAATATTTAATTAGTATTCTACATAACAGAACCAAATATAATAGCAAAGTATAACGTTACTCTTACACCAAAAACACCACCTCAATTCTTGAGATTTTAGGATGGTTAGCTAAAATGTCACAAATGTTTTTTTCTCATGCTGCCACTAGGCAGAATGTGCTTGGTTTGAAACAAAATATAGGAAGGCTATATAGTTTTAACACCATCTGCTCTAATTTGTTCACGAAACAGTAATTCAATGAGATCTAAATGCATATTCCCATGAAACTGATTCAGATCAAACGATTGGCATGCAGATGATGTTTGGACGTTTCACTGGTAAAACATGGAGAATTATAATTCACGATTGACCGTGATGATGGCCTATTGTGAAATGAGTTATGCCTAACTTGGTGATTAAAAAACCATTATATTTTGAAAAAAAGTAAAAAAATAAATAAATAAAAAGTCTGTAAATGATATCATAGGTAGGACTGGTGGAGTTATGTCGCACATGCAGCTAACAAAAACATATGGAAATGTCTGCTCTACTCAAAATTACAACCAAATAATTGCAGCATTACCGCAAAAATGGAAGAGGAAAGTGAAATGGGGAAAAAGTAAGGAACTTGTCTGTTGGCCCTGCATTAAAGAACATAATTGGTTAAAGGAAATTGTGATAAATAAAAAAGTATACCAGTTTCATTTAAGGACCAAAGGATTGACAGCCGTCCCATATAGATTGCAAAATAGTTGGGAAGAGATTTTTGACGTACCGATTCCATGGCATAGTGTTTATGAACTGATGCGCAAAACGATGCCGTATTCAAAACGTAGAATATTTCAATTAAAATTATTATATAAAATTCTTGCTACCAATAGAATGTTATTTATATATACAATCTTCCCAGCTCTGCAGATTTTGTTGCGAAGAGACAGAATCATTAGATCATTTGTTTTGGTACTGTCCATTTGTGGCTTGTTTTTGGACACAGGTCCAGGAATGGCTAAAGGATTGCAATATTTTCCTGGAGCTAACCCTGCAGATAGCACTACTGGGTGATCTGAAAAGTCATAGTCAATCGATCAATAATATAATAATACTTTTAGCAAAAATGTTTATTTTCAATTTACAATCTGTAGAAACAATGAGAATAGAAGGGTTCAGAACTTTTGTAAAACATCACAGTACAATTGAAAAATATGTCAAATAGAAATCCAATATGGATGGTGTTGAATGGAGTAGAAGGATGGGACTAATAACAACTAACAACAACTAATAACAACAAGATAACTAATGTAAAGCATGCTGTGTCTATAATAAGTTTATAGGTTGAGAGCTTTTGTGAACTGGATGGACATCATGAAAATAAGTAGAGGTTGAGGGTAGAGGAAGTTCATGAGTAAAAACAAACAAAATATAATTATTGTAAAATTGACTGTGTCCATAGAATGTATATACACTGCTCAAAAAAATAAAGGGAACACTAAAATAACACATCTGAATGAATGAAATAATCTTATTAAATACTTTTTTCTTAACATAGTTGAATGTGCTGACAACAAAATCACACAAAAATCATCAATGGAAATCAAATGTATCAACCCATGGAGGTCTGGATTTGGAGTCACCCTCAAAATTAAAGTGGAAAACCACACTACAGGCTGATCCAACTTTGATGTAAGGTCCTTAAAACAAGTAAAAATGAGGCTCAGTCGTATGTGTGGCCTCCACGTGCCTGTATGACCTCCCTACAACGCCTGGGCATGCTCCTGATGAGATGGCGGATGGTCTCCTGAGGGATCTTCTCCCAGACCTGGACTAAAGCATCCGCCAACTCCTGGACAGTCTGTGGTGCAATGTGGCGTTGGTGGATGGAGCGAGACATGATGTCCCAGATGTGCTCAATTGGATTCAGGTCTGGGGAACGGGTGCGCCAGTCCATAGCATCAATGCCTTCCTCTTGCAGGAACTGCTGACACACTCCAGCCACATGAGGTCTAGCATTGTCTTGCATTAGGAGGAACCCAGGGCCAACCGCACCAGCATATGGTCTCACAAGGGGTCTGAGGATCTCCTCTCGGTACCTAATGGCGGTCAGGCTACCTCTGGCGAGCACATGGAGGGCTGTGCGGCCCCCCAAAGAAATGCCACCCCACACCATGACCGACCCACCGCCAAACCGGTCATGCTGGAGGATGTTGCAGGCAGCAGAACGTTCTCCACGGCGTCTCCAGACTCTGCCACGTGCTCAGTGTGAACCTGCTTTCATCTGTGAAGAGCACAGGGCGCCAGTGGCGAATTTGCCAATCTTGGTGTTCTCTGGCAAATGCCAAACGTCCTGTACGGTGTTGGGCTGTAAGCACAACCCCCACCTGTGGACGTCGGGCCCTCATACCACCCTCATGGAGTCTGTTTCTGACCGTTTGAGCGGACACATGCACATTTGTGGCCTGCTGGAGGTCATTTTGCAGGGCTCTGGCAGTGCTCCTCCTGCTCTTCCTTGCACAAAGGCGGAGGTAGCAGTCCTGCTGCTGGGTTGTTGCCCTCCTACGGCCTCCTCCACTTCTCCTGATGTACTGGCCTGTCTCCTGGTAGCGCCTCCATGCTCTGGACACTACGCTGACAGCCACAGCAAACCTTCTTGCCACAGCTCGCATTGATGTGCCATCCTGGATGAGCTGCACTACCTGAGCCACTTGTGTGGGTTGTAGACTCCGTCTCATGCTACCACTAGAGTGAAAGCACCACCAGCATTCAAAAGTGACCAAAACAATAGCCAGGAAGCATAGGAACTGAGAAGTGGTCTGTGGTCACCACCTGCAAAACCAGTCCTTTATTGGGGGTGTCTTGCTAATTGCCTATAATTTCCACCTGTTGTCTATTCCATTTGCACAACAGCATGTGAAATGTATTGTCAATCAGTGTTGCTTCCTAAGTGGACAGTTTGATTTCACAGAAGTGTGATTGACTTGGAGTTACATTGTATTGTTTAAGTGTTCCCTTTATTTTTTTGAGCAGTGTATTATGTATAAGCTGGAATTAGAGGACAAAGCATTGTTGTTCACTAGTCTACTCCAATTAGGGAAGGGGTGGTGGGGTTGGAAAGTAATGAAGGGAAATACGGTGGGGAGAACAAGTATTTGATACACTGCCGATTTTGCAGGTTTTCCTACTTACAAAGCATGTAGAGGTCTGTAATTTTTATCATAGGTACACTTCAACGGTGAGAGACGGAATCTAAAACAAAAATCCAGAAAATCACATTGTATGATTTTTAAGGAATTAATTTGCATTTTATTGCATGACATAAGTATTTGATCATCTACCAACCAGTAAGAATTCCGGCTCTCACAGACCTGTTAGTTTTTCTTTAAGAAGCCCTCCTGTTCTCCACTCATTACCTGTATTAACTGCACCTGTTTGAACTCGTTACCTGTATAAAAGACACCTGTCCACACACTCAATCAAACAGACTCCAACCTCCACAATGGCCAAGACCAGAGAGCTGTGTAAGGACATCAGGGATAACATTGTAGACCTGCACAAGGCTGGGATGGGCTACAGGACAATAGGCAAGCAGCTTGGTGAGAAGGCAACAACTGTTGGCGCAATTATTAGAAAATGGAAGAAGTTCAAGATGACGGTCAATCACCCTCGGTCTGGGGCTCCATGCAAGATCTCACCTCGTGGGGCATCAATGATCATGGGGAAGGTGAGGGATCAGCCCAGAACTACACGGCAGGACCTGGTCAATGACCTGAAGAGAGCTGGGACCACAGTCTCAAAGAAAACCATTAGTAACACACTACGCCGTCATGGATTAAAATCCTGCAGCACACGCAAGGTCCCCCTGCTCAAGCCAGCGCATGTCCAGGCCCGTCTGAAGTTTGCCAATGACCATTTGGATGATCCAAAGGAGGAATGGGAGAAGGTCATGTGGTCTGATGAGACAAAAATAGAGATTTTAGGTCTAAACTCCACTCGCCGTGTTTGGAGGAAGAAGAAGGATGAGTACAACCCCAAGAACACCATCCCAACCGTGAAGCATGGAGGTGGAAACATCATTCTTTGGGGATGCTTTTCTGCAAAGGGGACAGGACGACTGCACCGTATTGAGGGGAGGATGGATGGGGCCATGTATCGCGAGATCTTGGCCAACAACCTCCTTCCCTCAGTAAGAGCATTGAAGATGGATCGTGGCTGGGTCTTCCAGCATGACAATGACCCGAAACACACAGCCAGGGCAACTAAGGAGTGGCTCCGTAAGAAGCATCTCAAGGTCCTGGAGTGGCCTAGCCAGTCTCCAGACCTGAACCCAATAGAACATCTTTGGAGGGAGCTGAAAGTCCGTATTGCCCAGCGACAGCCCCGAAACCTGAAGCATCTGGAGAAGGTCTGTATGGAGGAGTGGTCCAAAATCCCTGCTGCAGTGTGTGCAAACCTGGTCAAGACCTACAGGAATCGTATGATCTGTGTAATTGCAAACAAAGGTTTCTGTACCAAATATTAAGTTCTGCTTTTCTGATACTTATGTCATGCAATAAAATGCAAATTAATTACTTAAAAATCATACAATGTGATTTTCTGGATTTTTGTTTTAGATTCCGTCTCTCACAGTTGAAGTGTACCTATGATAAAAAGTACAGACCTCTACATGCTTTGTAAGTAGGAAAACCTGCAAAATCGGCAGTGTATCAAATACTTGTTCTCCCCACTGTATATATAAGAAAAAAGAACGGTGTTTTAGGGTATTAAAAAATATATATATATTGAGACAATATGTGTGGGCATAGGCAGACGTTGCAATTGGAGGATGCATTTTATGTATATTCTATAATGATATTCAATAGGCTACATCACATCTGTTGTACATCTGTGGAGGGGGGTGCGCCATTTTTTACAATTCATATAGGCTACACTGTCTCGCGAATGTCCCACAAAATCATCCTGTTGTCCCGCATTTGGGTATTTTAAATGTGATCACCCTAGGTGAAACATCTGGCTCCTTGTTCTATCTGTTGTGTTATATAGCTTTTTGTGCTCTCAGGGTTCATCAATGTTCACCTTAAGAGATCGTTTGTGTCCAAACTGCTGACCAACCTGCTACTCAACGGTGTTCAACCTCCTCCCTTAGAGAGCAAGAAGAAGGTAGGTGAACGTTCTGCTTTTACGGGCGGTTTTCCCTTTTTAAATGTGCTTGAATCTGATATGTCCATGAAAACCATTGGATGAATCTTATGTGGATGTGTGTGTTTTTTGTAGGTGGTTGTGGACTTCTCATCTCCAAACATCGCCAAGGAGATGCATGTAGGTCACCTGCGCTCCACCATCATCGGGGACAGCATGTGTCGCCTGTTTGAGTTCCTAGGCTACGACGTGTTGAGGTTAGTACATCAGTCAAAATGTGACACAGACATATAAATTCAGTTTATCTTTTTGAAGTGTACTGGTTTCACTTTATTTTATGTTACAGAAATGACTAGGTATTTACTTAACTACATGGTAAAGTAGTAATTAAACAATAATAACCTATGAATGTATGTAGAGTTTCTGTGTTACATTATTAAACAGCTGTAGCGATTGTCACTAATATACCATGACTAAGCCAAATGAATACCAACAGAGCCAGAGCAACCCCTACATTTCACAGTTAGTTTATTTGACTCTCTGCCCTGCAGTATATCCTGTTATTTGGTGTGTTTGTTTACAATATAATCACTGTGCATGTGTTTGTGTTGTGTTCCCCAGGCTGAATCATGTGGGGGACTGGGGCACCCAGTTTGGTATGCTCATCGCTCACCTGCAGGACAAGTTCCCAAACTACCTGACTGTGTCCCCTCCCATTGGAGACCTGCAGGCATTCTACAAAGTGAGTCCACCCAAAACATCTGCTCAATTTTTATTTTTTATTTAACTAAATATAAAAAAAATAGGATAAAGTTGACCACTACAGATGGAGGTGGTGGGTTTAATGTTGAGTTGTGTAGACTGTCCTAGGCATACACTACATATTGTTCCTCACTAGCTGTCATCAGATATGTTACCTACTGTCTCCCCTGATGATATGAGTGATTCCTCCCTGTCTGTCTGTACCAGGAGTCTAAGAAGCGTTTTGATGAGGAGGAGGACTTTAAGAAGAGGGCCTACCAGTGTGTGGTCAAGCTGCAGAGCAAAGACCCAGCCTTCATCAAAGGATGGAACCTCATCTGTGACGTTTCCAGGAATGGTGGGTGGGATGAATGGATAGATGAAGGGATGATGAAAGTAAAAATGATAGTAAAGGCTATGTTTTGATCAAGGGGTAGTTAGACCTTATGCCAATTACTGTGAAGAATCTAAAGTAACTAGGGCCCTAAAGATAACATTATCAGAATAAATTCACAAAAAGGAAATAGGCCTAGTACAGTAGTTCAGCTTATAATGAAAGGTCACAATCAGACAGAAAGATAAATTTATGGCATTGGCCATATTGGAGTTATTGACATAGTCAAAATGGGAGGTTCACATGGGGTGATGAGGTTTCATGGTGACTCTATTGTCAGTTCGGTTTAACTGGGGGGGTGTGTGTGTGTGTGTGTGTGTGTGTGTGTGTGTGAGAGAGAAAGCGCGCATGTGTGTGGGCGTGTATGATAAGGCCTGAGGCGTCACAGCTCTGACTGGTCACAGCGCTCCATATTGTGTGATCTCTGGGAGGATTTCAACCTTGACGTGACAGACCGGGAGAGAGGGAAGAAAGGAGGGAGAGACATTATGTTCTCAATGCCTTCATCAGCCAGCAGTCTTGTCCCCACTGAGACACAGATGAGGAAGGGCAATTGGGTTGCTCCATCCTTTTCTTTCTTCTTTATTTCCTGAACGAGTGACTTTACTTCCTCGAGTCTCATCCAAAGACATGCGATGTGGTTAGTGTTGATTTCCTCCTAGTGTTGCTACTGTACTCTAACACAGATTTTCCCTCCAACTCTTGTCTTTTTGTTTCTTGTAGAATTCCAGAAGGTTTACAACTGTCTGGACATCCAGATCATCGAGAGAGGAGAGTCATTCTACCAGGAGAAGATGACCGCCGTGGTCAAAGAGTTTGAGGCCAAAGGTCAGTCAGTTTAAATCAGTCAAAACAATTGTCATTGTCATTCAGTTGATTTTCATCTTATTCATATTATATTAAGATTGTACTCTTCACCTCACGTTGGTTGCTGTACTGCAGGGATTCCCAACCAAGGGGGCGCAACCCCCATAGGGGGGAGCCAACTTTTCGTGGGGGGGCGTGGGACCTTCCTTGATTTGAGGGGTAAAAAAATATAAATTTGCAATTTATTCCGATCTAAAACAGTGCATACATCCACAAAGCTTTAGGCTAGAAACATTTACATTTAGTCATTTAGCAGACACTCTTATCCAGAGCGACTTACAGGAGCAATTATGGTTAAGTGCCTTGCTCAAGGGCACATCGGCAGATTTTTCACCTAGTCGGCTCTGGGATTAGAACCAGCAACCTTTCGGTTACTGGCACAACGCTCTTAACCACTAAGCTACCTGCCGCCCCAGACAGGCATGAGTAGACTCCAGAGTACTGCCCCCTCACTAGTTCAACAAGGTAAAATGCCAGAGGAAGACGCGACTCTGTTGCACATAGGAATATCTTTGGTTTGTGTCTCTGACATTCAGAAGTTGAGCTATGACCTTCTAAAGTCGAGGAGTCAAAGAAATGTGACTTTGCTTGGGAAGTAATCTTATATAATTTCTGACTCTGTCGCTATCAATTGATCTATTCACTTTCTGTAAAAGAGAATATGTATAGCCTGATTAATAGCCTACCTAAAAGATGTCATGAGTCTTGTTAAACTATGTACAATTGCAGGAAATTAGCATCAGAACAACAACATTTTCCAAGGTCCCTCAAATTAAACTGAAAAAGGTTGGGAACCCCTTCTGTACTGTACAGTGTTTGCTGTGGTGTGTACGTGTCCAGAAGGGGGCACTGTTGTCTCAGCAATTCTCTCCTCTCCTCTCCTCTCCTCTCCTCTCCTCTCCTCTCCTCTCCTCTCCTCTCCTCTCCTCTCCTCTCCTCTCCTCTCCTCTCCTCTCCTCTCCTCTCCTCTCCTCTCCTCTCCTCTCCTCTCCTCTCCTCTCCTCTCCTCTCCTCTCCTCTCCTCCAGGCCTGGTGGAGATGGACGAGGGACGTAAGATAGTGTTTGCCCAGGGTCAGCAGATCCCCCTGACAGTGGTGAAGTCTGACGGGGGCTACACATACGACACATCAGACCTGGCCGCCCTGCGCCAGCGGCTCTTTGACGAGAAGGCAGACATCATCATCTACGTGACGGACAGTGGCCAGGTGAGGAGGGGGTTAAGGGAGCCAGGGGAGAGTGCCTATATTATAGCCTGAGTGCCAGTCTGTTGGTGCTATCATGCCTACTCATTGTCATGCCAAACATGTTTGGCTTTTACAATGACAGCATTGGAGTGGGCAAGAGGGCAAACAGATCTGGGGCCAGGCTAGCTCTGTTGTGCCTCTGAGGTCCTGGCTGCGTGACGCCACCGGTGTCACCTGATGAAAAGGTAATCCACTCGGGGTCAGCTGTCTGTGTCTTGGTTACTCTGAGCCGGAGAGAGAAGAAAGATACTGTCAGAGACAGGCATGAATAGAGGACTCCAGAGTACTGCCCCCTCACTGTAGTTCAACACCACAATGATTGGCTTGTCTGTGTGTTCACTCTCATTTTTAGGCTGTAAAAGTTTCTACTGGAGTGGATCGTACATGCAAAGTCATTAGGCTTACTTGCAGTGTTTTGCAACCATCCTTATTAGCCTGTCAAACTCTGTCTAAACATTTAACTGGTGCCCAATTCATGACTGTAGTTAATAATGCATATATTTATTTCTTTTCTCTACAGGGCACCCACTTCCAGGTGGTGTTTGCAGCGGCTCAGATGATTGGTTGGTACGACCCCAAGGTTACACGAGTGGAGCATGCTGGCTTTGGAGTGGTGCTGGGAGAGGATAAGTGAGTATCTACAAATTACTGAAGTTCGTTTTTCCAGGGTCCTATTCATTAGCGCACAAAAAGTCAAACATAAAAGTCCAAGGAGCCCCTCCTGTTTTAGTACGTTTTCTTCCATTTGGTGTCTAATGAACGCGACCCAGATTGATATACGCTAACAGTCACGTGATGTCAACAGACACATGCCTAATTAAGCATTCATAGCGCTGTATACTGTACTGGGCCATCCCAGAGACCACCCACCTGCTGCGTCAGCCTATCAGCATAGTAAATTAGCACTCTTAGGTTGTATTTGTCCATTCATTTGCTCTATTGGCCCATTGGTCACACATCATCCAGTTGTGTGTATGGCTACTAGGAGTCTCATTACTGAGCAGACAATATCACCCAGTGCTTTAATAAAGTATCAAACACAGTCAGAATGGGTTGTGTTGGTCGTAGGAGGCTGGAGGGGTGGTGAGAGGAGCAAGCTAAGTGGTGGTTTGTGGTTAGAGCCTGGTACTCCACTGTCGGGGATGAGAGGGAGCTGAAGCCCTGTTCAAACACTGTTCACTCAGTCAAATACTAGAAAGTGGAATAGCACAAATCGTTTCTCATGATCCAGTTATGTTGGATTAATGGTGAAGGGAGAAGGGATGAAAGTGTTTCTGAAGTGTTGAGTGAGTATTGTCCTTCCTTCTGTCTGTCTCTACAGGAAGAAGTTTAAGACTCGGTCCGGGGACACTGTGAGGCTGATGGACCTGCTGGACGAGGGCCTGAAGAGGTCCATGGACAAACTCAAGGAGAAAGAGCGAGACAAGGTGATGGATGCTGCCTGTGTTTCCATCAATACTGCGTAGCCATTTGTTTCATCCTATTACCCACCTGATTCTACTAATCAACTCTTCTTCGAGGCCTTAATAAGCCAAATAAAGCCTGCAGGACACACACTGTGAGTAGAGTGTGTAGAACACATCATTACTACAGCCTGAACAGTCATCTCTCTAATGATGGTGAAACCAGCCTGGCTGTGAGAGGTCTTTAGTGAATCGCCAAGAGGAGGTCCTCTGAATCAGGGTTTCGCTAGGCCTATACTTGTCAAGGATATCGAAAAGTTACACACGCTGCATTCAATTATGCAGAAAAGTTAGTAGGCGTATAATCGTCCTGCTCCCTGGGGCGTAATCAATTTAGCAAATGCCAGCGGATGGAGCCAATTCAGACCCCCCATGCCCTATGTAGTTGGCATCAGTGGCACCACGGGGCTGGACACACGCCCAACCCTGCCACCTTCTCGTCCCAACCTCATTTAAGTACACCTGCCCGCCCTGCTCAAAACACACTCATGCACACAAACTATATACACACAAATACTAAAGAACACAATCCACACACATCCCCACTCTCTCTAGGTTTACAGTTACAGTTTAGTCATTTAGCAGACACTCTTATCCAGAGCGACTTCCAATTAGTGAGTGCATACAGTGGGGAAAAAAAGTATTTAGTCAGCCACCAATTGTGCAAGTTCTCCCACTTAAAAAGATGAGAGAGGCCTGTAATTTTCATCATAGGTACACGTCAACTATGACAGACAAAATGAGAAAAAAAAATCCAGAAAATCACATTGTAGGATTTTTAATGAATTTATTTGCAAATTATGGTGGAAAATAAGTATTTGGTCACCTACAAACAAGCAAGATTTCTGGCTCTCACAGACCTGTAACTTATTCTTTAAGAGGCTCCTCTGTCCTCCACTCGTTACCTGTATTAATGGCACATGTTGGAACTTGTTATCAGTATAAAAGACACCTGTCCACAACCTCAAACAGTCACACTCCAAACTCCACTATGGCCAAGACCAAAGAGCTGTCAAAGGACACCAGAAACAAAATTGTAGACCTGCACCAGGCTGGGAAGACTGAATCTGCAATAGGTAAGCAGCTTGGTTTGAAGAAATCAACTGTGGGAGCAATTATTAGGAAATGGAAGACATACAAGACCACTGATAATTTCCCTAGATCTGGGGCTCCACGCAAGATCTCACCCCGTGGGGTCAAAATGATCACAAGAACGGTGAGCAAAAATCCCAGAACCACACGGGGGGACCTAGTGAATGACCTGCAGAGAGCTGGGACCAAAGTAACAAAGCCTACCATCAGTAACACACTACGCTGCCAGGGACTCAAATCCTGCAGTGCCAGTACATGTCCAGGCCCGTCTGAAGTTTGCTAGAGTGCATTTGGATGATCCAGAAGAGGATTGGGAGAATGTCATATGGTCAGATGAAACCAAAATAGAACTTTTTGGTAAAAACTCAACTCGTCGTGTTTGGAGGACAAAGAATGCTGAGTTGCATCCAAAGAACACCATACCTACTGTGAAGCATGGGGGTGGAAACATCATGCTTTGGGGCTGTTTTTCTTCAAAGGGTCCAGGACGACTGATTCGTGTAAAGGAAAGAATGAATGGGGCCATGTATCGTGAGATTTTGAGTGAAAACCTCCTTCCATCAGCAAGGGCATTGAAGATGAAACGTGGCTGGGTCTTTCAGCATGACAATGATCCCAAACACACCGCCCGGGCAACGAAGGAGTGGCTTCGTAAGAAGCATTTCAAGGTCCTGGAGTGGCCTAGCCAGTCTCCAGATCTCAACCCCATAGAAAATCTTTGGAGGGAGTTGAAAGTCTGTGTTGCCCAGCGACAGCCCCAAAACATCACTGCTCTAGAGGAGATCTGCATGGAGGAATGGGCCAAAATACCAGCAACAGTGTGTGAAAACCTTGTGAAGACTTACAGAAAACGTTTGACCTGTGTCATTGCCAACAAAGGGTATATAACAAAGTATTGAGAAACTTTTGTTATTGACCAAATACTTATTTTCCACCATAATTTGCAAATAAAATCATTAAAAATCCTACAATGTGATTTTCTGGAAAGATTTTTCTAATTTTGTCTGTCATAGTTGACGTGTACCTATGATGAAAATTACATTGGCTGACTAAATACTTTTTTTCCCCCACTGTACATTTTTCATACTGGCCCCTGTGGGAGTGAGCCTGTCCATACCTAACAGGGTATTGGACTAGACATGGATGTCGGAAGAATTAGACTGTGTGTGGGGAATGGGGAGTTTAAGGCTGGAATGACAGGTCAGACTCATAACAGTACAGTACTTCAACCTGTCCCAGATACGTTGTGACACACAGAAACAAGTTGTGACCTGTGTCAGATGCCCAGTGGACTGAACACATGCCTGATTGCCTGTAACTCTGATCATGTCTAACTCAGGTGCTGAGCACAGAGGAGCTGACCAAGGCCCAGCGCTCGGTGGCGTTCGGCTGCATCAAGTACGCCGACCTGTCCCACAACCGCATCAACGACTACGTGTTCTCCTTCGACAAGATGCTGGATGACCGGGGCAACACGGCTGCCTACCTGCTCTACGCCTTCACCCGCATCAGGTGATCCTTCGCTGGGCCGTAGGGAGCGACCACCACTCCCTCCCCTGGTTCTCTCTCCCCTCCCCTGGTGGTACTACGGGCTCAGTGGTCATGCGCCCAGTCTGTCTCCATTCATCTGCCACAGAGGGGGAGGGGAAAGAGCCGTTTCGCCCAGGGTGGTTGATGGTAACACACAGCAATAGAGCACTCACAGGTGGCGGAAGACCCACACTGTGGGGGGAACTGTGGTTACACACGTACACACTAGGGGAGTAGTGGTTCACCAAACTCACGGTTCGGTACGTATTGTGGTTTTGGAGTCACGGTTCGGTTTCGGTACAGTGGGAAAATGAAATGCCAACAGTTACTGTAGTTAATTACGTACGTCCAACCTGCCTCACAACCGCAGACCCACGTGTATGGCGTCGTATGGGCGAGCGGTTTGCTGATGTCAACATTGGGAACACCGTGCCCCCATGGTGGCGGTGTGGTTATGGTATGGGCAGGCATAAGCTACGGACAACGAACTAAATTGCATTTTATCAATGGCAATTTGAATGCACTAAAATACCGTGATGAGATCCTGAGGCCCATTGTTTTTTAAGGTATCTGTGACCAACAGATGCATATCTGTATTCCCAGTCATCTGAAAATCATAGATTAGGGCCTAATACATTTATTTCAATTGACTGATTTCCTCATATTAACCGTAACTCAGTAAAATCAATGAAATTGTTGCATGTTGCGTTTATATTTTTGTTCTATATAGTTCCCAGCTGCGCCTCACAAAAGGATAGTTTGAAATATGCCAGTTAAGATACACATTTCTATTACAACGTGTGCATAGGCTCTAGTTGTTTTTAACGGAATAGCCTACAATGTTTTTTCAGCTCAGATCGGTAAGTAAGCATTTCACTCTCAGTCCACACCTGTTGTTTACGAAGCATGTGAGAAATACAATTTGATTTGATTTACTTGAGGCAATGGCATACAACGCAGCGTAGGGATAAGCCTATAGGCCTAGGGTTTATTTTTTCTATGTCATTTTTTATGTATTCATTCCGGTTCACAGTGCGGACCGAACCGAGGTTGCTTGGTTTTAGCATTATGTTTGAAACCCCAGGATGTTTGAAACCCCAGGATACTGCTCATCTTGTATATGGTCCTCTGTAGCTCAATTGGTAGAGCATTGCGCTTGTAACGCCAGGGTAGTGGGTTCGATCCCCGGGACCACCCATAAGTAAAAATGTATGCGCACATGACTGTAAGTCGCTTTGGATAAAAGCGTCTGCTAAATGGCATATTATTATTATTATTATTATTATTATCTGGGGTTGTAGATGGCTAGCGAGAGAACACGAAGGCATTGTTCTGGGATAATTTGATTACACAGATATAGTCTATTTTGATAGCCGTTGATGCTCCAACCAACTGAGCTGTCTGGACCAGCAGCATCACCTGTGATTATCTTGTCCATTGTGGTCCCACCTAACAAGTGTTGCTATTATCATGTATTTATATGATAACTACATAGGCAGGTTATCACAATATACAGTATGCACACCTTATAAAATGAAGAGGGAAAAAAATGTGGTCTGACATTAATATCCTACTCAACTTCATATCCCTTCCACTCCTGTGTCTATATCTGAAGGTCCATAGCCCGGCTGGCTAACATTGACGAGGCGGCGCTCCGTAAAGCAGCAGAGACCACGGAGGTGCTCCTGCAGCACGACAAGGAGTGGAAGCTGGGCAAGTGTCTCATGCGGTTCCCTGAGATCCTGCAGAAGATCCTGGATGACCTCCTGCTCCACACTCTGTGTGACTACCTGTACGAGCTGGCCACCACCTTCACAGAGTTCTATGACAGCTGCTACTGCATCGAGAAGGACCGCCAGACAGGTAGGGCAGAGACACTGGGGTGATAGAGAATGAGAAAGTTGTCCATCTTTCTATCAGTCTATCTGTCTCCATTCATCCATCCATCCAATGGTCCATACTAAATGCTGGTTCTATATCCCTGTTAGGAGGGGATCATGATTTCTTGGAAATGTTTACTCTTTGGGCTAAAATCTGAGATATTTCTTGGCTTTGCCAGTTGGTAGTTGCTGTCATGCACAGCCCCAGACTTCTGCTCGTCTCATATAATCCTAAATAGCCCACTGAGAGGGACAATCACAAACAACACCAGTCAGAGGGGTGGTGGCAGAGATCAAGCATCGTTGTAAACCGATCCACTAGCATCTGTTAGCATTTACCCTACTGTGGGCCACATCATTTGTTTGTCTTACTGTATGTTATAATAATAATAATAATTGTATATTGCACCTACTCCACATTTTCCAGGAATATTCTTATCATGTTACTGAATGTATCCAGAGTATTTTCAGATTTTTGGGGCGGCAAAAAGTACAGTAAATGTAAAATGTACATAAAATCAAAAGTAATGTTTGGATTCAGTCTTGTCAGGTGAACTGTTGTGTCCTCAATTTTGGTCGAATAATTTCCCCATAATATCCAAACTCATTAAATCAAATATTAGTCACATGCGCCGAATACCTTACCGTGAAATGCTTACTTACAAGCCCTTAACCAACAATGCAGTTTTAAGAAAATCTACAGCTATGACCAAACTTGTCATAGCAAGACTCATTTTAATCCACTGAAACAAATCAGGAAGATAAAAACAGAAAATAATAAACTGTTCCCTTTTACTTGCTACCATGCTTAAGCATTTCATATTTTTTCTGATAGAAACATTTCAATTTAGCCCTATCCATATAGACCAATTCACACAAGTGTAAAGAGTTAACCTTATTCGTTTAACATTGTCTTTTTTTATGAATATGGCAGCTTGTTTTCCACCCTTCAGTTAGTAAGTTACAGTAAAATGAAGGGCAATTTGATTTTAGCCATACAAATATGGTTGCCTACAGACCAATATAAATCTTTCATGACTAGTCTATGGGTGGTTCTCAATAACACCTTATATCTTTGCCTTTGTCTACCTTTGCTCAACTGGGTTTAAAGGAGCCGACTGGGATGTGTAACATTGGATGACAATGGCAAGGACATTACCAAGGGCTTGAATGACTCTGTCGATAACAGATGATTGTCCCCTACGATGAAATCGGGAAGGGGACTGTGGATCGATCTCCATCTGTTCGTACGTTAGTTACGCGATATCTGATGGTATGGACCCGATTCTAACGAAACTTGGGTGAATGATGCGTCTTGCCATAGAAATCCATCATTTACAAAATTACACTGAGTGGCCCAAGGTGGGCGCTATAGTAATTAACTGAAATGTGTGAGTCACACCAGAGAGGAAGAGGTGAAGCGAGAGGCATAACTGGGCCCAAAATCTGTCTTCTCCAGTAGGTGGTGTTTTTCTTTCTTTTTTTTGCTCACCAAACAAGGATCTTTGGAATGGAGTTCAATGAGAAGAGTGTCGAATTTGATTAACAAAATATGTAATGGCTTATTTGCTACGCTTGGCTTATTTGATCGAGTAGAAGTTTCGTAATCCTTAGGTGGTTATGAGTGTACTGATATGTAGGACATGTGACATCCTGGCAACTTTGAGAAAAAACACTTGTGCCTGTTGTTCACAAGCATATCTGCCCTCTCATTGGCTAGAATGGTCCCACCTGATCTTGCCTCCTACCAACTGCCTTCTAGTCTGAGTACCAGTCTCTTTTTAGCTAACATTTCACTCCTTGTCATTGCAAAAGAGTCTTTGGCACATGACATAGAGTACAGGGAGTAGATTAGCTAAACTGGTACCTAGGCACTTAAATATTTTGTCTTGCTGATTCACCCTCTGAATGGCACACATACACAATCCATGTCTCAAGGCTTAAAACTCCTTCTTTAACCTGTCTCCTCCCCTTCATCTACACTGATTTTAAGTGCATTTAACAAGTGACATCAATAAGGGATCATAGCTTTCACCTGAATTCACCTGGTCAGTTTGTCATGGAAAGAGGTATTCATAATGTTTTGTACACTCAGTATATATTACGATAACTGAAATGTGTTAGTCACACCCGATATCTCAATTGGCCCATGGGGGACGACATGTTTACTGTTGCCTTGTTTGTTAGTGTAAATGAATTTAGAAACTGTATTGTTTGTCAATTACATTGACGTCCATGTCCTAAATGTCCCATCTGTGTAATTTCCCCTCTTCCTCTCATTACTAGCTTAATTAGGGGTTTAGCAGCGAAGCTGGTGAAACCCTATTGTATTTGTTGCCGTTCATTATTATTATACCGGGTTCTTCCCCCAAGGAAAATAAAATGCAAATTCCCATGATATGGTAAGGGCTAGGACGGCCCAACATGGCATGATCGTAAAGGCCCATGGGCTACACCCTCTCATGCATAGCCATGCCAATTGGCCACATGGTGGCGCTATAACACGTGATTGAAAATGCCAACTTTGAAAGCTCACGCCCCTCACCCCGTTTGAAAATTTAGTATGTCTCTCTGCTCACAAGGAACACATTTTCCTCAAGGACCCATAAAGTCCGTAAGGATGGATTTTCCGTCATTTTGAGTTTTGTGAAAAATGCTTAAAACGCTACTCCTCTGGCGACTGATCTGCACGTAACTTGATATCTGGCATCTATGGACCAAGGTCTCTCAGCACACTATTTTCCAGGCTAGTATGTCAAACAACAATGCCGCTACTGACTAATAAACATTCAAGTGGACGTGGTCTCGCACAGAAATGCCTATAAATCAGTCACGGATATTCGTAATGTAATAAAACTTTGTGCACATATTGCAAACACTGTCAAGATTCAGCATAATCAAGCACCTTCATATCGACCACACGGTGGCACAATAACGGGCACATTTTTATATCTCTTGATCTGTTTGACTTAGTGATGAAATTTGGAATACATGCTCAAGGATATGAGTCTAGCCAACCTGTAAAGTATGGTTGAGTTTGGCCACATTGTGGTGCTGTTGGACAGGTAAAACCATTCACACAAGCTCATTGACTTGTAGCGGCCATATTATTTCAGTTAGACTCTTGGAAAATAGTGTGTTTGAAGATGTGCATCCATAGATGCTATATACCAAATTTGTTGCCGATTGATCCAGCGGTTCTGGAGAAGAAGACGTTTAAAGAAGTCAACATCATTGAAATTGGTCCAAAATGCATCAGAAGCATATTATATTGCATGATCAGTTTGATTTTGAGTTCTGATTTGGCAAGTGTGGTAAACGGTACAGAAGTAGCTCCTCCTAGGACAATGTGTCCAATTTGTCCTGGCACAGTGGGCACACAGCTAAACCCTGGCAACACTGCTTGCAGCTTTAATTTCTATTGGATCTTCTCATCGTGTAGCAATATGCCCCATGGATCGTTGAGTTGTGAATATTGCATAGCATCACATTTATTTAGTGACTGTTCTGTTATTGGGACATGTTATGTGATTTTAGTGTAATTTGATTGGATGAAATGAACTAAGATCTACTACCAGTCAAAAGTTTGGACACCAACTAATTCAAGGGTTTTTCTTTATTTTACTATTTTTTACATTGTAGAATAATAGTGAAGACATCAAAACTATGAAATAACACATGGAATCATGTAGTAACCAACAAAGTGTTAAACAAATCAAAATATATTTTATATTTGAGATTTTTCAAATGGCCACCCTTTGCCTTGATGACAGCTTTACACACTCTTGGCATTCTCTCAACCAGCTTCATGAGGTAGTCACCTGGAATGCATTTCAATTAACAGGTGTGCCTTCTTAAAAGTTAATTTGTGGAATTGATTTCCTTCTTAATGCGTTTGAGCCAATCAGTTGTGTTGTGACAAGGTGGGGGGTGGGGGGGGGGGGGGGGGGGTATACAGAAGATAGCCCTATTTGGTAAAAGACCAAGTCCATATTATGGCAAGAACAGCTCAAATAAGCAAAGAGAAACGACAGTCCATCATTACTTTAAGACATGAAGGTCAGTCAATACGGAACATTTCAAGAACTTTGAAAGTTCCTTCAAGTCGCAAAAACCATCAAGCGCTATGATGAAACTGGCTCTCATGAGGACCGCCACAAGAATGGAAGACCCAGAGTTACGTCTGCTGCAGAGGATAAGTTCATTAGTGTTACTAGCCTCAGAAATTGCAGCCCAAATAAATGCGTTACAGAGTTCAAGTCACAGACACATCTCAACATCAACTGTTCAGAGGGGACTGTGTGAATCAGGCCTTCATGGTCAAATTGCTGCAAAGAAACCACTACTAAAGGACACCAATAAGAAGAAGAGACCTGCTTGGGCCAAGAAACACGAGCAATGGACATTTGACCGGTGGAAATTTGTCCTTTGGTCTGCAGTCCAAACTTGAGGTTTTTGGTTCCAACCGCCGTGTCTTTGTGAGACGCGGTCTGGGTGAACGGATGATCTCCGCATGTGTAGTTCCCACCGTAAAGCATGGAGGAGGACGTGTCGGGGTGCTTTGCTGATGACACTGTCTGTGATTTATTTAGAATTCAAGGCACACTTAACCAGCATGGCTACCACAGCATTCTGCAGCGATACGCCATCCCATCTGGTTTGGGCTTATTTTACCAAGAAGGAGAGTGATGGAGTGCTGCATCAGATGATCTGGCCTCCACAATCCCCCGACCTCAACCCAATTAAGATGGTTTGGGATGAGTCGGACGGCAGAGTGAAAGAAAAGCAGCCAACAAGTGCTCAGCATATGTGGGAACTCCTTCAAGACTGTTGGAAAAGCATTCCAGGTGAAGCTGGTTGAGAGAATGCCATGAGTGTGCAAAGCTGTCATAAAGGCAAAGGGTGGCTATTTGAAGAATCTCAAATCTCAAATATATTTTGATATCGTTAACACTTATTTGCTTGCTACATGATTCCATATGTGTTATTTCATAGTTTTGATGTCTTCACTATTATTCTACAATGTAGAAAATAGTAAAAATAAAGTCAAACCCTTGAATGAGTAGGTGTGTCCAAACTTTTGACTGGTACTGTATGTGTTGACCCATCTCTCTGTCTTGGTTTCTGTCTCTCTCTCTCTCTCTCTCTCGCTCTATTTCTCTCCCACTGTCCTTCTCTCTGTCTCTCTCTACAGGTGAGGTGGTGAAAGTGAACATGTGGAGGATGCTCCTGTGCGACGCCACTGCCGCCATCATGGCTAAAGGCTTCGACATCCTGGGCATCAACCCTGTCTCCAGGATGTGACCTCACAGAGACATCATCACCATGCCCTCTTCCCAACTCCTCAGACGACAGGGGGGAAAAAAGAGCCTCTTCACCCATTAACGTCACCTGGGATTTTACTGTATACCAAATAAATAAATAAATACTGCTTGTAAAAAAATAAAAAATTGGCTCTGGCACCGTGCTCATTTATCTCCATATACAGTGGGGAAAAAAAGTATTTAGTCAGCCACCAATTGTGCAAGTTCTCCCACTTAAAAAGATGAGAGAGGCCTGTAATTTTCATCATAAGTACACGTCAACTATGACAGACAAATTGAGAAAAATAAATCCAGAAAATCACATTGTAGGATTTTTAATGAATTTATTTGCAAATTATGGTGGAAAATAAGTATTTGGTCACCTACAAACAAGCAAGATTTCTGGCTCTCACAGACCTGTAACTTCTTCTTTAAGAGGCTCCTCTGTCCTCCACTCGTTACCTGTATTAATGACACCTGTTTGAACTTGTTATCAGTATAAAAGACACCTGTCCACAACCTCAAACAGTCACACTCCAAACTCCACTATGGCCAAGACCAAAGAGCTGTCAAAGGACACCAGAAACAAAATTGTAGACCTGCACCAGGCTGGGAAGACTGAATCTGCAATAGGTAAGCAGCTTGGTTTGAAGAAATCAACTGTGGGAGCAATTATTAGGAAATGGAAGACATGGAAGACATACAAGACCACTGATAATCTCCCTCGATCTGGGGCTCCACGCAAGATCTCACCCCGTGGGGTCAAAATGATCACAAGAACGGTGAGCAAAAATCCCAGAACCACACGGGGGACCTAGTGAATGACCTGCAGAGAGCTGGGACCAAAGTAACAAAGCCTACCATCAGTAACACACTACGCCGCCAGGGACTCAAATCCTGCAGTGCCAGACGTGTCCCCCTGCTTAAGCCAGTACATGTCCAGGCCCGTCTGAAGTTTGCTAGAGTGCGTTTGGATGATCCAGAAGAGGATTGGGAGAATGTCATATGGTCGGATGAAACCAAAATAGAACTTTTGGGTAAAAACTCAACTCGTCGTGTTTGGAGGACAAAGAATGCTGAGTTGCATCCAAAGAACACCATACCTACTGTGAAGCATGGGGGTGGAAACATCATGCTTTGGGGCTGTTTTTCTGCAAAGGGACCAAGACGACTGATCCGTGTAAAGGACAGAATGACTGGGGCCATGTATCGTGAGATTTTGAGTGAAAACCTCCTTCCATCAGCAAGGGCATTGAAGATGAAACGTGGCTGGGTCTTTCAGCATGACAATGATCCCAAACACACCGCCCGGGCAACGAAGGAGTGGCTTCGTAAGAAGCATTTCAAGGTCCTGGAGTGGCCTAGCCAGTCTCCAGATCTCAACCCCATAGAAAATCTTTGGAGGGAGTTGAAAGTCTGTGTTGCCCAGCGACAGCCCCAAAACATCACTGCTCTAGAGGAGATCTGCATGGAGGAATGGGCCAAAATACCAGCAACAGTGTGTGAAAACCTTGTGAAGACTTACAGAAAACGTTTGACCTGTGTCATTGCCAACAAAGGGTATATAACAAAGTATTGAGAAACTTTTGTTATTGACCAAATACTTATTTTCCACCATAATTTGCAAATAAATTCATTAAAAATCCTACAATGTGATTTTCTGGAGAAAAAAAATCTCATTTTGTCTGTCATAGTTGACGTGTACCTATGATGAAAATTACAGGCCTCTCTCATCATCTTAAGTGGGAGAACTTGCACAATTGGTGACTGACTAAATACTTTTTTTCCCCACTGTAAATGTCAGAATACCTACCAAGAGATTGAGGAATGGTTGGAGAGGTGGCCAAAACAGCAATACTGACCTGGCTACAGCTCAATCATTGCACATGGGGTCCAAGATGGATGGATGTGTTACAAATGTATCTTGGTTTATTGTAGTAAATATGGGCTGATCCCGACTGGCCAAATAATACACTATTTCATAATACACTGTTTCATAATACACTGTTTCAGATGAAATACAAGCGAAAAAGGAAGCATAAGTAGCTAAACAGGTATCCATTCATTCTTGAAGTGTGTCGCTTAAATAGAGCATATTATTTTGGCTATTTGAGCCTCATTTTTGAGATGTTTGCCTTTGAAGTCGACAGTGGGAAGGTTTTCTGTCATCTTAGTCCACCTATCTCATCTGTCATCCAAGTCTACATATTTGAAACCCAGGCACCTGTGGTATTGGTCACTTGAGGACAAAGAGCCAAGTGAAGAAGACTCTTGCCTATCCTGAAAAAGATTGGGAATCAATAAAGTATTTAAATCATATTTTTCATACTTTTCAATCCACTTTCATATCAATACTCAATTATTATATATGTATATATAATTTTTAATGTAGTTGATTAATAAATAATTTTAATATAACTTTATTGGCACTAAAAAAGGATTGACACGGACTGTTTTGTTAAAGACATAATTTTCATACAGTGGAGAATTTAAATGCCTGATTCACACTACAGGGCTGACCCAAACCATAATGTGCTGGCTCTATTTTATTTTCACATTGTCCTTTTCAGCATGGTTCCAACAACAATGGTGGATCCATAACCAGGCCAGCCCAGTACGGCTTGGCTTGGCGTGGCTTTCCCTATAGTGTGAATCTGTCAACAGAGAGACTTGGGGACAACAGTTGTTCTCCCCAGTGACAGTGGTAGAAGACCCTCACCCTGGTTATTTCCCTACATGCCAAGGTAAATGAACACCAGTGATGTGAATGCCTTGTCCCATCCTGATAATCAGCTGTGTGATTAATGGAATTGATTAGCCCAGCTAAATGGACCATTGCATATTATTTACTAATTTCACAGGTAGCCGTGGAACCACAGGTATCAATTAGACCGAACTTGAGTTCTAAATTACACATGATAACAAGGGGATGTAGAAATAGCATGAAGACTAATTGGTTTGTCTTTCGATGCCAAATAGCCTATCCTCTTATGGTTGGAGTTACATTGTTGGCTAAAATACCATATTTTCTGTGCAGGTTTGATGATCAAGGTGCATCACTGACTTCGCACAGCTTGTGCCTTAACTGGCTTTACATAGTTGGTACTTTTGGGTCCATTGGAGCATAGGGTGTCCATCATGGCTTTCCACTTCAGTCATTACTGTGTGAGGACCTTTGCCCCATGCCAGGGCTTCATTGAGTTTGCCACAGCATGTGGTTGCATACTTATTAGACTTGTGGCCTCCAACTATACTCATTAGCCTCTCAAATGAAGTTTGACTAGCCTGAATAACCCCAAAACCAACATTGTTTTCTCTGTCATCTCTCTCAACTAAGTGTTCTGTGTTAGCAGGAGCACTAAATTAGAGAACAAACTCTTTATAGATGATAAATTATAGATCTCACACTCCGAGGCAGCCCTCAAGACTTTAATTGTAAGGCTGTGTATGCCCATGGGAAAGTTCTGCACTGTTGTAGATGGACTTATGCTGTGAATGATGCCGCGAGGTGAGCAATATAATAGTGTTCCAAACTCGAGTTGAGCTCATAAACTGCCAAGAGGAAATCTCTGTGTATGATCCATCACCAGAACGTATGAAATTTCCATTCACTATATTTATCTTTTATCATTTCACTGCATGACTTTATAGCCGCTCCTCAAAGTGATTCCCAGTGCCTTTATTAAAAATGTATGTCTTCCACAAAATGGGTACTTTGGTGTGCAGGTCCCCGGTTGAAGGACTATGTGCTAAAGGTGTTTTGACAGAGGCTTCAGGAGGAAAATGGTTTGCGACGTTGTTTTGGCACCAAGCTTCAATAGCACAACAATAGGAATATAGATCCCTCAGCAGTAGTCTATGGTTTCATCTTATTCTGCCCCTGTGGGTCAGCCAACCAGGTGACTTCACTGCACTAAATTAATGTGTTTTTCCTTGAGTGTCTACTTCAATTTCCATGGACTGTAGCCACAGCCCAGTCTTTCGTGCTATACTACTAGGCTACCAAGTGTTAGGTGGTGAGAGGTTAGGTGTCGAGGATCTGTGGAGTAATATTTCTGGCCTGATTCCATCGTGACCCCTTTTGACCTTTGAGTTACAGAGTCATCAAGTTGTCAAGACACTTCCTGATTGCGCAACCATATGGGATGGACTTACGCGAACCCAATCTGAAATATTTGCCACAGGCACTAGCTCTGTTATAAGCTATAAGTTGCTGTTATTAAAGACTGTTATAGGAATTCCAACAAAGTCCTCTTTTATATCCAGCCTGATGACCTAAACATGTGAGGTATTTCTACTTCCCATTCACATGCAGTTATTCAGCATATTCCTGATCTCAGGAGAATGTCTCAGTACTAAGTGTTTAAAGGGGATTGAATTATGTGATCTAGGAGATGACTCAATATGATATGCAAATGAAATTATGCAAATATGACACGAGTGGGCGGTTTGACAGTATAAATCATTTCCTAAGTGTATTGTAACAGAGGGAGAGAGAATGTTTGTCTTTGGAAATCAACATCATCATAAGCGCAGACCTGTAAATCTTCTCTGATGAATGCAGTGTGACACATCTTCCTCTGGCTGTTAGCTATTTCAGGGTCTTCAGAGGGAACAATCAGTGTGACTGGCTGGGATTCAAGCAGGCCATCATCACGACACACACAAAAACGAGAAGACTTTAGAGAAATCAACATTTTAATCAGTTGTCATTATTAATGTATCATTTCAATTCAACACACTTATTACAAAAAAGGTATACTGCAGTTTTTATCTTGAAAACCAATATTTAAATAAATCTCTTACTATTGCTAAATACAAATATTTTGTTAAATAATTTTAAGAAATAAAAACCATTTAATAATACATTGAATAAGATAAAGCACACATGTATGAATATTTACATGTATAAGCATACTGTCATACATTTGTAAGTTTACAACATAAGACACACTTTAAAATCAGAGCAACACTGAATTGTCAAGTCAAATACACACATACAAGTAAAATTAAGTAATGAGATTCTTTTGACAGTAAAATAATTTACAAATATGAGAGTATAGTTTTGAGGACAGCAACCTGCCTCACCGAATATCTGTCACAATGGCACAAATGTACAAGAGAATCTCCCCAGTTCTCAACTGCAAGACAAGGCTTTCCTGAATCCTTAACTTTGTCCCGCTTCAAAGTGTGACCAACCGAGTGTTTTATCTCCAAAGAGGTATATTTGCTACTCGTATCTTTGAACTGTCACACAGGCCCTGTTATAGCTCTGCCGGAGGCCCCCCTGCCATGCATTAGGCCTGAAACAGTCACTTAAATGGGATGAGAGGTTTCATTACGGTGACAGGCTCCCGAGTCACTCTTGATAATGCAAAGCTCCGCCGCCTCCGCCTGAACACTTCATCAGACGACCCCTGCTGTGAGTCCGCTTCTGGAATTCACATCAGGTCTCGGGTTTAAGACAACTTCTCAGCTCCCCCTCCTCTCCTGCCTTCTACTCCCTCTTTCAGTCCTTTGCTACAGCTGTACGCCTGGAGGCTACTGTCTCTGGATTATGACTCAGATCTTGGTCTGTCTGTGGTCAGGTCTGAAGGAGTCCCTGATAGCCAGGAGGTTGGAAGCCAGTAGGTGTCCACTCACTCTGTTGTGCCACTCCTGGGACCGGCCCCTGGAAACCAGACAGAGGAACAGGAAGTTAGTACACAGGAAGCATCACCAGGGTTCAGATAAGACACAGTCAGAGAGGCACAAAGGCCGCATTTCAGGCAGACTACATTGCAGTTGCCTGCCAGACCTAACCATATCATAGTCAGTCGGCAGGTTTCCATTGACCCACGTTTATTCAAAAAAAGCAATGTCACAAATCATTGCGACATGTGTAATGGAAACGGCAGATCTAAGATACATTTTACATTTTAGTCATTTAGCAGATGCTCTTATCCAGAGCGACTTACAGAAGCAATTAGGGTTAAGTGCCTTGCTTAAGGCACCTAGTCGGCTCGGGGATTCGAACCAGTGACCTTTCGGTTACTGGCCCAATACTTTTAACCACTAGAAATGTTCTAAAGATCGACAACGTTTTTATCCGTTAGACGGGTGGATTTTTCTTTAGTCTAACTTTCTTTATTGCGACAAATGATGATGGAAACTGTTTTTCGAATAAATGATGATTGTCGAATAATTTTAGAAGGTACGCGGGGCACGATGTCATCACGTAATTAGAAAGCTCCACTCCACATTTAATTCTAAATGCCTACTGCTTGCAAAATAAAAAAATTCAACTATAGAAATTATGTTTCTTTGCAGGACAAGGATTGTCCTGACTTTGAAGAATTCCTGAATTGTTTCACTTTGCTTTTCTGTTTGGCTGGCAAGTTTCACCATCCTATTATTTCTGATCTACAGGAATGTACGTTTCACCATGGCATAGACTGTGGCGATATGTTGCCACGTAAGAATGATTAGAATATGGCAAATATTAGTCAATTATTGCATTCTATCCATGATGGCTTTCGCGGGCTACCTGAGACATGAAACAGATAGGTGGGAGGGAATAGGCTTCACAGGCTGTCACCAATTTATTAGACCTAATGTGCAATTTGCCTAAATGGATAATGGAAACACTTCAACCTTTTTATTTATGGTGGGACGTCATTACGTGCAGCTGTTTTTATCGACACAAGATAGCTAAATGGAAACGCACCGTAGCATGCAATTGACACATCTATTTTAAAGGCAGTCTTTCTAAATATCAAAAAAAGAAATCACTGGACAAATTAATGGATAGCTAGTCATGTGACAAGCAACCATTGCTGCATGTAGCATGACTGCAATATAGTCTGCCTGGAACGCAACCAAACCTTGCTGTATAAGACACACTGACAGACCATTTCACTTTCAATTTCCTCTATATCATCTGATTGGATCAGTCTCATTGGCCTTCGCTATTAAGCTTAGCAGACCGAAGACCAGTGAGTTAATTATCGATAATAGGAAAACATTTTACTGCACCTATCCGGTGTATGTGACAATAAAAAAGAAAGAATAATAACCTAATGGCACTGGCACTGCAAATAAGCCCACTACATTTTAGGCCTGCCAAGCTCTTTTCTATTAGTATTTAAAGAGAGTAGAACGAGGCAGAGATGTTCTCTCCATTGCTGCTCAGTTCTGATGTAATGAAGTGAGAAAAACCTGCAGAGATAATCATCATAATCGTGTGAATCTGTCTTGTTGGCAAACCGTCTCATTCAAATCTCACTATGCTGCCTTACTGAAACTCCTAGTGTGATGAAAGTGTGGCTAAGTGAGTAGTCAACTACTTCCACTGATAGTGGTCTATTGGTGCAGTGCAATATATTTCAGTATAAGACACACACTCCCTCTACTTCCCTCTGTCATATTCTCTCTCTCTCTCTCTCTCTCTCTCTCTCTCTCTCTCTCTCTGTGTACAGTGGGGGAAAAAAGTATTTAGTCAGCCACCAATTGTGCAAGTTCTCCCACTTAAAAAGACGAGAGAGGCCTGTAATTTTCATCATAGGTACACGTCAACTATGACAGACAAATTGAGAAAACAAAATCCAGAAAATCACATTGTAGGATTTTTAATGAATTTATTTGCAAATTATGGTGGAAAATAAGTATTTGGTCAATAACAAAAGTTTCTCAATACTTTGTTATACACCCTTTGTTGGCAATGACACAGGTCAAACGTTTTCTGTCAGTCTTCACAAGGTTTTCACACACTGTTGCTGGTATTTTGGCCCATTCCTCCATGCAGATCTCCTCTAGAGCAGTGATGTTTTGGGGCTGTCGCTGGGCAACACAGACTTTCAACTCCCTCCAAAGATTTTCTATGGGGTTGAGATCTGGAGACTGGCTAGGCCACTCCAGGACCTTAAAATGCTTCTTACGAAGCCACTCCTTCGTTGCCCGGGCGGTGTGTTTGGGATCATTGTCATGCTGAAAGACCCAGCCACGTTTCATCTTCAATGTCCTTGCTGATGGAAGGAGGTTTTCACTCAAAATCTCACGATACATGCCCCATTCATTCTTTCCTTTACACGGATCAGTCGTCCTGGTCCCTTTGCAGAAAAACAGCCCCAAAGCATGATGTTTCCACCCCCATGCTTCACAGTAGGTATGGTGTTCTTTGGATGCAACTCAGCATTCTTTGTCCTCCAAACACGACGAGTTGCATTTTTACCAAAAAGTTTCATCTGACCATTTGACATTCTCCCAATCCTCTTCTGGATCATCCAAATGCACTCTAGCAAACTTCAGACGGGCCTGGACATGTACTGGCTTAAGCAGGGGGACACGTCTGGCACTGCAGGATTTGAGTCCCTGGCGGCGTAGTGTGTTACTGATGGTAGGCTTTGTTACTTTGGTCCCAGCTCTCTGCAGGTCATTCACTAGGTCCTGGGATTTTTGCTCACCGTTCTTGTGATCATTTTGACCCCACGGGGTGAGATCTTGCGTGGAGCCCCAGATCGAGGGAGATTATCAGTGGTCTTGTATGTCTTCCATTTCCTAATAATTGCTCCCACAGTTGATTTCTTCAAACCAAGCTGCTTACCTATTGCAGATTCAGTCTTCCCAGCCTGGTGCAGGTCTACAATTTTGTTTCTGGTGTCCTTTGACAGCTCTTTGGTCTTGGCCATAGTGGAGTTTGGAGTGTGACTGTTTGAGGTTGTGGACAGGTGTCTTTTATACTGATAACAAGTTCAAACAGGTGCCATTAATACAGGTAACGAGTGGAGGACAGAGGAACCTCTTAAAGAAGAAGTTACAGGTCTGTGAGAGCCAGAAATCTTGCTTGTTTGTAGGTGACCAAATACTTATTTTCCACCATAATTTGCAAATAAATTCATTAAAAATCCTACAATGTGATTTTCTGGATTTTTTTTTCTCAATTTGTCTGTCATAGTTGACGTGTACCTATGATGAAAATTACAGGCCTCTCTCATCTTTTTAAGTGGGAGAACTTGCACAATTGGTGGCTGACTAAATACTTTTTTCCCCCACTGTATGTGCTTCTAGACACCTGTTTTCCATTGCCTGGCTTGTTTCATTAAATCAGCTGAAACAGCGGGGTTCTACAGAATAACCCAGCAGAACCACGCAGGGAATAAATTCATCACGGAAGAAGCAGAAAATCTAGAGGGAACTTTGACGAGAGCTAAATCATGTGTACACGAGCGGGCCCTTCTTTCTGTTAATTTTTCTCTCTATTTGAGTGTGTCTCTTTTGAGAGGCTGTGATTGCACTTGAGATACTGCAGAGAATACCTCATTACTGAAGGTAAAGAATAAGCATGTCTCTGGATATATTTTTTAAAGGCTGTGCATTCTCTCAAATCTTTCATATTCTCTCTCTCTCACCCCCTCCCTTCTCTCTCTTCCTCCTCCCCTCTTACCCTCCCTCCCTCCCTCAGTCTTTCCTACCTTGTATCTGTACGACAGAGGTGTGTAAGTCGGGACCTCTTGGCCCCCAGGGGTTCTACCAGGTAGAGACAAGAGAGGACGTGGGCTCTCACCCCCTCCATGGGGGCCTCACGGTGCTCTGTAGACACAGCCGACACATAAGCAAGACCAGCCGACAGGTCTGACTGCCAGGTCCTGCATGGGGAAATGGTAGGAGATTATTCTGGTCAATTTAAAAACAGACTTTAGAATCAAGCTGAGTGAGAAATAGGCCCTCAGATATTCAGCTACCATTTGACTGGCTGTTTGAGTAAACAGTCAACAATTCTTTGACTTTGACACTTTAATGTAACTAAACTCGCTCTGAACTAAACTAGCTTTTTCATTTTTCATTCACTGTGATGCCAAAATGTAGCACAAGTACAACAACAGGCACCATGTCAAAACAACATTAGCCAGAGTGTTCAAGTCCAAGCTTAACTCTGTTTGTCCCTGACTCCTCTGTCCCTTATACTCTTAAGCAGCAGAGTCAGCAGCCTGCCTAAAGACCCATGCAGCGTCGTGCAGCGCCGCGCAGCATCGCCCTGGTAACACCTCATTACCTCAGCAGCAGGTACTCCTGTGGCGGCCGGGGTCCCAGGCCCTGCAGGAGGTAGCGGTAGACCTCGGTGTCCTTGGTCAGGGTCTGGACTACTGCAGATTGTTTGAGGGTCTTCTCCCAGAGACCCTGCTCCCTCAGGACCCGCTGGAGGGCCTCTTTCTGTGGGGCATCCACCTCAACAGAGCCCTTCCACAACCGCAGAGGCCAGCCGTCATCCACCTGGTATGGAGGGGAGGGGGAGGCAAGGGGGTGAGACCCAGTGTGAGAACCTGATAACCCCTCTTACTCAACACACACATCTCAGCTCAAGCTCTCAGTGTGCTTAATGTGTCTGACTCACTGGAGAATGTTTTTATGTTGACTCATACATAATGAACCTTTCATTAGTCTGGGCTGTTCTTTATAGGTGTTGTTGTTTTTGGTAGTGGTTTGCTGTCAGAAAAACTTTTATGGGTCACTGTAACCAAGCAGTTACTTTTATTACACTAAGATGTTATTTTTCATCTTTGACAATTTAGTTAATTTGTTCGTTCATTCATTTTCTTTTATTAATTAATTAATTAATTCATTCATTCATTCGTTTTCATCCATTCATTCATTCCATCAGATTCCATCACACACCTTCTTAAAAACCAGGTCCACGTTGTCTGGTCCAGAGCAGGACTCCCAGCCTCTACTCTTCTCCCTGGCCTCTCTCAACAGGTGCTGGGTGGTCTGGTCCAGTCTGGCCCTCTCATCCTGCTCCTCCTCCCCACCCTGAGAGGGCGAACTCCGACCCCAATCCACCCAGAGAGCCTCCTCACTGGGTTTGCTCACACTCTGGCCCGGCCAGAACTCTGGAAGCTGGAAGGATCAGAGAAAGAGAGAGGAAGAGTTAACTTGATGTTTTCACAAATAGTGCCACATATGACTTCATCTCGACAACCAGAACTAAATATTGCGTGTTAACGTCTGTCACAAGAGACTACATATGACTTCTTGACCATTGGATGTACTATTGCATTAAGCGAAGCTATGGTGATTAATAGCCTGTTGTTGGCATTCATGTTCTTATTTTCTGATATTCTTATTCTGTATTATCAAGTCAATACAATGAACTGACTGAACTGAATAACATAGATGAAGTGCCTCCTCATTTAATTTCCCCTGCAGATGGGTTATGGTTATGAACAATTGGAAAAGTGCCTGTCTGCTTTTTGTAACGTACAGTACATACTACTGCACAGAGAGAGTCCACTTATGAGAGAGGGATGTGTGCTCTGCTGGGTCTTGGCAGTAACACCCACACGCTGTGCACATGTGATGTGCATTAGTGTGGCTAGAACAGGCTTTAACTACTGTAGTGTGTACCTTGAAGAGGCGCAGGGACTCAGTCACCATGTGGGCCAGGCCCTGAGTGGCAGCCAGGTTCTCACTAAGGTCCCTCTGGTCAGGCCTACCCAGGCTGTACTTCCTGTGGCTCAACCTAGGTCAGAGAAACAGGCAATGTCCTTACATCAGAGTTGAATATTTATGGGGTACAGTTTCTATTGCTACGCTAGGCTCCCATAGACTCATAGTATGCAGTTTATTTGTGACCCTTACAAGCAGAAACTGAGGAAAATGACTGTTATTCAATGTAAAAAGCAACGTCAGTATTGACTTCCAAACCCCAAAAAAACATGTAGCAAAGCAAAGCAGCAAAATATTTAATAACACGTCACTGTATCCTTGAGCACAATGTGCCACAACACAACAGTCAGTTGGAGTAGAGTTTATTTGTTCTGGTCATTGTTTCCAATGTGAGAGTGTGACATGTGTATCAAGGCAGAACTCTGTTTCCAGTGATGGGAGATACAAAGTGTATATTATGTTGTGTTCTGATTTCCATCAGTGCTCTGCTCTGACAGCCTGTGGGGTAATGGCTGAGCCCGCTGGCTCCCCTGAACTGGCTGGCCTGGCACAATGAGGAGGAGAGGAGGAGAGGTCTAATGTCTCTGACCGGCTACATCAGACACAATCAGGCCTGTGCTATATGACATCACTGGGTCCATCACGCCACTTTTCGACGTGAAGTTGGAACTTCTAGACATGTTGTCAGAATACCGGGTGTCAGCAGAGTGTGTGCAGCTGAGCTGTGTGTGTTTGTGTGTCTATCTTCGCCAACAACTACAGATCAACAACCAGTCTTGTGAAGCTGATGAGAGCACCAGACTCAAAAGCTAAGTTCATAGACAGATGTGTTTTGAAAAATTGAATCAGGTGCAAATGTCTCTCCCTGTTTCTCACTTGGACCGTCTCTTTCTCTCTCCCTCTCTCCCCTCTCTTTCCCTCTCTCTCTCCCTCTTCTCTTTCTCTTGCAGTAACCAGCTGAACAGTATTAAATATATAACATCTCCTCTATCTAAGAGAAATTAAGGCATTACATAAGTCTCTCTCTCTCTCTCTGCCTTTAAACTAAACCCATCCGACAGCTATTCATTATCGCACAGGGAAATAGGGCTTTGGCTACATTACTACAATTGATGTAATCTCTGGGAACTCAAAGAACCCAACTCCACACTTTAACATGAATCTGATGCTGCATAAGAAGAAGGAGTAACAAACACCATTTCAAACAGACTGAAATGAAAACCTGCAGTTGTAGCGATGAATGCAAAGCAAGGCGCACTGGAGTAATGTTATGCAACAATGTAAGAGGGAGTTATCACTTTAGGAATGTGGGACCCAGACCCCCAGACCTCTGCTCGTCTAGAAGTTGCTCTTACGCACAGAGCCAGGATCATCTTACACTCCCCCAATCCTAACCTCAGCCATTACGGTTGAAAACCCCAAAAGTGATCTTATATCAGCATCTAGGGGTTAACTTTGTCCTACTCCTCCCAGGAGGCAGTGGACTGCACTTGGCTACATTGACCAGGACCCTCCCCCAATCCTAACCTCAAGCACTATGGTTAAAACTCCCCAAACTGCTTAGATCAGCATCTAGACACTAGATTCTAGGGGCAACTTGACGTCCTCCTCCTCCCCAGGAGACAGAGCTCCGTACCTGGCTGTGTTGTCCTCTCTCTTCAGGGTGTTGAGGTGGAAGAGGGAGGGGGCCAGGCACACGGCGATGTTGGTGGGGGTCATCTGGTTTTCGTCCACGCAGCACACCACGTCTCGGAGGAAGAGGAGGAGTGTCTGCAGGGCCTCACGGTTCTCATCAGGCAGGAGGAAGATGGCTGCCTGGGCCGCACAGAACTGCTGGTCTTTGGGGAAGTCTGTGGAGGTGGGAGTGAGACATGTAAGTATGTAGAAATAATTGCTTTGTGACTCTCTCATTGCGCTTATACTATAAAAATGTCAAAAACTGGTTTCAAACTGCCTACTTAGCCAGCATTTTAACCTTTCTTGCATGTTTAGCCATTCCAGTCTTTACTGTACTGGCCCAAGCAGTGATGTAAGTTCTATCCTCGTACATTGGTAGATATGCAGGAAGGACTCGCAGAGCTTGCTGGAGATCACAGGTTCTGGTAGGTCTCTGAAGTACTGCTTCACCATATCAGCCACGTCAAACGCTGATTGGCCCTCGTAGGACACGGCCTCTGGGTCCGCCTCCACCATGTAACGCAAGTACTGGATACGAGACTTCACCCCTGACTTACGAAACAGACCCACCTGAGAGGACGAGAGGGTTATGATTGTGGGTTAGGAGTGTGTGTTTAGTGTGTGCAAGTGTGTGCGTGCGTGAGTGCATGCGTGTGCACGTGTGCGTGTGGTGTGGAATGGGGGGTTTAAAACCGGGATGGCAGGTCAGACTCATATAGGAGGCTATCCTAAGGCCTGTCAAACTAGGATAACCTCCATTCATCTCTGTAGGTAGGAGATCCACCTAAAGCACCTCATAACCCACTCTCAACATGGAAGAAAAATTAAAGCTGACCTCCCATTCCTCATGCTCATCTGTCTCTGTTCTCAATATAGGACCCTCCACTGTGTCTAACCATGACTCCAATTTACTGTAGGTCAAAGTGTCACAGGGGTGTAATTCAACACAGGTGCTGTGTACTCCATAGTATCAATGCATGACACAGATGTTAATAGGTTGGAGAGGAATAGCTGATGGCCCAGACCTGTTCACCCCATGAATCTAAGTACCTTGTCAACTGTGGTCCATATTCCATGACATATGTTATGTAGAGAGCCCACTGTAGATGCCATGGAATCGGGACTGTAAGCTTGACTTTAGACCATTTTGAGATATGAAAACATCTAACCAACTGTGATATTGGGGTGAACTGTCCCTATAATGCCCAACCCTAAATATTCCTTTAAAGCTAGAATCCTTAGCTTTTACATATATTTTTGGACTTATAAATTAATGATATTGTCACAGATTCTGCCGAGACTGCCCTTCCTTCTGGCTCGGGCAGGCTTCGGCGTTCGTCGTCACCGGAGTACTAGCTGCTGCCGCTCTATGTTATATGTTTCTATGTTCACTTGATTGTTGTCTGTTGTTGCACACCTGTTCCCCATTATGTTAGTTTGTCTTCCCTATTTAACCTGTTCACGTCCACTGTTTGGTGTGCGTGTTTATTGTATGTACGAGTGTCATTAGTGTGAGCGGGTTTTGCTCCTCCTTTGTTGTTTTGGAGGATTTTCCTTGTATTTCTTTACTACTCAGTAAAGTGGTTCTTCATCTCATTCTGTGTCCTGCGCTTGACTCTGGCCTACCGCATTCCACCGACATTCGTGACAGATATATTGATTCTTGAAGAATATGAGTTATAAATGCCTCATGAGCTTAGTTCAACTGTCGTACCCCATCAGAACCCAAAATATGAGCTTGTTTTACTCCAATGTTTGTAAACAATATAACTATAAACACACACAGCCTCAAAATATGGTTCAAACTATCATTCTGATATCATGGATTGTCAGCCCTTGCTCTCTTTGAATTTGAGAGTGGTTACATTTCCCTAGACCCATCCCTCAGCTTTTTACCAAAACTGCTTTGTTATTGTTTCAATTAAGGACTCTAGCTTTAATAATGCATGAGCAGTACTGTATTAACTGGTGGTACAGGAGGTTAAAGAGTCCAGTACCTGACCGAGACACTCTGTCCTCAGATAAATGATGGCCTTGAGGATGCTGGGGGGTAGTGGTTCCCCTGTCTGCTGCACACTGTGGAGGAGGGGTACACCAAACACCCTGCTGCCCTTAAACTCTGGGGCCTTGGTCTTCCTCGGAGGCTTGGGGAATGTCCTGTGGGGAGACAAACAATTCAAGATGGACTTCAAGGGTTGCTGTTGAAGATAGAGGTTTCTGTATAAAAGTTAAACGAAGATAGGGCAATGTTACATTTACATTTTAGTAGACACTCTTATCCAGAGCAACTTACAGTTAGTGAGTACATACATTTTCATACTGGCCCCCCGTGGGAAACGAACCCACAACCCTGGCGTTGCAAGCGCCATGCTCTACCAACTAAGCTACAGGGAACTACAGAAGTATGACTAAGTTGTTGCATTGTATTTTATTCCTTTTGGATATGTTCTACTTCAAACAACAGTGCACTGCATGTTTGTACAATATGTAAGAACCCACTGGACAAAAACTGGTTGAATCAATGTTGTTTCCATGTAATCTCAACAACAAAATTATATGTAATAACGTTGAAACAACGTGGAAAACTGATTGGATTAGCAAAAAGTAATCAATGTAAGGGAATTTTGTATTTTTGTCACCCAACTTTGAACCTAAATCCAATGTCATGGTGATTTTTTGTTGTTGTTGATTTCACGTTGAATTCACGTTAGTTGACAACTCAACCAAATGTAAATAAAAAATAGACGTTGAACTCACGTCCGTGCCCAGTGGGAGCCTACATAGGGATCTGACCAAGACACACACGTACTTAGCAGAGGGCTTTGTGTACAACTGACGGGATATTTCTTTTAAAGCCCAGCGAGTGCTGAATGGCTTGTTTTCATAAGCCAGCGAGTGAGTGCCAACGGCCTGTGTAGCCAAGAAGATAACATGAAGACAAATTAAAGCCTCCTCTCATTATTCTTCCATAAAACAAGTTTAGGCATCTTGAGATAGCTAGCCTCAGAGCCAATCAAATGTATGATTGCAGAAATGAATCAAGTCTACTGGAATTAGATTCACAATTGTTCATACAGCATGCTTCTCTTTGATAGTGTTCTCTCCCATTACGGACTGCATTTCAATTCTAGTCTTCAGCTGTTCAATTAAAACATAGCTTCTGTGTCCACCTCATTTCATTAGCTTAATGGTGTTCTGCTCGTGATTTAGAGGAGAGAGAGAGAGAGAGAGAGATGGGGGAGCATGACGATAAGAAGAGAGAGGAGAGGGAGAGGAGAGAGAGAGAGAGAAGAGATAGATCGAGAGATAGATCGATGCGTACTAGACTATCGAGAGTAGGAGAGAAGCTAGATCGAGAGAGTCGAGATAGAGAGATGATAGATCGAGAGTGGTCTCTCTCCCTGCTAGTATCTCATGTAGATTTGAGTCATTAGAGAAAGTCAAGGGGAGGTGTTTGGCACAGAAGTAACAGGACCGTTAGTTTGGAATGAAACTTGTTCCACTGGAGGGAGTGTACAGAATACTGAAGCTCAGGATCAATGGGAAAGCGATGAGAGGCTGAGTAGGTTATTTGTCTCTTCCCTGTAGGTATTGTGTATGTTCATTCAGGGGAAGGGTTTGGACTATTGGAGAAATGTTCATGGAGGGAGTGTACAGAATACGAAGCTAGGATCAATGGAAAGCGATGGGGCGGAGTAGTATTTATTTGTAGTTAGCTCAATGATTGTTAAAACAAATAGCCCAATTACTCTGCTCTCAAAAAGTCAATTACCCTGTCCTCTTTCCTTAAAGGGGCAATCAGCAGTTGCTACATCAATTTTTTGACTTATAAATTAATTATATGTACCCGTTGATTGTTGAAAAATATAACTTATAAATGCCTCATGAGCTTAGTTCAACTGTCTTGCCCCATTATAACCCAACATGTAAACTTGTTTAACTCCAATGTTTGTCAACAAAGTAAAGTAAACAAAGTAAACTAAGACTATATAGTCTTAAAACATGGTTAAAACTATAATTTTGATATAATGGAATGCCAGTCCTTGCATCCATAGCTCTGTCTAGGAATTCGAGAGTGGTTACATTTCTCCAGCCCCATCCCTAAGCTTTTTACCGAAACAGGCCTGGGGAGGTCGCTTTGTTATTGATTCTACTGCTGATTGCCGGTTTAAGCAATCACTTTTACTCCAGTTGGCTACACAAATTAATAATGGCAAACACTTTATTAATTGATCCGTGGGGGAACCAAGGTTAGGAGATCAGATTTCGAAACATGGGTGAGGAAATAGCTACAAACAATGAAAAGCAATATCTCATTCTGACAAAACAGATTGCGATGTGTTGACTTCCCATCATAGAAATAGATAGAGGACTCATCATGGATATAACCTGTTTTAGTATGGATGTTGCCATTGAGGGCTTCCACCATCTGCTGTCACAGACGCTATAACTGTAGCTCAGTTGGTAGAGCATGGCGCTTGCAATGCCAGGGTTGTGGGTTCGTTTCCCACGGGGGGCCAGTATGAAAATGTATGCACTCACTAACTGTAAGTTGCTCTGGATAAGAGCGTCTGCTAAATGACTAAAATGTAAGATACAAAGATGAGTCCTCTCTATCTCTATGGTTCCCAGTATGTGTTTCTATCTCACCCTCATTACGTGTTTCCTTTGTAACGCTATTTGAGGTCACTGCCGTTAACCGCCGAGAGGAAAGGTTCCTAGCCACTATCTTTGAGATAACATTCCACCATATCTTTCATTAGTGTACTCTATAGGCTATAGGTCTTCACCCTGCGCTGTAGACACTTCACCCTATTCTAGCCGATGGTGAGCACATGCCTGCCTCTTTCAAACTAAAAACGCAGGGAAACTTTGGGATGTGCAAGCACTTCACTTTTCACAAATGTAAACAGATGTTTTGCCAGAAAGTAGAATCGTTTGGGATCCAAGCTCCCTTTAAATCACAGAGATAGATGCCTGGCCAATGCCAGAAAAGTTACCCCTCTAAGAGCCAGATGGGAGTGTACACCACAGACCTTAACCAAAAAGGAATGAAGAGAATCTGTCTATAATATCCCTATGAATCTAGGACGAAGGTTATACTTTGTCAACAATATCTACATGCGGTTATTACCTAGCGGGGGGGGGGGGTTACAGCTCTTGAAGCATCCTGTGTTTTGTCTTGTGAGAGGCACAGCAAGGTTGCAGCGTAACATAAATAATAAATTAACCTCTAAACAAGCTGCCTCCAATCTTCCTCCTCTTCCCCTACCCCCCCCTTCCCCACCACCCTCCCACTTTTCCCTCCTCCCCTCATCGCCCTCCTCCTCCTCATTTTTCTCACTCATCCCCTCCCTCCTTCTTTCTCCACAGCCTTCCCCATACCATTCCATCTTTCCTCTCCCTCTCCCCCTCCCATTCCTTACCAGTTCCAGCCCTGCTTGCTGGAGGGGGAGTACTTGTCCATGAGAGCAGTGAGTTTAAGCAGGGAGAGTTTCTGCAGAAGGTGGAGTTGAGAAACAGGCTGGGCCTCGACTCCTGAGCTGCTAGGGGCAACTGAGGGAAGACTCTGCTCGCTGGACCAGTGGTGCTGGCTCCGTCTGCACACATATACAACAGACAACAGAATGGCAGCCATGTTAATGTGGTGATAGAGTAATAAAGACTTCTTAATGAGTACTCAGACCAGCTGACATTGCTCTCACCTGATACTGCATGTTGGTGACTGTGCATCAGGGTCATCTCCATCCGCAAACTCCTTCTCTAGGCTCTCCTCATCCCCTTCACCCTCACGCTCCATGGCTCCCGGCCCCAACTCCTCTGCCTCCTTGACCTCCAGGTGGATGTGATTGGAGGAGGACAAGGGGCAGGGCGAGGGTGTGGAGCGGCGGTTAGAGTCTGAGTCGCTGTCCTCCGAAAGTTTGTCTGTCCAGGTGTTGACGAGCTGCTGCAGGCCGATGATACGCTCCATCACACTGTCCAGCGCCGAGAAGACCTCATCGTTTTCGCTGATCTCCCCCGTCTCCGCCTCCCCGTGATGCTCCACCTCCTGGCCAATCACCTGACCTATTGGCACATTGTCATAGATACTGGCTCGGTGGTCCAATGAGGCTAGGGAGCTGCAGCAGGCGGAATTCTTGTTTTTGTCCCCTGCGCTCCCCCTGCTCCGTCGCCCACGGTACCCGTGGAAACTCCCAGTCCTCCAGTTGACGGAGGTGTTGTCTATGGGCAACAGGATGTTGTTGTGGGTGAGGGCTGTGGGGAACGTGCCTGGCTTGTGCCCCTGAGGGATCTGGAAGACCAGGCTCTCGTGGTTATTCCTGTCGTTCTTGTAGTCCTGGTGCTCTCGGACCGGGCCTCTGTGGAGTCCCACTTGGTTCTGTTCTCGGACCCTGACGGTTCGATTGTAGTTGCTGCGTACTCTGGTGATGGGGCTGGGGGTGCTGACAGTACTGCTGCTCTCCGAAGGGCTGGGGCTGCTGCTGCCCGAGTGGGGGGAGGAAGGCGAGGAGGAGGCCTGGCTGTCCGGCCGGTCCATATCCCTATCCCTGTCCTGCAGGGTGGAGATGTCCAGACACTGAAGCCGTCTCAGCCTGTACTCGACATCCAGACTCTCCTGGAGCACGGGGCCAGAGATGACCAGCCTGGCCCTGCTGTGGCCACTGTGGGCGGGGGAGCGGAGGTTGAACGTGCCCCTCAGACGCAGTTTCTCCATCTTCCTCAGCAGACTGGGACCCTTCTTCCTGGGGGGCTTGTCAAGGAAGCGCTCCTCAGTGCTGCTGAAACTGGGCATCTCACCCCCTGGGGAGGGGGGCCTGCTAAATGACGTGTCTAGGGACGGGATCTTGTTGATGGAGGAGCAGCGAGACAAGCTCCTGCTGGTCTCCTGGTCATCAGTGGTGGTCTTGGGGCACTCACGGCCCTCGCTCTCGGTGCTGCTGGTGCTGTGGAGGGAGTAGACCTCGTGGTGGTCATTGGCGTAACACAGGGACATGTCCTGGCTATCCGGTGAATGTAGGAAGCCCATTCCCTCCAGGCGACGCCAGCTCCTTGTCTGCCTCTCATAGGCCCATTTGGTGCTGATGGCACAGGGCACCTCGTCCTCTGATCCCTCCCCCTGAGAATCACAAGCAGACAATCAAGATGCTGTATATGAAGCCATGTAGCAACAAAAAAACAGGGCCATCTATTTCTGGACATTCTGTAACTCTTCAGAGATATCTTTCACAAAGACAACTACATTCTGAGAGAACTAGACTGAGAAAATGATTATGCAACATTATTAATTCAAGATGAGTTTCCGCCCTAATTCTTTCCGCTTTTGCCTCACTTTCTCAAACAGAGACTAATGAAGATAGAGGAGTTTTGAGGGTTGGTGGAGCTATCTATCCAGACATCGATATCAGTGGAAATCGAAGTGATAAATGCTAACGAGGAGCTTTTCCTCTGGTTCCTGCTGTAGCTCTGACAGAGCTGCCATGTTGGTGTTCCAAGGCGTTCACTCTCACTCACCCGTCTCTTTGATCTGCCCAGCTCCAGCCTCAGCTCCACAAATTTGTTTAAAGTGCTTAATCTCCTGGAAGCAGAGAAGCATGGCGGTTAAACAAACACAGCAGCATGGGACCCACTACCAAACACACCGACTCTCACTTTCTCTCTCTCTCTGTCTTTCTATTTTTCTCACTCTCACACACACTCTCTCTCTCTCTATGAGGAGATACTGGTGAGGAGAGAGTGGATGGGAAGTCTAGCTTCTCACCTGCAGAGGGAATCAAGCGCGTCCTTATCCAGAAAACCGTGATCACTCTTTACCCAGTCTATAGCAATGGGGAACCTGCAATCTGAGAGGCAAACAAGGCAAATGAAAGTGGGATATGACACTGTTTGCTATGGATGAGCAAACATGTGGATGTGGTTTGTACTGTAATAGATTGTGCTTGATGGCTTGAGAGGATTCATATTTGATATTTACCTTTGTATAATTGCACGTACTGGGGGAAGCCGGCCGCTCTCAGCCAATCGCAAGCCTCCTTCGCTTCGATCTCTGCAAACAAAAACAATATTCAAATTCAATGAAAATTATTTTCTGGTCGGCCCATTTTAATAAGAAGGCAAATACAGTATTTGTGCATATTAAGCGAGCTATTTTACACTTTAGTCACATTCGCAAAAATATTGTGGACAAAAATAGAAGCAACTCTCATGTTGCTCTCTCATCTCTGAGAGGGTATTAATTAAAGCAGGAATCCTTAATGGTGAAACTGCCGTGTCCGTTTGCGATAATACAACAACAAAGAAGTTACTGCAAGCAACAAGCACTGTTTTTTTCCCTCGACATCATTGCACGCACAATAGAACAGCAGCATATGTACTGCTTTTTTTCCCCCTTGATGTGCGACGCTCCCCGAGCGCTCTCCACCTCTGCTTTTCAACAAAACCAAAACAATAACAACGGCCGTGGGGCGGACAGTGGCGCTGTTTTGCCCTACTGCGGATTCCATATTTTAGTGGCTTTTTGGAAGAGGCCAGCCTAATTACTCCTTATTGGCTAACAGTGGTTTATGCGTGTCAGACACAGAAAAGGCAGGTAGGCATTTGTCAGAAGTGGCTTAAGTCCCTTCTGCCCCACACAGCATTTCATGTCCCCTCTGTTCAGGTTCCACCCATCTGGTAACTCCCAACATTAACACAGCATTGTCAGCGACAGATGGTGGAAAGAAGGAAAGAAGCGCACTCTTTCTTTGAACTCGCTGGCATTCCATGAAACCCAGAGAGAGAGAATGAGAAAATTAAAAGAGAGAACAAGAGAGAGACCGATAAAGAAAGAGATAAAACGAAAAAGAAAGAACAAGAGAGAGTTCTTGGAATAAGGTGTCTTTTTCCCAGGCCGTGGGGGTCAGGGGAAGACAGCTGGAGGTTGAGCTACACAGAGCAGATGGCTGAGATATGTAAACAGGGGGGAAATGAACTGCGAACATCACAGTCATCACAAGACCCCTCTGACGCAGGGAATAAGAACTCTGCTGGATGGGAGCAGGGTTCATCATACCAACAGCCAGGACAGATCACTAACTGTTAGTGTTAGAGGATGATGACTTCTGTTCTTGTCTCAGTGGGGGGTTGGACGGGGACGAGGTGGGGTGGGGTGACATTTGCGAGGGGATCAGCCGTACCTGCAGAAGTATCACATAGTATCAAATAACTTTGACTGAGGCTCTAAAGCCAGGGGTATCTGAATGTGCCTGTCAGGGAGGTAAAATGAAGCCTATGGTGGGAATGTTGTTACCTCCCTATTCATAACATCCTGCACTGAGATGTAACTATACTGTTAGCCACCCAAACAAGCGGTCAGAATGACATCACAGGGCTGAAAAAGGCCTGAGACAGGGGACCCAGTTGCAGTATAAGTGATGGCCCCAAAGAGTGGTAAACTCCTCTACGCCAAAAACAATGAACAATGAACTTCACAGCGCCTACTGCAATGCATGCACTCGTCACCGTTCCACCACTGTATGAGCTGTGCATGACTGTTATATAACCATGATTGTATCAGCCCTCCAATTTTAATAAGGCCAAGCAGGGAAAGGCTCTTCCTTTTCCAAATACCTCAGGCCGCTTTGGAGGAAGTTGTGCTTTTGGGCTCTGGGTTCCGATAAGAGATGTATGCTCTCGATTAGACCCCTCCCTCGCAGCGCCAGTAAGTCGGAGGAGCGTGTTTCAGGGGTCTGAGAGGGACGGGATAATGGTGCTCCGTTCTCTGCAGGTGGGCTGTGTGTGTGTGTGTGTGTGTGTGTGTGTGTGTGTGTGTGTGTGTGTGTGTGTGTGTGTGTGATGTTTGCAGATAGCAACGGCAGCAGTATAGTGATTAAGGAGTCTTCACCTCAGGCCAGCCTTGACTCAACCTTCACGCTGCCTCCCAGAGCGGCATCCCAGCACACACCCAACACACACCACACACAGTCACTCAACGCCTGGAATCACCTTACAAAGTGCTACTACTCTGTGGCCCTCCAGGCCTAGAGGCCTAGCTGTCTTTCTCCAGAATCCCAACGCCTCTGTATGAGTTGATAGACACGAGAAAAGCATCTCGAAGCCATTGTGTGGTATGAGAACATCTCTCTGCTCTGACAGTTTACATGGTTCTGATCTTCAAAACGTCCCTCCAGAGACAGTCTCAGTGGAATGCAAACACAGCAGACCTCTGCTTTTAACTGGGATGGCAAGTGTCAAGTGAGGCGTAAAAGTGTTTTGAAAACCTAAAATGTCTATGAACTTGAGTTGAGAACTGTAACTTTGAGTGCTAGGGATGATGTGGTCTGGTTATATTTTTAACCATGTCAGAGATGAATGTACAGTATGTACAGTGGGGGAAAAAAGTATTTAGTCAGCCACCAATTGTGCAAGTTCTCCCACTTAAAAAGATGAGAGAGGCCTGTAATTTTCATCATAGGTACACGTCAACTATGACAGACAAATTGAGAAAAAATAATCCAGAAAATCACATTGTAGGATATTTAATGAATTGATTTGCAAATTATGGTGGAAAATAAGTATTTTGTCACCTACAAACAAGCAAGATTTCTGGCTCTCACAGACCTGTAACAACTTCTTTAAGAGGCTCCTCTGTCCTCCACTCGTTACCTGTATTAATGGCACCTGTTTGAACTTGTTATCAGTATAAAAGACACCTGTCCACAACCTCAAACAGTCACACGCCAAACTCCACTATGGCCAAGACCAAAGAGCTGTCAAAGGACACCAGAAACAAAATTGTAGACCTGCACCAGGCTGGGAAGACTGAATCTGCAATAGGTAAGCAGCTTGGTTTGAAGAAATCAACTGTGGGAGCAATTATTAGGAAATGGAAGACATACAAGACCACTGATAATCTCCCTCGATCTGGGGCTCCACGCAAGATCTCACCCCGTGGGGTCAAAATGATCACAAGAACGGTGAGCAAAAATCCCAGAACCACACGGGGGGACCTAGTGAATGACCTGCAGAGAGCTGGGACCAAAGTAACAAAGCCTACCATCAGTAACACACTACGCCGCCAGGGACTCAAATCCTGCAGTGCCAGACGTGTCCCCCTGCTTAAGCCAGTACATGTCCAGGCCCGTCTGAAGTTTGCTAGAGTGCATTTGGATGATCCAGAAGAGGATTGGGAGAGTGTCATATGGTCAGATGAAACCAAAATAGAACTTTTTGGTAAAAACTCAACTCGTCGTGTTTGGAGGACAAAGAATGGTGAGTTGCATCCAAAGAACACCATACCTACTGTGAAGCATGGGGGTGGAGACATCATGCTTTGGGGCTGTTTTTCTGCAAAGGGACCAGGACGACTGATCCGTGTAAAGGAAAGAATTAATGGGGCCATGTATCGTGAGATTTTGAGTGAAAACCTCCTTCCATCAGCAAGGGCATTGAAGATGAAACGTGGCTGGGTCTTTCAGCATGACAATGATCCCAAACACACCGCCCGGGCAACGAAGGAGTGGCTTCGTAAGAAGCATTTCAAGGTCCTGGAGTGGCCTAGCCAGTCTCCAGATCTCAACCCCATAGAAAATCTTTGGAGGGAGTTGAAAGTCTGTGTTGCCCAGCGACAGCCCCAAAACATCACTGCTCTAGAGGAGATCTGCATGGAGGAATGGGCCAAAATACCAGCAACAGTGTGTGAAAACCTTGTGAAGACTTACAGAAAACGTTTGACCTGTGTCATTGCCAACAAAGGGTATATAACAAAGTGTTGAGAAACTTTTGTTATTGACCAAATACTTATTTTTCACCATAATTTGCTAATAAATTCATAAAAAATCCTACAATGTGATTTTCTGGAAAAAAAATTCTCATTTTGTCTGTCATAGTTGATGTGTACCTATGATGAAAATTACAGGCCTCTCTCATCTTTTTAAGTGGGAGAACTTGCACAATTGGTGGCTGACTAAATACTTTTTTCCCCCACTGTATATGTTCTGACGTATGACCAACATTTGACCTCTGAATGTAAACCGGAAGCTTTTTTGCTGAAGACACCATAAGTCATGGAACAGATAGAAAATAACAAAACAGAACAGATTGGACTGACGTTGGCTATTTTACGTAAATTCTCTGAACCTTTGTCATTAGTTCTAACTAGCAACATAAATTCTCGTCTTAATTCTCCTTTATTGTTATGACGCAACAAGCAGCCTGGTCTCAGAGAAAATAGTATAATACTGTAAGTCCTCCAGGATGTTTGATAGGTTACATCATCCAATTCGTGTGATATTGTACAACCGGGTAAGATGTATGATACTATACGTCCTCTAATTCGTATGATATTGTACGACCCACTCTGGAAATTTGATGCACTTTTAGAGTATATTGTTCCAAATGAATAAAATCAAAAAGGGTATTCATATTAATATGTTTAGTGTTTAATAAATGAATGTGAAAATGTGTATGTCAGAATCTAGACATACTCCATATGTTAGAGCCCACAATAAGGAGTATAATGACACCATGATGTTGTCTGTATCATGTACGGTTGACAGATCATAATGTCTTACAGAAGACATGTATCGGTCTAAAAAGGACCTAAAATTGCCACTTTCCTTGTGATTTTCTCAACAATGGTTTGTGATATAAATGTAAAAAGCATGTCAAACATCCTTCCTCCCAATGAAGTTTCTATGTGAGAATTGCCGGAACAATCTGATATACCAAAAATAATTTCCGCTCCTGCTGGCGTGGAATCGCCCATAGATGCTTGATGAATCACAAATTCACTTAGCAGTTATATCCAACTGTTGGTCATTCCCATTCATGTTTGTGTCCAGTTAGCTCTCTCATGTACTGTATGACACAAACTGACAGTATCACTCAGTCAGAAAATCTGAGTTCATATGGAAAAACTAACAATGACTTTAATATAAAACATGGCAATCAGAGGGCACCTGGTGATTGTCACACAATAACTAATCCCCCTTAACAAGTGTCAAGTTAAAGTCACACAGCTGTTCATTCTCCACAGTGCTACCTATTCATTCCATCTACACCAGCCCTGGCTAGGCTTAGCTCATTATGTTACTCCCATGCCAAAGTTGGTATAATTGTTCCTGCTGCTCGCCTGTGCTCTGTTGCTTCTGGTTGCTAACAACAGTCCATGTGATCCACTCATGCCAATGGAAAGAGTGATTTTCGCTGCTAAAGTTAGAGAACTGTAAATACTCTCAGAATAAAGAAAATATAATTAGTGGAATAAAGTATTCTAAGAAATACTAGACACCACAATGAAAAGGTAAATCTCAACTGAACCTTTCCAGAGGACCATCTGCAAATGAGCCCAACTTATGTCTGGGTCTGCTCTCCATCACTTTGAATCATGTTGACTGGGTGGAAATACTAGGCATCTAATGGTCAAGTAGAACTATGCAAATTACAAGAAGCCACACCATGGGAAAAAAGCAACAGAGGTGCTAAGCCTTTTATGTCTGATTCCAAAGTAGCTGGTTTTCTATCATATCTCCTATTTCATCTAATTTTGTAACTACAAATTGTACGCTAGATAATGTGGGCGTTACAGGAAAGCCCCATACAAACCACCGCCATAGATTTTTCAACTAACCTGTTCTTGGCAATACTTTCTTCATTCTCGATTCAGTGAAAAAAGTATCTTAGAAATGTCCTTTTTCAGTTGCAGTGTCAATACTTCCTCCGAAGCTGCCTCCTCTCCTTGTTCGGGAAGGCTTCAGCGTTCGTCGTCACCGGCCTTCTAGCTGCTGCCGCTCCTCATCTCATCATTCCATTGGTTTTGTCTTGTTTATTACACACACCTGGTTCATATCCCCTCATCAGTACCTGTATAAGTGTTCCCTCTGCCCCCTTGTCTTTGTGTGTGATTGTTTATTGTGGAGGTTCAATTAGCCCTGTGGAGCTCTTTGTATTTTGTATCTATGGGTTATTTTCACCCGTGTGCATCGTTATTTTCCAGTGCGCCTGTTTTCCGGACTGGAGTGTTTGACGCATTGCTGCGTACTACTGTGTTTCGGAATAAAACTTTTATTCTGTGATTTGCCCTCCTGCGCCTGAAACACACACCCAAACATGGAGTCAGCAGGAGAAGCGAACTTGCCGGGAGTCGTGGCACGGGTCCGGGAGCATTCTGATATGCTAGCCAGCTTGGAGGAAGCGATGGATCGGGTTCTCCAGGCCGTCCAATGCCTGAACAGGAGAGGACCCAATCCTTCGAGACCAGCTGAGCAACCGGATCCAGCCACCCACACCCCAGCACCCAGACGGACGGGACAGCTGCCCGCTGCCAGGGATTCCTCCTGCAGCTGGACCTCTACTTCACAACCATCAGCCCGGCTCCATCAGAGCGGGAGAAGATGTCTGCCCTCATCTCCTGTCTCTCGGGGAAAGCCCTGGAGTGGGCCAACACAGTTTGGAGTGAAGGGGGAGCCACGTTGGACAACTACAGGGAGTTTGCTCGCCTCTTCCGGGCAGTCTTCGACCACCCGCCCGAAGGAAGAGATGCGGGCGAGCGGCTGGTCCAACTGAGGCAGGGGACGAGGACCACGCAGGACTTTGCCCTGGAGTTTCATACTCTAGCGGCTGGGTCCGGGTGGAACGAGCAGGCCCTCATCGACCGTTTCTGGTGCAGCCTGCGAGAGGACGTCTGAAGGGAGCTAGCCTGCCGGGATACCATGTTGACTTTAGACAAGCTGGTGGACATGGCCATCCGGTTGGACAACCTGCTCGCTGAAAGAGGACGTCCTGGAGGGGGCCTGCCCGTTCCAACTCCCTTCAACCCGGATTCAGTTCCGATGGAGCTGGGTGGTGCAGCGATCCGGGAGAACGGAGGATGGCAGCTCCAGTGTCACTCTTGTGGCAGGAGAGGACATTCTGCTGCACGCTGTCGTCAGGGTTATTCCGGGTCAGGAGGCGGCAGGCAGGGCACTCTCGCGTCACCCCAGGTAGCGCAAACCCACACTCGTTCAGAGCCCTCTGCTGCGCACTGCACTATACACGTCACCTTCCCTGATTACACAGTAGTTTCCCAGTGTAAGGCGCAGGTCGATTCAGGCGCAGCTGGGAACTTTATGGACAGGTTTTTGCTCATAGTCTAGTTATTCCATTGGTACCCCTATCCCTTCCACTGCCCATCAAAGCACTTGACAGTCGGCCATTAGGGTCAGGATTCGTTAGGAAAGTTACAGCACCAGTCACGATGGTTACGCACGTCACATTTTTATTTTTAAAGTCTCCCGATTTTCCTGTTGTGCTGGGTCTTCCCTGGTTAGCACTACACAACCCAACCTTTTCATGGCTGCAGAGGGTTCTCACAGGGTGGTCGAGAGAGTGTCAGGGTAGGTGTCTAGCTGTTTCCATTGGTGCAACCACGGTGGAAAGTCCAGACACTACCTCCACCGTGCGCATTCCCCCGAATACCTCAATTTGGCGCACACATTTTCCAAAACACAGGCGACCAAATTACCACCTCATCGGTCGGGGGATTGTGCGATAAACCTCCTGGTCGATGCTGTGCCTCCCAGGAGTCATGTGTCTCCCCTGTCGCAGGCTGAAACGGAGGCGATGGAGACATATGTCTCCGAGTCCCTGCGCCAGGGGTTCATACATCCCTCCACTTTGCCCGCCTCCTCAAGTTTATTTTTTGTGAAGAAGAAAAAAGGAGGTCTGCGCCCGTGCATTGATTACCGAGCACTGAACAAGGGGACAATACGTTATAGTTATCCTCTACCCCTCATTCCATTGGTAATCAAGTCAATGCATGGGGCACGCTTCTTCACAAAATTAGATCTCCGGAGTATGTACAACCTGGTGCGTGTCAGAGGGGGACGAGTGGAAGACAGTATTCAGCACAACCACGGGGCATTACGAATACCTGGTGATGCCGTACGGTTTGATGAATGCTCCATCCGTCTTCCAGTCCTTTGTGAACAAGGTGTTTCGGGACATTACAGCCGTGCGTAATTGGCCGACTCCAACCACGGTAAAGGAGGTGCAACGCTTTATTGGCGCTGCCAACTGCTATCAGAGGTTTATCCGGGGATTTGGCAAGGTCGCAGCTCCCATCACATCTCTGTTGAAGGGTGGGCCGTCCCGGCTCCGCTGGTCTGCTAAGGCTGACAGGGCCTTCAGTAACGTGAGGCTTCTGTTCACCTCAGCCCCGGTACTGGCCCATCCCGATCCATCACTACCGTTCGTAGTGGAGGTGGATGCGTCCGAGGTAGGGATAGGCGGTGTCCTATCTCAACGCTCGGGCACGCCACCCAAGCTCCGCCACTGTGCCTTCTTCTCCAAGAAGCTCAACCCGGTGGAGCAGAACTACGACGTTGGTGATCGGGAGTTGTTGGCTGTTATCAGAGCCCTGACCGTGTGGAGGCACTGGCTCGAGGGGGCGAAACACCCTTTCCTCATCTGGACGGACCACCATAACCTGGAGTACATCCAGGCAGCGAGGAGGCTGAACCCTCACCAGGCCAGGTGGGCCTTATTCTTCATTCGGTTTGATTTTACACGGTCTTACATCCTGGGTACGAAGAACGTAAAGGCAGACGCACTGTCACGGCTGTACGACACAGAGGAGAGGCCAATAGACAACTCCCCCATACTCCCGGCCTCATGCATTGTGGCGCCAGTAGTATGGGCGATGGACGCGGACACAGAGCCATCTCCACCTCAGTGCCCAGCTGAGCTGCAGTACTGGTGGCCTATCTTGGCTAAGGACGTGAGGGTGTATGTCTCCTCCTGCTCAGTGTGCGCCCAGAGCAAGGCACCTAGGCACCTCCCAGCGGGTAAGTTACAGCCTTTACCAGTTCCACAACGGCCATGGTCCCACCTGTGTATTGACTTTCTCACTGATCTTCCCCTCTCTCAGGGTAACACAACCATCCTGGTCGTTGTGGAACTGGCATCAGAGCCAGACCGAAGCTCCTGCGGTGGATGACTGGATTCGGCGTGCGGAGGAGACGTGGAACGCTGCTCACGTCCACGCCAGAAGGCTAACGCTGACCACCTCCGCAGTGAGGCCCCGGTCTTTGTACCGGGTGATCAGATCTGGCTTTCGACCCGGAATCTGTCCCTCCGCCTGCCCTGCCGGAAGCTGAGCCCGCAGTTTGTGGGGCCGCTCAAAGTCCTGAGGAGAATAAACGAGGTCATATGTCCCTCCTCAGGCTGGTGGTGGCTGGTCCGCTCCAGGAGTCTGAGGTGCGGGAGGTCCCTCCGCCCCCCCTGGACATTGAGGGGGCCCTGGCATACTCTGTCTGTTCCATCCTGGATTCGAGGCATTGGGTGTGGGGCCTTCAGTACCTCGTGGATTGGGAGGGGTACGGTCCGGAGGAGTGGTGCTGGGTCCCGGTGAGGGATATCCTCGATCCTCCCTGTTGCGGGATTTCCACCGTCGCCATCTGTCTCGCCCTGCTCCGAATCCTCTCGGCCGTCCCCAAGGCCGGTGTCGGCGCGCTGCTGGAGCTGCGCGTCAAGGGGGGGGGGGGGGGGGGGGGGTACTGTCATGATGTCCTCCGAAGCTGCCTCCTCTCCTTGTTCGGGCAGGCTTCGGCGTTCGTTGTCACCGGCCTTCTAGCCACTGCCGCTCCTCATCTCATCATTCCATTGGTTTTGTCTTGTTTATTACACACACCTGGTTCATATCCCCTCATCAGTACCTGTATAAGTGTTCCCTCTGCCCCCTTGTCTTTGTGTGTGATTGTTTACTGTGGAGGTTCGATTAGCTCGGTGGAGGTCTTTGTATTTTGTATCGCCGGGTTATTTTCACCCGTGTGCTTCATTGTTTTCCAGTGCGCCTGTTTTCCACACTGGAGTGTTTGACGCATTGCTGCGTACTACTGTGTTTCGGAATAAACCTTTTATTCTGTGATTGTCACGTCTCCTCCCGTTGCTCCCCTCCGGCGCTCTGATTCGCCGGTCTACTGAACCACCGGTCTGAGCGCACCACCTCGGCAACACCGGAATGGAAACCCATTCACCTCCAGCGCACCTGCACCTCATCATCTCATCACCACCCCTATATAGTCCTGAACTGTTCAGTGTTGTGTTGTGTGTGATTGTTAGTGTCATGTCGTGTACTCGCTCTTTGTTGTTCTCTCGCCCAGTGTTAAGTAAACCTTTACATTGTTGATTCCTGCATCTGCGTCCTACCTCTTCGTATCCTCAGTACTCGTCACAGTGATTTGCCCTCCTGCGCCTGACTCCTTCAAATCACTCACCACATGCAGGTGGTTCTAAAATAACCATAGAAAATTCAGAAAGATATTAAATACATGTTTTGGTAACACTGTGTGACGCTCTGTCATCTACTTCTATACATGGCCACGGCCGCATTGTATAGAAACAACTAGTTCCTGCTAAAATGCTGGGAAATGCTAGATGTGCGGCAGCTAAGATGGCGAGGAACATGGATTTAATTTATTTCTGAGTTTTCGCTGGTTTTTGTAGAACCACCAGCAACTGACATTTCAATTTTTTCACAGAATCGACAACAAAGAAAGTAATGCCAAGAGCAGGTTAGTTGAAAAATCTATGGCGGTGGTGTGTATGGGGCTTTCCTGTAACGCTCAGTAATGGACACCAAAAATCTTTGGTTATATCACATTATATGGCGTACAATCTGTAGCTACTAATTTTGCAGCCTAAGCGCTATGAAGATGTATGGAGTAGGCAAGAAATCCATTATATTACATACTCTAACATTTTCACTGACATTAATTTAAACAATTTACAGGCACCTGCATGAAGAATACAATAAAACACTCTCCCACATAACATTCAAACCTTCAGGACAGACATAAAATATTCAATTTGTACTCTGTAGGCCTACATTCTTAAGATGTCATTTGAATATTTTATGTGGACGTTCTTTATAGTATACATTTTCTTAATTTTAGAGTAAACAAAAACATAACTTTTAAATCTATGCGAAAACATAGTCTAAATGTTTCATTTACAGTTAAATAAGTATATTTTAAAAGCCTGTTGCAAAATTATATAGGCTACCATATGTATTAGACTAGAGGACTGATGCTCATGTGGTGTTGCATAACACCTCACATCATCTGAACTCCTCACCTCATCTTGAGCATCAGCCTCATGAACCTCACAGCTGACATCCTATCAGGTTACTGGCTCTCTGAATATGTTAATACATCTAAGTTGATATTTGTCACTGTCCTTGAATTTGTTATAGTAGTACTGAAGTAAACAGAATAAAAGTTGTTACTTACTTGTAATCAACATGGTGCTGTAATGTTGTCAGATATTTAACTCATAAAATACATACAAATTATACAAATCCAATCCAAATCAAATATTGAAGACAAGTCCAGTTCTCTTGGTCATTTAGGGCATCATAGTGAAATCAGTAAAGCGTTTCCACTTTCCCTCTCCTGCCTGGACCATACCAACTGCACTTAACACTCACCCCAGAGGGGAGGTTTCCAAAATTATATCATGGATGACCAAGGCTGTTGACTTTGAAAGCATGCCATGGTATTCATAAAGTATTTAACACACTGTGACAACTAGTAGAAATGTAACATCTGATGTAAAATATTAACTTTAAATGAGCTAAAGTATCCCCTCCCCCTTAAGAGAGTGTGGTTGATCCCATGACGTTGCCTGAAGGTACTAGACTAGAGTGACCCTGGTTTTAATGTCTATGGAGTGACCAGACAGAGATTTCCAAACCTCAGACTCCGGTCATGAGGGCATATTTTCCCTATGTAGTCAAACTTGATAGTTAAAATTAGTTGTAGCAGACATTTATCAGCCCATCAAAATAAACAAGGAAACTCTCTAAGACAGTTAGGCCTCAACCAAGAACATGGTGAACTTCCCTCCCCACAGGCTACATAATGAGCATGTATTTTTATGTAATACAGAACAATGTGTGTGCTTTATACTATTCCCTCCAATATCCAGATGCCACACATTCATGTTCTCACTTTCCTTGACAAAATGATTAATATTGACACTATCTTTACTGATACTACTACAAAAACAATCAACACATTTTTGTCATTAGAGCTCACTCAGGAACACATTCAGACATTTACAATAAATGTACCTTGAAAGTCTAATTATTCCCCTATGGTACCTATCTCTAAAACACCAACAAACACCATGTGGTCCGACCCTCTCCTGAAGACCCTATCACATCATCTTGTAAAAGGCGGCCATTGTTTCAAAGCAGCAATGGAACAATAATAACACTAATGATGACCCTTAAAGCACCATGGATGATGACAGAAACCTGCGGTGCTAATAGTTCTCCACTCCAAGGCTTCATCAGGATTCATTCCTAGGTAAGTCATTAGTGGTAATAGGTTCCATTTACAGCGTAGGTGTTTGATTAGAATCTTTTTAATGTGAAAACCCCTGGAGAGGTCCACCGCTTCGCTGCATTAATTCACAGTTGAACGAAAGATGGAAAGAAATGTAAACAACTAATGACTTTCACACAAGAGCGAAGATACAGGACCCATGATCCCCTTAGCAACCTTCCTGGACCGCTTAGCTCTGGTTTATAAAAAAACCAGGAGATAGGCATTCTTGGCTGTTAATGGGAATTAAATGTTTTTCTTGGATGACCCGTCCCTAGCCCAAGACTCTGGCTTATGTGCATGATGTCATAGCATAGCCACGGGAATAGTCCTGTATTAGCGGATCGATATAGCCATCGGCTAAAAACATCGCAGCACCCCCACCCCCAAATATCTTAAAGCGACTATGTGTCATAGACTATCACAATGCAGACTTAAGTTTAGTTTTTTTCCCTCTAGAATGTGAAACCGCTTCTGCTTTGTGTCTATGTAATAAAGGGTAACACTTTACTTGACACCCAGCGTCATAACACGTCTGTAGCTCAATTGGTAGAGCATGGCGCTTGTAACGCCAGGGTAGTGGGTTCGATCCCCGGGACCACCCATACGTAAAAATGTATGCACACATGACTGTAAGTCGCTTTGGATAAAAGCGTCTGCTAAATGGCTTATTATTATTATTATGTCATAATATGTAATAACAGCTGACATTACTTGTTATAACCTGTCATAATATGGTCATAACACTGTCATGACACATATATTTACACCTGTTGTGACATATTGGGTTATTTTATGGCTGGTTATGACACCTACATAAGTGTCAAAACCCACAAAACCTACCACAGAAGGTAAAACATTCCATTACACCATAGCCTACCTGTCAACAGTATGTTTATGTTATGTAACATTTTGATATAACATTGACCATGTTAAATTATCACTGTAATTGCGCACACATTGATGTCAGACATGCACCTACTCCAATGCTCTGTTGCTGATGACTGGGATGAATGCAGGAACAGATTTCAGGAGCAGGACAAGACACCCTCTTTTGACTGATGACTGATATAAGGGCATGTACGTGATAGGACTATCTGGCTTATATGATTATGATGGTCACAATGCTTCCTGGCAGTGTCATAAAGTGTATTTTCTTAGTCCAAGTAAAGTGACACAGGATGGTCATAATGCTTGACTGGAAATAATTAATTACATCAAAAACAAAGGATTTAAGAGACAAACTTTCAAATGAAAGTAAACTTCTTCGTAGGGAACAAATTATTTGAATAAATGTTGGTTTTGACACTCTTTTGTAGGTGTCATAATCAGCCATAAAATAACCCAATATATGTCACAACAGGTGTAAATATATGGGTCATGACAGTGTTATGACCATATTATGACAGGTTATGACAAGTTATGTCAGCTGTTATGACATATTATGACAGTGTCATAACGTGTTATCACACTGGGTGTCAAGTAAAGTGTTACCTAATAAAGTAATAGCATGGAAATACCATTCATAATACATGATTGGGGGTGTGCACTGCAGCCCTCCTCCCATCACAATTTAAAAAAAATTCTATACCTAATACACTATATTAAACATATTTGCTGATGTTGAATAGTTTGAATTCTGTCAATGTTCGAAGCTTGCTGTTATGTAAGAGATATTATGACTTCTGGGCTTTCTTCCTGAGGACCACAACTCCCACATACTGAAGTGATAGTGATCAACAAGGATGAAAGGATCGCTGCTTCTGATATTTAAGTCTCTCTCTCTCTCTCTCTCCCATCAAATCAAACGTAACCATGACGACAGTCTGATCCTACTGAAGTCAAGTAGCACCTTGACAAAGCAGATATTTTTCTACATACGCTATATGTACAGTCAGCTTGCCTTACAATAAATGCACATCACAGAGAAATTGGCATATGGAGACATGGAACCAGGCTGGAACTAAAGAAACCACACTGAACACTACAACAAAGAAGATCATTCCACATCTTCTCACTTTACGATATGAGCTTGGACAGGTTGGCTGAAAATGACCAGGCTATAACCATCATGGGTCTATACTGTATATCAAAGACACACATCCAGAGGTCCAATAGCATCTTTCTCCAAGCCATCATTCCTAAAAATGATGTCATCAGCGTTAGAATATTTGGGTTGATGAAATGATGTCACTCCAACAGCTGTGGCAGACTGGCCAGCAGCCATCCGGTCTGTTCTACTGGCTGGTTTTTATTTACAACGCTGAAGTATTTACAATGACTGTGATTAATGCTAATAGCCCAGTCTCTGTATTGGAAACAGTTAGATCCATCCACCGAGACTGATCTAAAGCAACACTAGTGACATGTGGACTGTGGGTAGGTTTAATACAAAGCGACATACATTATGTCCTAGTGTTTTCTGTGAGAAGGACAAAAGGACAGCCGTGTGTGTGTGTAGTTACTGCATGTGAAAGTTACCCTGTCCTCTTTTGTTTGCTAGGCCATAAAACTGAGAGGCTCACTTAGGCCTGACCTCTGCGGTTGGCAGCCGCTGAACTGCTAGCCCCTGGTCACTGTTTTCTAAGATTACACAAGAACACACTTCCTTTTCCCAAGCAAGAGGAGGAGGGCGTCAGACTAGGAAGAATTCAGCCCCGCTCCCAGGGGAGTGTGTGTGCGTGTGGTTATGAGCGAGTGAGGGAGGGTATGTCATGTGTTTACTCTCATGAGCTTTGTTTATATTTGTGTTTACTGTGTGCATTTTTGATTGATGTGTGTTGATGTGTGTGTGTGTGTGTGTGTCTGTGTGTGTGTATTTCTGTGTCTGTAATCTGAGTCAAGCCTCTGATCTTAAGGCTGGTATTTCCGATGCTGCAGGAAGCTCTCTCTCTGACTCTAGAACTGTGTCCCCTTCCACTGACCACCCTCTCCACTGACTGTACTGCAGCTCCAGTGGCGGCCAGGTCCCTATCTCTCCATCTAGCCTCTGTGTACAAATCAACCTGTCCTGAACACGCCGGGCACCTCTTTACTGCAACCAGGATGTACGGAGCACACTCACTGACCACCCCCTCCTTGCTCAAAATAACTTCTAACTTTAGCAGAAATATTTTATCAGAAGCTATGATGATAATAATAAAAATACACTATTTTTGCCTCTTTGTATACCCTTTAGGGACAGAGGTGGCGGTGGGGAATGAAGCCCTGCCCTGCATTGCCCTGCCATGGTCTGAATGTTATTGTATAATAGTGGTGAGTTTTCAGGTCCTGTTTGTCTCTGGCTGTACTAAATATAATTGCCATAGAGCTCAGAGCTTTGGCTACAGTAGGCCAGACTGTCAGGGGTGCTGAAGGTGGGTGTGGTGCAGGAATCAAGCGCAGGACGCAGAAACTCAGTCCAAAAGACTTTAGTGAAATATTCACGTAGTACACGAGCAAACAAGCCCGGAGGCGAGAAGAAAGGCGCACACAGGCGTCAAACAATAGGCGCACTAACATGTGCGAAAACCTCTCCAAAACAACGGAGGGAAACACGTAGCTCAGAACACCAAACAGAAGAGCAATCACACACAACACCTGACACACACAACGAGAACTAAATAGGACACTAATGAGGACTAACTAGACACAGGTGTACAACATCAAGACAAAACCAAACGAACATGAAACATAGATCGGTGGCAGCTAGTACTCCGGGGACGACGACCGCCGAAACCTGCCCGAACAAGGAGGAGGAGCAGCCTCGGCCGAAACCGTGACACAGACTCTGTCACAGGCCAAGCAACAGGGCCAGCCCCTGAAATGAGCCTCCGACGAGCTACAGAATCAATTAAGTGGGGATATAATTAGAGCTGTGCTTTATTAGTACTTAGGGATGATCTGGGGCGCAGAGTAATGGAGCATCCATGTACAGTTCATTTGGAAGGCATCTTTATCAGGACACTGTAGAGCTTATGGCTGCTATGTTGTCTGACAACAGATCTGTGTTTAGTTGCATAACTCTGCTATTGAATTGGAGTTTATGAACATAATTAAATGGAACAGTTTAGCGAACACTGTTGAGTTGGTCTACGTCTATCTATTTAATATTTTTATTTCTGTCTAATGTTTATATTACATGATGCTGATCTGGACCATTGGATTTGGTGGTGTCTTATAGAATTATGTTAACATTTTATTCCGTTTTATTTTGAGTTCTATTCTGGTCCTGTTTTAAGAAAAAAAGTTGAAATATCTCTAGGAGATCTGTACAGTAATATTTAAAACAGAGGTCATGTCAGAAAGATTTTCCTGTAATAGAAAACCCAATGTTCTTTATTCAAGTTGATAATTGCCCTGAGGGCAGGACTCCCCCCTCCAATCTCCTCCATCTTAAACACAGGCTGAAACAAATGGAAATAATGACAGATTCTGACTCTGAACATTCCATGGTTGGGTAAAAAATGACAAAGGGGTTACCCTAGATCAACAGCCTAGCAATGGACCCCACTTAACTTACTTGTTAAGGTATTCAAACGCGTGTGTTTAGCATGTGTACTTGAGTTAACCTATATGACATGTGCACTTGTTACATACACTATGACGTGTGTAAATGTTGACATACATTATTTACAGCCCTCTAACCAATTGTACTATTATGTGCGTTTTTCTGCGTTATTTGTAATTTATTTTGTACATAATGTTTCTGCCATCGTCTCTTATAACCAAAAAAGAGCTTCTGGATATCAGGACAGCGATTACTCACCTCGTATTGGACAAAGATTTTTTCTTCAACGAGGCGGCCGCGAAGGATATCCTACAGACACCCGACAAGGCCCAAATCCCCGTCATTCGCATGAGGAAGAGACGGAGATATCGTGGACGTAGGTCGGGGTGCCTTGTAAGGATCCGACGGCGAGCGAGTAAACTGCCTCTCCCATCAATCCTATTAGCCAATCTTCAATCATTTGAGAATAAATTGGATGACCTAAGATTACGGTTATCCTACCAACGGGACATTAAAAACTATAATATCTTATGTTTCACAGAGTCGTGACTGAACGACGACATGGACAACATACAGCTAGCATCGGCAGGATAGAACGGCTGTCTCCGGTAAGACAAGGGGTGGCGGTCTGTGTATATTTGTAAACAACAGCTGGTGCACAAAATCAAATACTAAGGAAGTCTCTAGGTTTTGCTCGCCTGAGGTAGAGTATCTTATGATAAGCTGTAGACCACACTATTTACCAAGAGAGTTTTCATCTATATTTTTCATAGCTGTCTATTTACCACCACAAACCAATGCTGTCATTAAGATTGCACTGAATGAGCTGTATAAGGCCATAAGTCAACAGGAAAATGCTCATCCAGAGGCAGCGCTCCTAGTGGACGGGGACTTTAATGCAGGGAAACTTAAATCCATTCTACCTAATTTCTACCAGCGTGTTAAATGTGCAACCCTAGACCACCTTTACTCCACACACAGAGACGCATACAAAGCTCTCCCTCGCCCTCCATTTGGCAAATCTGACCATAACTCTATCCTCCTGATTCCTGCTTATAAGCATAAACTAAAGCAGGAAGCACCAGTGATTCGGTTAATACAAAAGTGGTCAGATGACGCAGATGCTAAGCTACAGGACTGTTTTGCTAGCACAGACTGGAACATGTTCCGGAATTCTTCAGATAGCATTGAGGAGTACACCACATCAGTCACTGGCTTCATCAATAAGTGCATCGATGATGTCGTCCCCACAGTGACCGTACGTACATACCCCAACCAGAAGCCATGGATTACAGAAAACATCCGCACTGAGCTAAAGGGTAGAGCTGGCGCTTTCAAGGAGCGGGACTCTAACCCGGACGCTTATAAGAAATCCCGCTATGCCCTCCGACGAACCATCAAACAGGCAAAGAGTCAATACAGGACTAAGATTGAATCGTACTACACCGGCTCTGACGCTCGTCGGATGTGGCAGGGCTTGAAAACTATTACAGACTACAAAGGGAAGCACAGCCGCAAGCTGCCCAGTGACACAAGCCTACCAGACGAGCTAAACCACTTCTATGCTCGCTTCGAGGCAAGCAACACTGAAGCATGCATGAGAGCACCAGCTGTTCCGGATGACTATGTGATCACGCTCTCCGTAGCCGATGTGAGTAAGACTTTTAAGCAGGTCAACATTCACAAGGCCACAGGGTCAGACGGATTACCAGGACGTGTACTCCGAGCATGTGCTGACCAACTGGCAAGTGTCTTCACTGACATTTTCAACATGTCCCTGACTGAGTCTGTAATACCAACATGTTTCAAGCAGACCACCATAGTCCCCGTGCCCAAGGACACTAAGATAACCTGCCTAAATGACTACCGACCCGTAGCACTGACGTCTGTAGCCATGAAGTGCTTTGAAAGGCTGGTCATGGCTCACATCAACACCATTATCCCAGAAACCCTAGACCCACTCCAATTTGCATACCGCCCCAACAGATCCACAGATGATGCAATCTCTATTGCACTCCACACTGCCCTTTCCCACCTGGACAAGAGGAACACCTACGTGAGAATGCTATTCATTGACTACAGCTCAGTATTCAACACCATAGTGCCCTCAAAGCTCATCACTAAGCTAAGGATCCTGGGACTAAACACCTCCCTCTGCAACTGGATCCTGGACTTCCTGACGGGCCGCCCCCAGGTCGTAAGGGTAGGTAACAACACATCTGCCACACTGATCCTCAACACGGGGGCCCCTCAGGGGTGCGTGCTCAGTCCCCTCCTGTACTCCCTGTTCACCCATGACTGCATGGCCAGGCACGACTTCAACACCATCATTAAGTTTGCCGACGACATCAGTGGTAGGCATGATCACCGACAACGATGAGACAGCCTATATGGAGGAGGTCAGAGACCTGGCCATGTGGTGCCAGGATAACAACCTCTCCTTCAACGTGACCAAGACAAAGGAGATGATTGTGGACTACAGGAAAAAAAAGAGGACAGAGCACACCCCCATTCTCATCGACGGGGCTGGAGTGGAACAGGTAGAGAGCTTCAAGTGCCTTGGTGTCCACATCACCAACAAATTATCATGGTCCAAACACACCAAGACAGTCGTGAAGAGGGCACGACAAAGCCTATTCCCCCTCAGGAGACTGAAAAGATTTGGCATGGGTCCTCAGATCCTCAAAAAATTCTACAGCTGCACCATCGAGAGCATCCTGACTGGTTGCATCACCACCTGGTATGGCAACTGCTTGGCCTCCGACCGCAAGGCACTACAGAGGGTAGTGCGTACGGCCCAGTACATCCCTGGGGCCAAGCTTCCTGCCATCCAGGACCTCTATACCAGGCGGTGTCAGAGGAAGGCCCTCAAAATTGTCAAAGACTCCAGCCACCCTAGTCATAGACTGTTCTCTCTGCTACCGCACGGCAAGCGGTACCGGAGTGCCAAGTCTAGGTCCAAAAGACTTCTCAACAGCTTCTACCCCCAAGCCATAAGACTCCTGTACAGCTAATCATGACTACCCAGACTATTTGCACTGCCCCCCCACCCCATCTTTTTACGCTGCTGCTACTCTGTTAATTATTTATGCATAGTCACTTTAACTCTACCCACATATTACTTCAACTACCTCAACTAGCCGGTGCCCCCGCACATTGACTCTGCACCGGTACCCCCCTGTATATATAGCCTCCCTACTGTTATTTTATTTTACTTCTGCTCTTTTTTTCTCAACACTTTTTTGTTGTTGTTTTATTTTACTTTTTTATTAAAAATAAATGCACTGTTGGTTAAGGGCTGTAAGTAAGCATTTCACTATAATGTCTGCACCTGTTGTATTCGGCGCATGTGGCCAATACAATTTGATTTGATTTGATTTGAAGTGTGTACAGTACTTGTTGATGCAGTGTGTGCAGTGGAAAGCCAGGGCATCATGCAGGCTGAAGGTCACAACAGTCCCTAGTGGGGTTCTTAGTGTTCCGGAGCCTTCCCAGAGCCTTCCCATTAGAATATCCCAGTCCCACGCCATCCCACATTCTGTCTCTGAGCCACCGACCTAAAATAGCATCTCTGATCCGTTCAGCTTGTTGTCCATCCATCCAAGAAATGTCTGAGCTGTGATGTACATTGGCCTGTTCTCTCTGATCCCCTTGCCTTCATCTGTGTTTCACATGGGTTTAGCTAAAGCCATCACGTGGAATTAGGCTCTATTGACATGGTCTTTAGTGTCTAAATCCAGAGCTCTGACATTTATTGAAATAGGGTTGGTCTATACCCACACCCGTCGCTATGGGCGGGCCATAGGGGGCCGGGCCCGCCCCCAAAAATGCTTGTGCCCCCCCCCCCCCCACTTGAGGGAATTCAAGCAGCTGCTTGTTGTCGCTGATGACTCCGATTTGAACCCTAACTTCAGTTTGAACCCTAAAACAGTAAAGTAGGCTATATACAGTAAAGTATGTGATAAAGTATGTCAACAAGTAAAAATGTAGTATTGCATTACCCAGGTAAAGGAGTAAAGGAATGCTGGATTATAATTTAGTTTTGACACAATTCTTTGATTCTATGACGTTGAATGTCCAATAGAATTCAGTCTCAAAGTGCTTTCTTAATTACAGCTGGAGAAGCCCATTCAATCATGCAGGTGTGGAGATTGTTGCGCCCGTCAATGTCAGTGTTCATCTGCTTAGCTTGGGTAAAGAAAGACGTCTCCAAGATGTCTGGCAGAGGCCCAAAGATTACCCATTCAGCTCAGAGACAGGAGGGAGCCTGTGCGATTTAGGCAATGCCTGGACTGAATACGTGTGTGTATGCATGTGTGCGTATGTGTGTGTGTGTGTATATGTGTGTTTGACTGTACACAATAGGAAGAAAGGAGTGTTTGCCTCTCCTCTCCACATGCGATGCCAGCTGTTCTGCACACACGGCTACGAGCCAGAGCATACCATTTATCTATCCCCCTAGCCCACTATAAAAGGGATAGATGACTATACACACTTGCAACTACGTGTGTACACCTGCAGAGGAAATAGGACACACAAACAGATACAGAAATGATTAACATACTCAAATACACATAAGCGTGAGACAGCTGGGTGTGTGTGTGTTTGCACTGTGCCTCCTGTCACTGCCTCTGTCCCTCTGCCTTCATTTGCTTTTCATTGAGGCTTACAGAAGCGGTACTCCTCTCTGGTTGGGAACACCGCACTGCAGTCTGGCCAGCCAGCGGTTGGTGACAGGGAGAGAGAGACACACACAGGCAGGCAGGCACGCAATCTGGTCATCGGGTCATTATGATCAAGTGATGACTTGATTGCAATTACAGGGCCAGACACTGATACTTCCAGTATAAGATGAGTGAAATAATGATAGTAATAGGGGGAGTGAAATAACGATAATGACATAAGAGGGGGAGTAAACTGGGTAGTTTTGTGTCTGGAAGTCCCACAGTGAGTTGCTCCACAGGAATGCAGGGAAACAGACCAGTCTTCAAAGTCCTGCCGTCAGCCACAACAGTACCCAAAACTTCCCAAGAGACATTAAAAATGGTTAGATGAGCGCATGCACTATGTCTCACCTCGGGGGCTTTCCTGTGTTTCAACGACATGGGCTCTTAAACTATCTGGTATCACATACAGGCGCCCTGCTCTAATGGTAACAGTCATTGGCTCATAATCGCAGAGCCAGGTGACTGGATAGGGCAGTCCAGTCAATTACATGTCCTGCCAGAGGAAGTGGGGAGAGAGAGAGAGCGAGAGAGAGAGGTACAGAGCAAGGAGAGAGATGGAGGGAGGGAGAGTCAACCCACTAATTGTCCTTGTAAGCAACCTTCACCGCGTCTGATCCCTCTCCCCTCAAATGAAGCAGGTCCCATTCTAATTAGCGACTCTCTCTCGCTTAGCGCCACGCTAACTCAACATCCTAACACAACGTCCATGACAAGACCCACATTGCTCTCCTCCATCTCCTTATGGGCCTAATAAACCCTTTGATGGCAACGATGACTGATATTCCCCACCCAAAATTACAGTGCTTAGTTATTGGTGATTCATAATCCAGTTTTGAAGTGTTAATAGGGAGCCCTATTTAAGATGCCAGTGTTTAATATACACTTCCTCCAGTTAATGTACATTAAATCTTCAACACCTTTTTTCAGAGCTGTTACAATTGGCTGGTTTCCCAGGACAGGAGAGGAACTTTTGGGTCTTAATGCTCCGATGTGACCTGCATGTCTCTCTCTCTCTCTCTCTCTCTCTCTGTGTATGCTGGGAGTTTTTTGGAGTTTGAGAGTTTGTGTGGAGGGCTCTGTCCTAACTTATTTTCTTGATTCTTTCCTTGGTCTTTTCTTTCATTTTTTATTTTTATGTTGGTGGGTTAATGCACTGTTTGTATTAGTGGTACCCACTGGTTGTTTTTCAAAGTTAGGGAGGAAGAGGACAGAGTTTTAGTTTCCTGGGGTTTTGAACAGTGTGGTCTGCATGATGGCTTCGCAGCCTAGCGCGGAGTAGACGCTGTCGTTACGGCATGGATTCAGGTGTGTTCCTGAGAATGGAATTAAGGTGGAGGAGGTTCTGCTCGCGGTCGGCGAACAGGTAAGAGCTGAATTTATACATTCCGCTTCCAGAATGAACAAAGCTGTGGTTGTGTTCATGAAAAGAGCAAATTTGGTGGGTAGGCTCATTGCTAGTGGAATATTTGTAAGGGGTGTGTTGGTGCCAATTTCTCCTCTTTCTACCACTTCGCCTAGGGTGGTAGTTGGAAATTTGCCTCCATTTATTACGGATGATCAAATCAGAAAAGAGCTGAGTCGTTTTGGTAAGTTTGCTAGCGGTTTTTGGGTACTGTCGGCATGTTTTCAGGCATGTTGTTTCGTTCCAGAGGCAAGTGTTCATGTTTCTGATTAACAATGAGCAACAGTTAAATGTGCATTTTAAAGTGAGGCATGGGGAGGGGCTCTATGCAGGGTTTGCCAGCACAGATAGTCTACGGTACTTTGAGTGTGGGGATTTGGGGCATAAGAGCTTGGCATGCCCACATAAAGGCCGTAGACAAGGTGAGGGTACAAGCGCCAGTGGGGGAAATCGAGGTCAATGTGCAGGGGGCCATGAGACACAGGCAGCAGATGCTGGGCCTAGTCATGCTATAGATGGTGGTATAGATGAGGCTGGGTCTAGTCATGCTATGGATGGTGGTTTAGATGAGGCTGGGCCTAGTCATGCTAGAGATGGTGGTGTAGATGAGGCTGGGTCTAGTCATGCTAAAGATGATGGTGTAGATGAAGCTGGGTCTAGTCATGCTAGAGATGGTGGTGTAGATGAGGCTGGGTCTAGTCATGCTAGAGATGGTGGTGTAGATGAGGCTGGGTCTAGTCAGGCTATAGATGGTGGTGTAGCTGAGGCTGGGTCTAGTCATGTTATGGATGGTGGTGTAGCTGAGACTGGGTCTAGTCATGTCATGGATGGTGGTGTAGCTGAGACTGGGTCTAGTCATGTCATGGATGGTGGTGTAGATGAGGCTGGGCCTAGTCAGGTTATGCTAGTGGATGAGGAGAGTATAGTGGGAAAGGGGAAGCGACTGGGGGGTGGGGGGGTGGAGGAGGGTGTCAAGCTGAAGAGGAAAAAGGGGGAAAAGAAAGGAGGTGGCTGGTGTGGTCAAAGGCACCAAGGAACCTATGCCTGGTGCTGGGGGGAGGCCACGACTAGAGAGAAAGGGCAGGTGGTAAGGATGGGAGATGGAGATGAGGAGGAGGGAATTGAGTCTGAGGAAGAGGAAGATGAGGAGGATTTATTTTCAGACTCCTCCTCAATGGGTCCAGAGCTGACAGCCAGCCATCAAAGGGGTCAAAGTACACGGTGAGGGAACTGTCAAGTTTCTTGAATGAGACTAAAGGGAAAAAGGTTAATCTTGATTTATTTTTTTGAGATCCGGGGAAGTTTGTAAGATCAGTACAACACGCTATGAAAAATGAGGGGCATGGTGTCCTCTCACCCAGGAAACGTTTTAGGTTGAGGAAGTGGGTCAAAACCGTGCGTAAGGGTCTACCTTCAGATGCTGTTTAGATGAATAATTTTTTTATGGCACTGGGGCTTTTTGAGCTTTGCTATTGGTCTCTTTCTTTGCTGGCTTTTCTCCCAATTCCTATGGAGACTCTTCGGGTAGGCTTGCTTAATATAAATGGCGCCAGAGATGCGGGAAAGGAGTCTGTTGGAGGAGTCTGTTGGGTGAATATGTAAAACTAAAAAAAGTACAGGTGTTGTTTCTGCAGGAGACGCATAGTGATGTGGTGAATGAAGTTGATTGGGGGCTCTGGTGGAAAGGGACAAGTGTGCTGAGCCATGGAACAAATGTTAGTGCAGGGGTGGCAGTCCTTTTTGCACCGGGTCTGGCCGTAAAAATGTGCTCCTCAAAGGAGGTGTGTAGGGGTAGACTGCTTGTAGTAAAAGCATAAGTTAACAACAGGTGTTTTGTCCTTATAAATGTGTATGCACCTAACACAGGGGGAGAGAGGGGGCGTCTGTTTGGGTGTCTTAGACAGGAACTCTCACAGGTAGCGCCTGAGGAAACGCTGGTGGTCGGTGTGGACTGGAACTGTATGATGGATTTTACGAAATACAGAAATGGGAGGAGCCTCATTCAGGCTCAGTGGGGGTGTTAAGGGACATCATTAATCAGTTTGACCTAGTGGATGTTTGGAGAACTAGCATCCCAACACAAGACAGTATACATGGGTGAATGTCTTTGGGGCTAGGGTGAGTGCAGCCCGACTCGATAGGTTTTATGTTTAGGAATCAGAGCTATAGGCTGTTGGGCGCTACCATTCTCCCGGTGGGTTTTTCTGATCACCACATAACCATGGCTCGGCTGTCTATTTCACCAGGGCCTCGGCAGGCATCCTATTGGAAGTTTAATGTAAAGCTTTTAAAAAATGCCACTTTTTGCTCAGGTTTCCAGACTTTTTGGGAAAGGTGGGGGCAGCGAAGAGATGAGTATGAGTCTCTGAGTCAATGGTGGGATGTGGGAAAAGTCCAAATTCGGCTTTTCTGTCAACAGTATACAGCTCTCTCATCCTCAGAGGCTAGGAGAATATTGGGGGAACTTGAGCGTGGTATCAGTTAATTGGAGGTAGAGCTGGTGGGGCAAGGCAATGTAGGCCTCCAGGCTAATTTAGCTGAATTACGTAGGGACCTGGGCAGTTTTTTCCAGGCTAAAGCAAAGGGAGCACTTGTAAGAGCTAGGTTCTCCATGCTCAAGGAGATGGATGCTCCCAGCTCCTTCTTCTTTGGTTTGGAAAGACAGAGGGGTGAAGCCAAGGGTATGCATTGTCTACGGCTGTCGGATGAGCGGTTGACTTCTGTGGTGGGGGAGATGCGGGAGCGGACTGTGGAGTTTTATACTGAGTTGTATAGGGCAGAACTGTGTGATCCTATGTGTGCTCAGGTTTTGTTTGCAGAACTGGGGAATAATTGGACTGGACTTCTTTTGCATGTTGAGTTAGTGCGTTGGGGTAGGCGACTCTGACTCTCCTGCCCAAAAAAGGGGACTTGTGTGAACTTAAGAACTGGAGGCCTGTGGCATTGTTCTGTGCGGTCTACAAGATATTTGCCAAGGTACTCGCTAACAGACTGAAGTCCCATCTGAACTCTATAGTACACAAGGACCAGACATATTGTGTACCGGGATGCTCAATCACGGACAACTTGTTCTTAATCAGGGACATGTTGGACTCTTTAGATCAAGATAAAGATTTTGATAGAGTGGACCATGAGTATCTGTTTAATGTAATGTCTGTGATTGGGTTTGGGGAAAGGTTTTTGGCATGTGTGAAGATGTTGTATGGTCGTCATTTATGGTCAAGGTGGGAGGGGGGCTCAGTAGGCCAGTCTGGGTGAGTCGGGGCATTAGACAAGGATGCCCTCTATCGGGGCAGTTATATACACTAGCTATTGAGCCTTTTCTGGGCGTGCTACGCAGGAGACTGCAGGGTGTCTGCTGGACAGGTATGGGTGTGTTGACAGGCATAGCAGTGTCGGCGTATGCAGATTAGGTTTCTGTGATGGTCAGGGTGTCACATTCGTTCAAGGACGGGTCAGACCAAGGCGCAGCGTGATATGCGTACATGTTTATTTAACTTATAAACACACGACAAAACAACAAACGAAACGAAACGTGAAGTCCAAAGGTTGAACACACAACAAACCTTAGATCCCACATCTAAACAGTGCCAATCGGCTGCCTAAGTATGATCCCCAATCAGAGACAACGAGCGACAGCTGCCTCTGATTGGGAACCACACCGGCCAACATAGATCTATACATACTAGATACACCACATAGAATATACACAACAAAGAATATACACACCCTGACTCAACATATACGAGTCCCCTGAGTCAGGGCGTGACAGTACCCCCCCCCCCCCCCCCCCCAAAGGTGCGGACTCCAACCGCACAACCTTCACCTAACAGGGTAGGGGCCGGGTGGGCATTCCGCCTCGGAGGCGGCTCCGGCTCCGGGCGTGACGACCTCTTACTCTCCGCCTTCCTGTTGCGCCCCTGGTCTGGTCTGGACCTCGGCGCGCTGCTTCCCCTCTCCTTCCTCCCATGATACTCCAGGCCCTGTCTGGACCCTGGTGTGGGAGACCTCGAACCTGGAGAGGGGCTGACGTCTGGGTCTGGACTGGAGCCGCTGACTGGAGCTGGACTAGCTTGGTGCGAGGAGCAGGAACGGGCCGGGCCGGACTGGCGATGCGCACCACTGGCTTGGTGCGGGGAGCAGGCACGGGCTGTACCGGACTGGGAACACGCACCACTGGCTTGGTGCGAGGAACAGGAACGGGCCGGGCCGGACTGGCGACACGCACCACTGGCTTGGTGCGAGGAGCAGGAACAGGCCGGGCCGGACTGGCGACGCGCACCACTGGCTTGGTGCGAGGGGCAGGAACAGGCCGGGCCGGACTGGCGACGCGCACCACTGGCTTGGTGCGAGGAGCAGGAACAGGCCGGGCCGGACTGGGACCATGCACCACTGGCTTGGTGCGAGGCGCAGGAACAGGCCGGGTCGGACTGGCGACGCGCGCCACTGGCTTGGTGCGAGGAGCAGGAACAGGCCGGGCCGGACTGGCGACGCGCACCACTGGCTTGGTGCGAGGAGCAGGAACAGGCCGGGTTGGACTGTGGAGGCGGACTGGAGGTCTGGAGCGGAGAGTTGGCACAACCCGTCCCGGCTGGATGCCTACTTCCGCACAGTATGTGTGAGGCATCAGCACAGGACGCACTGGGCTGTGCACGCGCACTGGCGATACAGTTCGTAGAACCGGCGCAGGATATGCGGGACCGAGGAGGCGTACTGGAGACCAGGAGCGTTGAACCGGCACACCCCGTCCTGGCTGGATGCCCATCTTCGCACGGCACGTGCGTGGTGCAAGCACAGGACGAACAGGACTGTGCCGGCACACTGGCGACACAGTACGTAGCTCCGCATAACACGAAGCCTGCCCAGTCACACGCTTCCTCGCGTGAGTACGGGGAGCTGACACTAGGCCCCGCCAACCACCCTGTGTGCCCCCCCAAAAAATGTTTATTGGGGCTGCTTCTCTGGCTTCCTCCTCGACCGGCCTCCTCTGTGTTGCCGTTGCTCCTCTCCTGCCTGGGCATCTACCTTCGCCCATGGTCCTCTCCCAGAAAATATCTCTTCCCATGACCACAAATTGCCCACCTGTGACATGGCTATTCGCTCTGCCTGGGCACGCTGCTTGGTCCTCGTTTGGTGGGATCTTCTGTCACGTTCGTTCAAGGACGGGTCAGACCAAGGCGCAGCGTGATATGCGTACATGTTTATTTAACTTATAAACACATGACAAAACAACAAACGAAACGAAACGTGAAGTTCAAAGGTTGAACACACAACAAACCTTACACGGAACAAGATCCCACAACTAAACAGTGCCAATCGGCTGCCTAAGTACGATCCCCAATCAGAGACAACGAGCGACAGCTGCCTCTGATTGGCAACCACACCGGCCAACATAGATCTATACATACTAGATACACCACATAGAATATACACAACAAAGAAGATACACACCCTGACTCAACATATACGAGTCCCCTGAGTCAGGGCGTGACACAGGGATGGGCAGGATATGCAGGCACTAGAGACTAGTCTGAAGGTGTACAAGGGAGCTTCGTCAGCTAAGGTGAACTGGGGCAAGAGCAAAGCTCTGTTATGTGGGGCATGGAGGGATAGCCCCCCCCCCTCTGCTTCCAGGGGGTTTGTGAAGGGCTTAACATTTTGGGGGTGTACCTGGGCTCGGAGAGGTGGGTCAGGAAGAACTGGGAGGGGCTGTCACAGGCAGTGGTGTCAAGACTGGCCAAGTGGAGGTGGCTCCTGTCCCAAGTGTCATAAAGAGGGAGGGTGCTGATAATCATCAACCTGGTGGCATCTTCCCTGTGGCATAAACTGCTCGCAGACCTGCAACGCAAGATTTTTTCTGGTCGGGCCATCACTGCCTGAGGGCGGCAGTGTTGTATATAATAATATAATAATAATATGCCATTTAGCAGACGCTTTTATCCAAAGCGACTTACAGTCATGCGTGCATACATTTTTTTTGTGTATGGGTGGTCCCGGGGATCGAACCCACTACCTTGGCGTTACAAGCGCCGTGCTCTACCAGCTGAGCTACAGAGGACCACAACACTATATGTCCGTACATGAAGGAGGACAGGGCCTGGTGGAACTGGAGAGCAGGGTGTCTGCATTCCGACTAAAGGCGGCGCAGAGACTGCTGTACCATACTGATGTCGGCTGGAGGGAACCAGCATGTGCGCTGCTGAGGAGAGCTGGCGGATTAGGGTTGGACCGGCAGCTATTCCTTATGAGGCTGAGTACAGCAGGTCTCTCAGATTTTTACTCTGCGGTGCTGAGGGCCCGGCAGCTGCTAAGACCCACACGAGAAGGGGGTGTGGAGCCTGGGCTGTGGGTGTGGGAGGAGCTTATCTTCCACAACCCAGCCATCCTTTTGAGATCGGTTCAGTCGGCCATCCTGCAGAGGCGACTGATGGCAGTGGGTTTACTAAGGCTGGGTGACCTGCGACTGCTGGGAGAGGAGGGGTGGAAAACCCCGGAAGTCCTGGCACAACAAACAGGACTAACATCTCTTAGGCTGCTAGAGAGATTCCTGGGGGAAGTCCAGGAGGCACTGTCTGAGCCGGTAAGGGGGGTGTTTGAGCGGCCAAAGGGTGAGGGGCCACCAATGTTTCCGCCACTGCAGGTGACGGCAGAGACTGGGGACTGGTAAGGGGGTCTGGAGGACTTGTTAGATTTTAACACTCCGAGCCTGGGGGAGTTTGAGGGGGTAGGAGGTAAAGCCCTCTACAACCTCTGCATTAAGGTAAGGAACATTAGGAGCCTAACAGGAGTGAAGGCACATCAGTGGAAGGGGGTATGTGGGGCGGAGAGTATGGTGTGTTTTAGATGGAGGGGGCTGTACAAACTCCCAGTGCCAAAGAGGTCAGGGGACCTCCAGTGGAGGGTTCTACATGGAGTCCTGGACACAAACAGCTGGTTGGCACGGATTGACCCGGGAGTCGGACAGGGGTGTCCTTTCTGTGTCATGAGTGAAACTGTGATTCATGTGTTTTCTGTGTGCGCCAGGTTAATGCCATTAATGTCTCTGTTGGAATGTCTGTGTAAGAGGTTGGGGGTGGAGTTTACTGTCGGGATGTTTATAATGGGGTACAGGTATTCAAATAAGGAAAATACCAAATGTGTGTTGTTGAATTTTCTGTTTGCTCAGGCAAAGTTGGCTATTTGGCTAACAAGGAGGAACAGGGTCAAAGGTGGGGGGATAACAGACCCTTTACTATTATTTAATGGGATGGTCTAATAGCAACTAATCTGCTATATTCTGATAGGTCAGATGTTGTTAATTGTTTGAGCAAGAACAGGATGTAGAGAAGTTGATGCATGGCTGTGAATGTGGTCACTCAGTTCATCATTATAGTTGTTTTCAATCACTTTAGTGCAATTTTCACAAGTACAGTGGGGAGAACAAGTATTTGATACACTGCCGATTTTGCAGGTTTTCCTACTTACAAAGCATGTAGAGGTCTGTAATTTTTATCATAGGTACACTTCAACTGTGAGAGACTGAATCTAAAACAAAAACAGAAAATCACATTGTATGATTTTTAAGGAATTTATTTGCATTTTATTGCATGACAGAAGTATTTGATCACCTACCAACCAGTAAGAATTCTGGCTCTCACAGACCTTTTTCTTTAAGAAGCCCTCCTGTTCTCCACTCATTACCTGTATTAACTGCACCTGTTTGAACTCGTTACCTGTATAAAAGACACCTGTCCACACACTCAATCAAACAGACTCCAACCTCTCCACAATGGCCAAGACCAGAGAGCTGTGTAAGGACATCAGGGATAAAATTGTAGACCTGCACAAGGCTGGGATGGGCTACAGGACAATAGGCAAGCAGCTTGGTGAGAAGGCAACAACTGTTGGCGCAATTATTAGAAAATGCAAGAAGTTCAAGATGACGGTCAATCACCTTCGGTCTGGGGCTCCATGCAAGATCTCACCTCGTGGGGCATCAATTTATTTTTATTTTTATTTATTTATTTATTTATTTCACCTTTATTTAACCAGGTAAGCCAGTTGAGAACAGGTTCTCATTTACAACTGCGACCTGGCCAAGATAAAGCAAAGCAGTGCAATAAAAACAACACAGAGTTACATATGGGGTAAAAAACATAAAGTCAAAAATACAACAGAAAATATATATACAGTGTGTGCAAATGTAGCAAGTTATGGAGGTAAGGCAATAAATAGGCTATAGTGCAAAATAATTACAATAGTATTAACACTGGAATGCTAGATGTGCAAGAGATTATGTGCAAATAGAGATACTGGGGTGCAAAAGAGCAAAATAAATAACAATATGGGGATGAGGTAGTTGGGTGGGCTAATCATACAAAGTGATTTTCTGTTTTTGTTTTAGATTCCGTCTCTCACAGTTGAAGTGTACCTATGATAAAAATTACAGACCTCTACATGCTTTGTAAGTAGGAAAACCTGCAAAATCTGCAGTGTATCAAATACTTGTTATCCCCACTGTATATGCTACATTTTCGCAACTCTTAGTACAAAACTCAAAACAGATCATAAAAAAGGCAGCTGTTTCAAAACTCTAAGCACATTTTCAATTGACTGAGTACATCACACAAAATCATACAGTCACTTTTTCATAAAACTTAATCATTGTTTTATCTAGAAATACATGTTTCATATAGAGTACTTGCATATAGAGTACTTGCTTTTCAAAATGCAATGCTCAAATGACTTTTGATATGATTGTCTTCTAATTTGTTAAAATACAATTTACTATTACTTAATCCATTTTTTAAATATTATAACCACTTAACCGTTTGGTAAACCTATAGATTTTAAACAGGTTTGTGTACTATATACATATCTTAAGACCTACAGAACTAATATTTATGTTTGTAAAGTATAAAGATATAAAGTATGATATATATACTGCAATGTAATATTATGATGATGACTATTAAGATTTTACTTTAGAGTAAAACATCTGATATTGACAGGAACAGAAATGTACTGCATGTAATAAATGCATCCCTTTTACAGTAAACATGTATCCAAAATGAAGTTACTGGGATCTAAAGGGTTTTAACACTGCTTTACTCAAATTGCATTGGCCAATACTGTAAACTTTGCCATTTACATAGCAGACACTTTTATCAAGTTTCAACAGTTATTCTATACATTTTCCTATGTGACCCCAGTGGGAATCGAACACACAACCCTAATGTTGCTAGTGCCATGCTCTTACCAACTGAACCACACAGGACCACTACAATACATAATTACAATACAATACTGTAAAATACAATACATGATTACAATACATAATGACTACTCATTATTCAAGTGCCTGGACAATGTGGGGGAAACATCTCCATGTCGATGAGAACCTATGGCCAAATGCTCAATATAGTTTTGAAGCAAACTAGTGCCTGCTAAACGTAATGTTTGTTTCATTAATTTAATTTGTTTAATTACATTTGTTTAATTTGAATACGGTACACTAATGTTGTAATTATATCAACAACACCAAAAAATTGCATCAATGATTGTAAAACATGTCTTCATTGATCACACATGGGAAATTATGGAAATTAGATTTTCACTAAATGTGTGTGTGTATTGCAAGTGTATAGCCTAATGTAAAATCAGTGTACTGTTCTGTAATTTACAGTACTGTACTACATTCAAAGGGACATTTTGAAACATTGTATCTTGCATTTTTTGCTATTGGATTAACTGGTTGTTAAAACAACTAAATTGAGAAGATATAGTCATGTTTTGTTTTGGTGATTAAATCAATGTTCTCATGGTATTTCACAGTACATTTATATTTTGGATCAATGGTTGTGTGGTGAAAGATGTCTCCAAACAAAATGAATGCACAATTAAAGGTTTTGAAAATAAGACTTGCTGCGTTACAAGTGTTGCCAGTTTGGAGTTTTGTACTAAGAGTTTTGAAAATTCACCACATGCTTGTGAAAATTGTGATTAAAAAAAACTGAAATATGCAAAAGAGTAATCAGTCTCCATCCAGTGTTTGTCTACATAGAGAGTCATCCATCCACCATCTGATCTAATCCAGTGGTTGTCTACATAGAGAGTCATCCATCCACCATCTGATCTAATCCAGTGGTTCCTAAACTGTGGGGTGGTTCCCAAACTAAAGGAACTCAGTCCGGCTTTAAACGTACTTTTGAAAGTTGCACAATAGTAGAATGCACAAGGTGCAATTTTGAAATTGGGAAGTGCATCATCAGTTCCTCTTGCCATCTTAGTCATTGCATACCTTAGAGAGCTATTTATAACTTGTCAGAAATGTCCAGATCAACTAGCCCATGTCAGCTAACGTTTTTTCATGTAGTTTTTTTAGCCCATAGATATTTCTGTAATTTTTTTGTCACTCAAATATCACATGAATACACATTTGACATGGCGAAATGTATAGAATTGCAAGAAAATTAGCTTTAAAACTGATAAATGTTTTTTTGCACCCCATGACAAAATGTGTAGAATAGCAGGAAATAAGCTTTAAACCTGCAAAATTATTTCCAGCAACAAGCGGGGTGTGGGATGTTACCCAATGCTGGAAGGGGGGCCCTGAGTGAAAAAGTTTGGGAATCCCTGATCTAAAGGAACTACACTGGTTTTGAAAGGCAGATAGAAGTAATTACATCCTCAACCGTATCTCTTAATTCTCTTGACATTTACAAACCATATACTTAACTCTCAAACAATATTAGAGGCTTAATGCATAGCTCACATCTAAGGCCTTACCATAAAGGCTGCTGTTGTTTAACCCATAAGAATCTAAGCCCTGTCTAAGCTGGGAGGTTCTACTAAGCTATATGGAATTGTTTTAAAAAGGTCATACCAAGGATAATTTTGCTATTTGATTTTGAATTTGAAACCCCTTTAAGTATAAAAAAATATATATTAAAACATTATTTGATTAACATTTTTATTTGGCCTTACTGCTATTGAACCATACAAATGCATTGAATAACAGATTCAACAGATAGTTCCCAACAAATTCTAAAGGAAGTTTGTTCTGAAGTGTCTGTCCTATATCTGAGAGATACTTTTGTATATATAGTGTATGTGGACACCCCTTCAAATGAGAGGATTCAGTCATTTCAGCCACACCCGTTGCTGACAGGTGTATAAAATCGAGCACACAGCCATGCAATCTCCATAGACAAACATTGGCAGTAGAGTGGCCTTATTGAAGAGCTCAGTTTCTTTCAACGTGGCACTGTCATAGGATGCCACCTTTCCAACAAGTCAGTTCATCAAATTTCTGCCCTGCTAGAGCTGCCCCGGTCAACTGTAAGTGCGGTTATTGTGAAGTGGAAAGGTCTAGGAGCTCAGCCGCGAAGTGGTAGGCCACACAAGCTCACAGAACAGGACCGTCGAGTGCTGAAGCACGTAGCGCGTAAAAATCGTCTGTCCTCGATTGCAACACTCACTACCATGTTCCAAACTGCCTCTGGAAGCAATGTCAGCATAATAACTGTTTGTTGGGAGCTTCATGAAATGGGTTTCCATGGCCGAGCAGCCGCACATAAGCCTAAGATCACCATGCGCTATGCCATGCGTCGGCTGGAGTAGTGTAAAGCTCGCCGCCATTGGACTCTGGAAACGCGTTCTCTGGAGTGATGAATCACGCTTCACCATCTGGCAGTCCGACGGACGAATCTGGGTTTGGCGGATGCCAGGAGAATGCTACCTGCCCAAATGCATAGTGCCAACTTTAAAGTTTGGTGCAGGAGAAATAATGGTCTGGAGCTGTTTTTCATGGTTCGGGCTAGGTCCCTTAGTTCCAGTGAAGGGATACATATACAGTTGAAGTCGGAAGTTAGGACATCTACTTTGTGCATGACACAAGTAATTTTTCCAACAATTGTTTACAGACAGATTATTTCACTTATAATTCATTGTAACACAATTTCAGTGGGTCAGAAGTTTACTACATATACTAAGTTGACTGTGCCTTTAAACAGCTTGGAAAATTCCAGAAAATGATGTCATGGCTTTAGAAGCTTCTGATAGGCTAATTGGCATCATTTGAGTTAATTGTAGGTGTACCTGTGGATGTATTTCAAGGCCTACCTTCAAACACAGTGCCTCTTTGCTTGACATCATGGGAAAATGAAAAGAAATCAGCCAAGACCTCAGAAAAAAATTGTAGACCTCCACAAGTCTGGTTCATCCTTGGGAGCAATTTCCAAATGCCTGAAGGTACCATGTTCATCTGTACAAACAATAGTACGCAAGTATAAACACCATGTGACCACGCAGCCGTCATACCGCTCAGGAAGGAGACGTGTTCTGTCTCCTAGAGATGAACGTACTTTGGTGCGAAAAGTGCAAATCAATCCCAGAACAACAGCAAAGGACCTTGTGAAGATGCTGGAAGAAACAGGTACAAAAGTATCTATATCCACAGTAAAACGAGTTCTATATCGACATAACCTGAAAGGCCGCTCAGCAAGGAAGAAGCCACTGCTCCAAAACCGCCATAAAAAAGCCAGACTACGGTTTGCAACTGCACATGGGGACAAAGATCATACTTTTTGGAGAAATGTCCTCTGGTCTGATGAAACAAAAATAGAACTGTTGGCCCATAATGACCTTCGTTATGTTTGGAGGAAAAAGGGGGTTGCTTACAAGCCGAAGAACACCATCCCAACCGTGAAGCACTGGGGTGGCAGCATCATGCTGTGGGGGTGGTTTGCTGCAGGAGGGACTGGTGCACTTCACAAAATAGATGGCATCATGAGGAAGGAAAATTATGTGGATATATTGAAGCAACATCTCAAGACATCAGTCAGGAAGTTAAAGCTTGGTCACAAATGGGTCTTCCAAATGGACAATGACCCCAAGCATTCTTCCAAAGTTGTGGCAAAATGGCTTAAGGACAACAAAGTCAAGATATTGGAGTGGCCATCACAAAGCCCTGACCTCAATCCTATAGAATTTTTACCAGGATTAAATGTCAGGAATTGTGAAAAACTGAGTTTAAATGTATTTGGCTAAGGTGTATGTAAACTTCCGACTTAAACTGTATCTTTTCTTTTTACTTTTACCCCTTTTCCTCCACAATTTCGTGATATCCAATTGGTAATTACAGTCTTGTCCCATCGCTGCAACTCCCCTACAGACACGGGAGAAGCGAAGGACGAGAGCCAGCCGCACCAATGTGTCGGAGGAAACACTGTCCAGCTGGCGACCAAAGTCAGCTTGCAGGAGCCCAGCCCGCCACAAGGAGTCGCTAGAGAGCGATGGGACAAAGAAATCCCAGTTGGCCAAACCCTCCCCTAACCCGGACGACGCTGGGCCAATTGTACACCGCCTCATGGGTCTCTCGGTCACGGCCGGCTGTGACACATCCTGGGATTGAACCCGGGTCTGTAGTGATGCCACTCGGGAGGCCCCAGTCAAGGGAAATCTTAACGCTACAGCATACAATAACATTCTAGACGATTCTGTGCTTCCAACTTTGTGGCAACAGTTTCGGGAAGGCCCTTTCCTGTATCAGCATGACAATGCCCCCGTGCACAAATTGAGGTCCTTACAGAAATGTTTTGTTGAGACCTTTGGGATGAATTGGAACACCGGCTGCGAGCCAGGCCTTATCGGCCAACATAATTGCCTGACCTCACTAATGCTCGTGGCTGAATGGAAGCAAGTCCCCACAGCAATGTTCCAACATCTAGTGGAAAGCTTTCGCAGAAGGGCGGAGGCTGTTATAGCAGCAAAGGGGGGACCAACTCCATATTAATGCCCATGATTTTGTAATGAGATGTTCGATGAGCAGGTGTCCACATACTTTTGGTCATGTAGTGTATTTGTTGTCAATGTTTTAGCTTCAAACTGGTGGCAGTTGTGAAGAAAAGTCAATAGTTGGAAGAGTTGTAGAGTTAATTGAACATAATTACGTTGTTGATTAGATGTTTTTTTCATTAATTAGTCAATTTTTACTTTTGGTCATGTAGTGTATAAGGAAGATCAGGAAACATAAAAAAAAATAAAAAATAATCATATATTTAACCCCTTATTTTTTGGCACTAAACAGTCTCCATATATATTTACATTTTTAGTCATTTAGCAGACGCTCTTATCCAGAGCGACTTACAGTTAGTGAGTGCATACATTATTATTAATTTTTTTATTTTATTAATTTTTTTATACTGGCCCCCCGTGGGAATCGAACCCACAACCCTGGCGTTGCAAACGCCATGCTCTACCAACTGAGCTACCTCCCTGCCAGCCATTCCCTCCCCTACCCTGGACCAATTGTGCGCCGCCCCATGGGTCTCCCGGTCGCAGCCGGCTACGACAGAGCCTGGATTCGAACCAGGATCTCTAGTGGCACAGCTAGCACTGCGATGCAGTGCCTTAGACCACTGCGCCACTCGGGTACCCACTGGTACCGGGGGACCTTCAGACGAGTCTTGTGAGGGCTGTGGGCGTCATGTACAGTACGTGTTAGTGATAGTCTCACCTTTCCACAGAGGGGTCATATGAGTGTGTTGCCCAAACTGTTCGGATGCTACAGAGAGAAGTAGGCAGATCAGCTGTACCAACTTCAGACGACTCCCAAGACGCTTGTGGGGGTTCTATAGAGGGGTCATAATAGTTTGTAGGCCAAACCGTTCGGATGCTACAGAATATTTTTTGAGAAGACACATTTTTGGGATGTCTCATGGTCTGACAAACACCGCTCTGGGTCTGTCACCTTTCACCGCAGATGCGGAAGTGCGACTGAGGTGGATGCCGTGGATTGAGACGCATCCAATGAAAAAATAAAGATATCTCTAGCTTAAACTGACAGGTTTTTATGAGGATTTTTATTATGCTATTTCGATTTTCATGGGGTGCGGACATCGACCTTAGGGGGATAGTCTGCACAACGAGGATATCTAAGGAAAATCTAACATCGTTCACCTCAGTTGCACTCTCTCTGACAACATCATGAAACTTTTAGACACCAACTACATCATTTCCCCCATTCTGATTCATACTTCTTCCGACTGTGTCACGATGTCGCTCTGATGTGAATACCAGCTTCATACCCTCATACTGTGTCCTACAGTGCAATGCTGCGGTGGACTGGCCACCCAAACAAAAAATGCCATTTACCGTAATCATTTGGCCAGGGGGCAACATTAATCTAAAACCCTGCTAACTAATTAGCTAAGTACAGCTCTCTCTTCCATATTTCAGTGGGTTGAATAAGGCCTGGCTTTGGCCTCACACTACTTGGAGGTGATTGAGCACCGAGGCCCATCTATGGCTGTGATGGCAGAGGAGTTATGAAGGCAAAAGCTGCCAATACTCATCACCTCCTTTCCCTGGGTGTTGGAAGACAGAGGCTTTGATGAAAATGTCAAGCCGTCTTTTTATTATTGAAAATCATTAGCTGCTAAAGATCACAACAGCGGAGGAGAGCATAAACAAGAGATGGTAAACAGAGGTAAGAAGAGGTAGGGCTGGGGTGGTTTGGGCTAACCGTGCTGTCTGTGGTCCGGGACAGACAGATGGATGGACAGACATACACAGACAGACAGACAGACAGACAGACAGACAGGCAGACAGACAGACAGGTATGGAAGTGGAAATGCTGTCAAAGGCCCATTCATCATTAGCAGAATGGACGTGCTACAGGAGGCGCCATTTCCCTGCACTCTTTGATGCGTGTCTTTCTATTCTCAGTACGTACACACAAACACACACACACACATACAGTGCCTTCCAAAAGTATTCATCCCCCTTGGTGTTTGTCCTATTTTGTTGCATTACAACCTGTCATTTAAATTGATTTTTATTTGGATTTCATGTAATGACTGTAAGTCGCTTTGGATAAAAGCGTCTGCTAAATGGCATATTATTATTATTATTATTATTAATGGACTTACACAAAATAGTCCAAATTGGTGAAGTGAAATGAAAAAAATAACTTGTTTCAAAAATTCTAAAAAATAAATAACGGAAAAATGGTGTGTGCATATGTATTCACCCCCTTTGCTATGAAGCCCCTAAATAAGATCTGGTGCAACCAATTACCTTCAGAAGGCACATAATTAGTTAAATAAAGTCCACCTGTGTGCAATCTAAGTGTCACATGATCTGTCACATGATCTCAGTATATATACACATGTTCTGAAAGGCCCCAGAGTCTGCAACACCACTAAGCAAGGGGCACCACCAAGCAAGCGGCACCATGAAGACCAAGGAGCTCTCCAAACAGGTCAGGGTCAAAGTTGTGGAGAAGTACAGATCAGGGTTGGGTTATAAAAAAATGTCAGAAACTTTGAACATCCCACGGAGCACCATTAAATCCATTATTAAAAAATTGAAAGAATATGACACCACAACAAACCTGCCAAGAGATGGCGGCCCACCAAAAATCCCGGACCAGGCAAGGAGGGCATTAATCAGAGAGGCAACAAAGAGACCAAAGATAACCCTGAAGGAGCTGCAAAGCTCCACAGCGGAGATTGGAGTATCTGTCCATAGGACCACTTTAATCCGTACACTCCACAGAGCTGGGCTTTACGTAAGAGTGGCCAGAAAAAAGCCATTGCTTAAAGAAAAAAATAAGCAAACATGTTTGGTGTTCGCCAAAAGGCATGTGGGAGACTCCCCAAACATATGGAAGAAGGTACTCTGGTCAGATGAGACTAAAATTGAGCTTTTTGGCCATCAAGGAAAACGCCTCTCATCACCCCGAGAACACCATCCTTTCCGTTTTTTTGTCTTATTTCTTGTTTCTTTCACAATAAAAAATATTTTGCATCTTCAAAGTGGTAGGCATGTTGTGTAACTCAAATTATACAAACCCCCCAAAAGTCCATTTTAATTCCAGGTTGTAAGGCAACAAAATAGGAAAAATGCCAAGGGGGATGAATACTTTCGCAAGCCACTGTACACACGATCCCCTGCACAAACGCATGTGTCTCTGTGTGTGCTTGTCTGTGACAGGACAGCTATGTCCCTCTACATGGGAGAAGGATGTTCTTGGAACACTGAGTGACCCGTGATGCTATGTTCCACACTAGGTCTGAAGGAACCACAGGCTAACTGTACAACACCACACAATCACCATGGTTATTGTTATTGAGACTATTTCAAATCAAATCAAATCAAATTTTATTGGCCACATGCGCCGAATACAACAGGTGCAGACATTACAGTGAAATGCTTACTTACAGCCCTTAACCAACAGTGCATTTATTTTTAATAAAAAAGTAAAAATAAAACAACAACAAAAAAAGTGTTGAGAAAAAAAGAGCAGAAGTAAAATAAAATAACAGTAGGGAGGCTATATATACAGGGGGGTACCGGTGCAGAGTCAATGTGCGGGGGCACCGGCTAGTTGAGGTAGTTGAAGTAATATGTACATGTGGGCAGAGTTAAAGTGACTGTGCATAAAAATTAACAGAGTAGCAGCAGCGTAAAAGGATGGGGTGGGGGGGCAGTGCAAATAGTCCGGGTAGCCATGATTAGCTGTTCAGGAGTCTTATGGCTTGGGGGTAGAAGCTGTTGAGTCTTTCGGACCTAGACTTGGCACTCCGGTACCGCTTGCCGTGCGGTAGCAGAGAGAACAGTCTATGACTAGGGTGGCTGGAGTCTTTGACAATTTTGAGGGCTTTCCTCTGACACCGCCTGGTATAGAGAGACAAGACGATGCTGTAACATTGTGTAACTGTTTAAAGAACAAGTATAGACAACTCAATGCTTTAATGTTATGTAAGCGTTTAAAGAAGCGTTTTTAAAGCTTGATATTTTGCATCCTTTCACGGTTGAAGGATGGTTAAGTACATAGCGCTGATGATCATGAGCTCATTTTAGTTAACGCTGCTATGGGAATTCATCATTACAGTCTTCACATGACATACAGCAGCTGCAACTGCAAGTGTGGGATTTGCAATTCATGCATCTTGTGCTCATATTACTTTTGAATGATTACAGTTTTACACCGTATAGTACAGAAGCATCTCAGTTGCTTCACTGCGTGAAAAAAGCCCTGGAGGAAGTTTAGAACTCCTTGCGGCTCTAAGAAGATTCAACATGTCCTCCATGACACTAATATGCCACCTAGCGGCTTAACATGGCAATGAGACATCGCTGGCCAGTTTCTCTATGGGGGATTGACTAAGAATGGCCACTATAGGCACCAGTGATGCTCTTTTATGAATGACATTGAGAGGAATGTGGGACAGTTACCACTTATTCTTAAAATTACACAGAATGCGGTGCTGCAAAGTTGCTTCCTTTTGTCATCTGTCATAGCAGATTGGCCCATCATTGACAATTCAACGTCTTCTCCATTTTGGTTCAAAATAATTTCGTTGAAATTATGTGGAAACAACGTTGATTCAACCAGTGTGTGCCCAGTGGGATGTTCATAGAAACAGATTGTTAATATGAAACAAATAGTTCATAGTCTAACTGTTATTTACATGACAGCACACAACATGCGTCACCTTAAGGGGTCAGACACACCGAATGATATGTGTAGTTGTTACTTCGGGCCCTAGTGACAGGTGTCTGAGAACAGGGAGAGAAGCAGTGTGGTTTGGCTAATGTTTTCTCCATCCCAGGAGGGGGAAAGCTCGGAGGAGTGCACAGCTCCTTGTCTGTAACCATCACACTCTACTGGCTTTGAAGTCTTATCAGAGCGCCTGGGACCCCTAAATGAGTGTGTGTGTCTGTGCGTGTCTGTGTGGTGGTGGGGGGGTATTTGAGTAAGTGTGAATTGTGTGATGTGAATATGTATGTGCATGCGTGTGTGTGTGTGCCTGTGTGTGTGTATACTCATGCTCAATAGCTAGCAAGACAAGTCTTTGTACAGTCTGTCTTAATATTTGTGTACTCTGTGTCTGTGTTTGTATGCATGCCCTGTGGGAATGCTCTTCAAACAGTCCATGCCACAGCGCCCAGTGTCTCAACACTAACAAGGCAGCTCCCCCTGACTGACTACCAAACACACACACACACACACACACACACACACACACACACACACACACACACACACACACACACACTGGCCCGCTGCACAGGAACAGTAACAGGTGTGGAGGGCAGGATTGACTGAAGCTCAATTAGCTGGAGCAGCCCCTCCACCTGTGGCTTCCCTCAATCTGTCTTCCAAATTAACAAATACACACACACACACACACACACAAACGACCACACTGCGCCTGACTGCAGACACCTGCACATTGACACGTCTGTGTACGTGTACAGAGTAACACATTAATTACTCACAAAGAAAATAATGTGCACGTACGCACGCACACACATTCCCTAACACACACCCCCATCAACAACTAGAGAGCCAATTTCAGTGGAGTGGCAGTGTGGCAGACAGTGGATTTTAAAGGACTTCACCTTGCAAACCCATGTAAACCCATTAAAAGTCTCCTAAGTTTCCTCTCTCTTTCCTTGTCCCTTTCTCTCTCTGCTCTCTACTCTCTCTCTCTCTGCTCTCTCTCTCTGCTCTCTCTCTCTCTCTCTCTCTCCCTCTCTCAGTCCTCTTTCTAGCTCACGCCTGTTATTGCATTTCCATGCTCTCTTTTAACTCGCCTGCATGCTGCTATTTATGACCAACCACTCTCCACCACCAGCTTATCAGGTACATCTAGCTCCTGTCCCATATTGATGCGCCTTTTTGTTATCAAAACCTCACACCTCCTTGGTTCTTCTCTCTCTTTCCCCATCTCTCTCTATCGCTCTCTCCCCCCTCTCTCCCTTCTCTCTCTCTATCCCTTCAACATCCCCCTCCTTCCCTCTCCAGTTTATGAAGGCCCAGGGACTCCTTGTCGCGATAAGGAAGCTCGGCGGCGACGTGATGGATTTTGTTGGGCAGAAAACACTTTACTTTTGGGTCAGATGAGGTCTGAATCCTGCTGGATAAGCAGGTCAAAAGGAACCGGTGTTGCAGGGAAAACAGCTGACTAAAAAGCAATGAGGAGGATAACCAGTAGACAGGATATACATCAAGTGATGGCGAGAATAAGGGAAGGAGCCGTGGATAAACCAACCGAGAGGAAGGACGAAAGCGTATAATTGATAGACTAGCAAATAGACACCTGGGAGAGGTGGAGGAAATATGAGTTGGAGGGGGATGGGAAAGAGGGATTTAGTGGTATGGCTGTAGTAATCTGGTCTCCCAAGTGCAAATGATACCTGTGGTTCTGTTCACTGCGTATGGCAGTAGTACTATCGTCAGTGTATGAAATCAAGATGACAGGGCAATGTAGTTCAATGGGCTTGACCAGGGATGAAGTGTTGTCCTGTGTTTGATCCAGTGACTCCAGCACTGTGAACCCCTGCTGACAGAGGAAGCCATAAATCCATGGCTTTGAGGTATCCGCTCACTCTGTGTTGAGAAAACCCTCATTTTGAGGTCGACGGTGACTCTATGAGACACTTTACGTTGAGATCATCAAGCAACCTCAGGGCCTGTTGTTGACTTCCTTGTGAGATGAGCAGCTGTATCGCGTTCATGTTATTTGCCGACCTTGACCGTCTCTCAGGTTGGGAACCACATACCTATGATGACATCATGACAGATCCCTAAGATGGGGTAACACATACCTAGGGGTCTAGGGTTTTTTCTCAGTCAGCTCATGTTGTCAGAAACTATAGACATCCATGACCATCCGTATATCCGTATATAACCTTGTTATGCCTCAGAGGACTGAGTGAACTGACCGACAGGGACCACATCTGGTCCTGGTCACACCTACCTCACCTGTAACAACATTTATGGCTCACACATGGGCCTGTACGACCACTTAGAATGGCACAACACATCCCTCTGATGCATGGACACATAAAGCCAGCAACGTATCATTTATGTAGCAATATCATCATCAATATCGATAAACAACCAGGAGAACAGCCAGGAGAAACGTTTGTGTGCACTGTATCTGCTGCATGCATGTAGGGGAAATCAAAGGGCTACGGTACTCCATAATTACTTTCCATAGCACAGCAGTTGGATGCAGAGTATGTGAAGTGTGTCTGATAAAGAGTGCATGAGAGGCTTGATACAGAATTCCCTGTACTGTACTGTAGAGAACTTTCCTGTATGTAGTAAATAGTTTCAAGTTTTATTAGTCGTATGTACAGGATACACATGGTATAAACTGTCCAACAAAATGCTTACTTGCAGGTTCCTTCTCGACAATACAACAACAATAAGAAATAATACAAGATAGGAATACGAACATAAGTAAATGGCTCAGTAGAATAGAATAAACATCTAAGCATAATTATAATACAAGGAGGAATAGTTTATAGTCCATATTTACACGTATATTGGGGAAGGGGGGATTGGGAGGAAAGTGTTTAAATTGTGTAGTATTTTGCAATAATAATAAGAGTCTGGTAGCAGCAGTTGTGATGTGTGTACAGCATGAATGTATATATGTGTGTGTATGTGTGTGTGTGTGTGAATGTGTTTGTGTGAGTGAGTGCATGTGTGCTTAGGTGCGGAGAGTCAGAGCAGGTGGTCAGTCCAGTTCAAGTGTTCAGCAGTCTGATGGCTTGTAGAGAGAAACTGTCTCTGAACCTGTTGGTATCAGACTTCATACTCCAATACCGTCTGCCCAATGGTAAGGGAGTGAACAGCTCGTGGCTGGGGTGTGTGGGGTCCTTGATGATGCTGTGGGCTTCCTCAGGCACCATAGACTTCCTGGATGGGTGGTAGGATGGTCCCAGTGATGTACTGGGCCATCTTCACCACCCGCTGGAGGACCTTGCAGTCGTGGACGGAGCAATTCCCATATCAGGCCATGATGTAACCGGTCAGGACGCTCTCGATGGTGCAGCGGTAGTATTTGGAGAGGACCAGGGGTGGGAAGCCAAATTTCTTCAGCCGCCTTAGGAAGTAGAGATGCTGTTGCGCCCTCTTGACAAGAGTGGTGGTGTTATTGGTCCATGACAAGTCCTGAGTGATGTGGACGCCGAGGAACTTAAAACTGTTGACTCTCTCTACTACAGTCCTGTTGATGTGGATATATACAGAGCGTACTGTACTGTATGCCAGCTGAGGCCCAGTGACTGTCTGTCTACTGCTCCATGCTGTACGCTGCTGTGCGTGTGGCTCCCCAGAGTGAGGAATGAGTGTTCTCTAGGGCCATATTAACTATAATGGAAACAATGATGTGGAATGAGCTCTATAAACCCCTACTCACCTTGAAACTTCAGTCTGCTCCACTCCAAAATCTGTCATGGCTCTGAGTCTATTCTGCTCAGTGCGGTGCTCTGTGCGGTGCTCTGTGCGGTGCTCTGTGGGGTGCTCTGTGGGGTGCTCTGTGCGGTGCTCTGTGGGGTGCTCTGTGCGGTGCTCTGTATTTCATTACTTCAACAACGGACTGTGGCATAGCCATTGAGAGGTTGTTTCTGTCATGTATTTATGTCCCCAGACTACACTATCATAGATATCGTAGTATCAAACTGCAGCATCAACCGTTTCCTCATCACTCATGACTTGGGACTCAAGATATGAAACTATTGCAAAACATTATTTTGCAACACTGCTACAGGATTCATTAAAGGCCCTGTGCAGACAAAAATGTGATTTTCCTGTGTTTTATGTATATTTCCACACTATGAGGTTGGAATAATAATGTGAAAGTGTGAAAATTATGATAATGCCCTTTTAGAGTAAGACCTGTTTGAAAAGACCGCATGCTCCAAACCTTTTTGCCAATAACACTACATTTTCTGTTTTCCCCTCCCCACTCAGACCACTCCCAGACAGTCCTAGCAAAGAAGCTATTTTTTTCTTCTTTTTGACCATTTTAACCTGTTAAACTATCCCCCGCCTCCCCCACCAAAAGTGCACACATTTAGTATGCATGGAAAGAGAACACCCTGATGGTCATTGTAAAGCAATGCATTACCTTTACATTTACATTTACATTTTAGTCATTTAGCAGACGCTCTTATCCAGAGCGACTTACAGTTAGTGAGTGCATACATTTTTCATACTGGCCACATTACCTTGTATGAATCCGCCACATGCGGCGTTAAGTCTGAAGTTTCCTCACCTGTCTGTGTCTTATTTTTTTAACTTGAAAGCCCTGATTGCTAAGGTCATTTTAAGATGTCAGGCTTGAAAATCCGTTCAGACATTTTGGCACAGTGACTCACTACCCAAACCAGACGCAACTTGTTTGAAGTGGCCAAAAGATGTCACGTAATTGCTATCTAGTGGAGGAACTGGGAATCAGACAGGGGATATATTTACATCAATGGATAGGTAGAGACTTCTCCTCATATGTATATCATTCATGTAAGAGGAAAAATGAAAACAGCTATACACTTCAGTGTTTTTGGGCCTGCTGTATTTCTGGCTCTGTAGTCACATTGTTTCTGACACCTTTTTCAGAATCCCACAGTTCTTACCTTTCTAACAGTACTAAGCATGTGTTTGTAGGACCTATCATTTTGAAACCGAAATTTACTTTATGAGGGTAGACAATATTGCAATTATTATGCGTTGTTTAGAAAATTCCACCAGAGGGGTTGAGAGTTTATCAGGTGAATTGAAAACAATCACAGTAAGGTATTAATTGTTACCCAGAAATGAGTTGATATTGAGATAAAAACGGCTGCATTGGACCTTTAATATGACAGTGCATCATTCCATCAAAACGTCCCCTTATGTAAAAGTTCAAGTCAAGGGCTAGACACACATTACTACCTAACTGACTGAGTCTCATCAGGCCTGAGTAATAGGAGGTCATTCATATAATAGTGTTTGTTAATTCAGTTTAAGCAGACAAATGCTTGAACAGGCAAATGTATCCTTGGATAAATTACACCTTCAAACAGTGTGTCCAATAGTTGGCCACTGGAGAGCTGTGCCAAAGAGAGAAGAATCCCAGGAGTGGGGTTATCAATCAGGACTAATGAGTGAGGCAAAGTGACCAGACCAAATCATTTGCATAGTAATGCCTCCAACAATGTGTCTGGCAGTGGCTGGGCCTGCCATGGCTGAGAGGGCCTAGTATCGACCGTCTCTTCACAGCCCGGGACAAGAGGAGTGTTCCAGGAGTCCAGAACAGCACACAGCCTTCGATCCTACACTTTTTCAACCCTCCATTAATCAATCAGGGAAAAAATTAGGCACCCAACCAGCTAACCAATCGATCTATTTGTCTGTGATGGTGCGAGGGAGGGGTTTGGGTATGTGATGGGGTTGTTTTGAATGAAGAACGGGGAGTGCGGAGGTAAGAAGACAAAGCTTTGGAAGAATCATAGATATGGGTGGATAACTAAAGAAATACTGTTCGAAAAGGTTATCGAGAAGATGAATAACTTCAGTGGTACCATTGGAGAGAGAAGAGAAAATATTATTTTCTCCTAAATGAGCCGAGACTTTTCAGTGCCTTTCTGCCTCGCTTCCATGATCGCAATCACACAAGACTGAGCTGGCCCTCCCAACGAATAACAAACACATTACCCAGCATGCCATTTGTTTGGTGTCCTTCAGCAGCGAGCCAGCTGACTCATTATTTAGCTTCTATGGAGGACATGTGTATCCTCTCTGCCCCTGGAAGTGGGACAAACAAACACAAACAGACCCACTGACTAAGTGTGTCAAACTTATTTTTTCTTCAAACCCAGTGTTATGAGGATG